TAATTTTGGCTAACGACATTGAAGTAAATCCAGGGCCAAGATACCAAGAAACTAATATATTGTCCTGTAACATAAATGGTAAAATTGCTGATGGTGAAAATAGTCCTAGGTTTGTAGAATTGGGATTAACAGCCAAATTACAAAATTGCCAAATAATCTCGGTCTGTGAAGCAGGGAAAAATCTTGACTTAGACAAATTAATGATTGATGGCTTTCATAAACCATACCAACCTCAAAATTTTCAAGGGAGAGGAATTCTAATGTATGTGGACGAAAATTTAGCTTTCAAGCCTAGGGATGACCTTAGCACACTCAATGAGATTGGTTGGTTAGAGATAGTCATTGAACACAAAAAAATCCTCCTAGGCACATGCTATAGGTCTCCATCAAAGACATTGATTGGGGACATTGAACAATTTAATACATTACTGGAGCAAAGTGTAGAAACTGCTATGAGGGAAAGGAAATATGACATGATACTAATTAATGGGGATTTTAATGCCAGGAGTAAATTCTTCTTTTATGATCATGATATTGATAATACAGCAGGAACCAAATTATATGAGACAATGACTAACCTTGGGTTTGAACAATTTATTCATGAACCAACTAGAATAACTGAAAATAGTTTATCATGCATTGACCTAATTTTTTCAAATTCTCCAGGCCTCATGATTGGTACTGAAGTCCTAGCCCCAATAGGGGGCAGTGACCATAGTACTATAGTGTGTAATTTACAGCTAGCTACAAGTAAAAATCAACCTAAAATTACTACTAAAACTTGGCAATACAAAGACTGCAACCAGCAAGCCCTGAATAATGATATAAATTCTGTGAATTGGAACAACATTATAAATAATGGCACAATTGATGAGTCAACTTTAAATTTTTCCTCCAAGTTACTGTCTATTTTTGACCATAACATACCTCACAAAATCAAGGTGAGGAAACCAAAAGATTTACCTTGGTTTAATGACGAAATCAAAAAGGCTGTGAATAACCGTGACAAATATTATAAGAAATTCAAAAGAAACAACACTTTGGATTCAAAGTTGAAATATAAAAATAAAGTTGAAATGTTGAATAATCTTATTAACAAGGCTAAACTTAACCATGAACAGGAAATTTGTGAAAATCTTCACACTTATTCAAGTGGGGAACATTTTTATTGGAGCGCTATTAAAAAATTACTTGGAAATAAATTTTCCTCTGGAATTCCAACTTTAAGAAATTCATCTTTGACAAACATATGTAGTACAGATGAAGAAAAACGAAAGGAATTTTTGAAATTGTTCGTAGGTAAATTTCACTTTGATAATACCCGCGACACAAATGCATTACCATTTTTTCCAAATAGAACAAACAACCTTTTGACTTGTAATTTAATCACACCATTGGAAATTAGAACCCTCATAGCTGACCTTGACACATCAAAAAGTGAGGGTTTGGACGGTATTACAAATAAAATGCTCACCATGAGCATTTTATCTATTGAAAAACCATTAGCCTTATTGTTTAATAGAATTCTAACTGAAAACATTTTTCCAAGATCATGGAAAGATGGAATAATAATTCCAATCTATAAGAATAAAGGTGATAAATCTGATATTACAAATTACAGACCTGTCACATTACTTAGTAATATATCCAAATTATTCGAAAAAATAGTGCATCAACAGATGATGAAGTTCCTTTTAGATAATAAGTTATTATATGAAAATCAATCAGGTTTCCTGCCTGGTCACAGCACTGACAGTCAGCTACTAAGTATTACTAATTTTATAATGAATGCATTTGAAGACAAAGCGGATGTACGGGGAGTCTTTTTGGACCTGGAGTCTGCGTTTGATAAAGTCAGACATAATTTACTTATCCACAAGCTAAAATCTTATGGCTTCAATGATAACCTGTTGAAACTTATGAAATCCTACCTAGACAATAGAAGAGTATGCACACGCCTTAATGGATCTTTATCCGAATTTTCTGAAGAAAATTTTATAAACTCTGGTGTGCCTCAAGGCTCTATTCTAGGCCCCATCCTATTTCTGCTATTTATAAATGATCTCCCAGAGGTCATCCAATCAAAATGTTATATTTATGCTGATGATACTTCTATATATGTCCCCGTTCACAAGTTTGAAAATGTTTTAACATCAAATACATTACTACAACATGATCTAGACAATGTCTATGACTGGTCAAGGGTTTGGGGGCTTAACTTTAAGCCCACGAAAACCAAAGAGATAATTTTTTCCAAATCTATTCAAAATGTAAGAAACTTTCCTATTTTGACCTTGAGCAACAGAATAATTGAAAGAGTAAATTATCATAAACATCTTGGAGTTATCTTAGATAACCACCTTGACTTCAAAGAACATATAGCCCAGCTAAAAGTCAAAATTGATAAAATGCTAAATCCACTTACAGCATTGAAAAATAAAATTTCATCCAAACACCTTGAAAGAATGTACTTATCGTTCATTTTGCCAAAATTAGAATTCGGATCAATCTTTTATAATTGTTCACCACATTATACCCTAAATACCTTGGATAGGTTACACTACAGAGCTGCCTTGTTAGTCTCTGGGGCCATTAAGGGCTCCTCTGAAATCAAAGTCTTAAATTCACTTAACTGGAAGACACTAAGTCAGAGAAGAGAAGAAAAAATGGCAACTCTAATGTATAAGGTATCCAAAAACAAGACTCCTAGTTACGTACAATCTATATACAATGAACTTAAAAATCCAGGTACAGAGCGTGTACTTCGTGCCCAGCACGAATATAATATTCCAGCAAAATCTTCAATGAAATTTACAAACTCTCCTGCCATAGCACCAATAAGAATATGGAAAATGATTTCACCTGAAGTTAAACGCAGCCCTTCAATATCAGCCTTCAAGTCAAGGTATAAGAAAACCAAATATAACCAAAACCCTAGGTCTGTGTTGACAACAAAATTGAACTTAAATCGATCTATTGAAATTAAACTAAACCGTTTAAGAGCAGACCTAGCACTTAAATCAGACTTTTTTAGGCATAATTTCAACAACTATCCAGACCCAAGTTGCCCTTGTGGACATGCCCAGCAAACCAAGTCCCATTTATTACTTTACTGCCCTCTATCAACTGGAACAAGGTCAATCTTTACCCAAAAACTACAAGAGCTGCAAAATTTTAACTTTAGAGAATTTGCCAGTCTAAATAGTGTAGATAAAGTCCACACCATACTTTTTGGAGATCATAAGTTCTCAGATAAATGTAATGCTGATATTATGAACCTTACGGCAAATTTTGTTGATTCTATCATTTAGCATTAGCCTCAACATTTCATCACCATTATCATCACTATTGTTATCATCATCTCAAATGTGGCCACTGAGACTCTTATAAACAATACATTTACAATACATGTCTGAAACCATTTATATCAACTTTATTTTGCTACTTTTATTTAATAGGGAGGCCAACAATGTAATCTTACCTCGGCCTTCCTAGTATGTTAAATATTGTTATATAAAATTATGCAAAGAAATAAAACTTAACCTTAAAAAAAAATAAAATAAAAAAAATGAATGGTTTGTCAAATGATATTAAAAATGTGAATAAGGATTGATCACATACATGTAAGCACCATGTTGTATATATACAATGCAAAAGAAACAAAGCATAGTAATAAAAGTTTTAAAACAACCGTAATGATGCATTCTGGGAATTGACAAATTGACATAATGATGGCAACATAAACCAATGATGCTAAAAGAAGATTGCATCGGGACATGATAAAACTTTGTTTTTCATACTTGAGTTCAGTTTAGAACCTGCTTACAGAGGCTTTTATACAGTAATGATTAAATTACTGAAAACTGTGTAAAAGAATTTATACGGATGATAGTGGACTTTGATAGAAATTGTGTGTGCCATTTCAGACATTTCATATAATCACTGGGTGTCAGCTGTCAACAGAACTCAGATTTTTCGAATTAAAATTCCAAACTACCATTCCTAGTTTTTCTTGTAATTTTAAACTCAGATTAAATTTGCCACCACCTAAATTATGATTTGACTAAATCTGAGTTGTAACCATCACCCAAGTTTCTGGTTGCAGATTATACTGATAATCTTTGCACCATGTATGTATGGTGCATGTGGAGTGTTTGAATTACATGTATCGGAAATGTTCTTAAAATGTGTGTATATATTGTAATGTAAATAATTGTACAGCATAGTTTCAAATGGAATGTAAATAAAAATTATTTTGCATCTCTTAATTTAGAGAAACTAGATATTATTTCTTAATTTTTCGAAACATACCCATTAGCCCCATTTTCGAACTTGCATGCTATGTAACACTAAACTAGCAAGTCTAAGAAAAATATCTGTCTTTTACACCAGACAACTAAGGTGTCACTTTCAGAAAAAATTGGGAAATGGACTTTAAGGTGGCCTATAACCCTGTTCATTTTTTCATGAAGCCACTCAGTAAAATTATGATTTCTCTGTACCCCAATGTCCGATCAAGATCATTTGAGTATCTATGTGTTCCTCACACGTTTGCCTACCCAAAGTTTGCATGCCATATTGACCTAATTTATGACTGAAATCGGGAAAAGAAAAAGTTGTGATATTCTTTTAGAATTGCCTATAACTATTTACAAAAGACTCAAATCCATTTAGGCAAGGTTTAGTCAGAAAGCCCAAATGAGACAATTACAAACCCAGAGAAAACTCGGAAGACTGCAGAGGTCATATATTTGACAAAAAATCATAAAATCGAGGTCTTAGTCCAATATGACAAACAGACAAGAAAACAGTTATTTGCATTTATGAATTTTAGTGGTCATACATCTCCAATATACTGTAGAACAGTAAATCAAGTGTTTGTGCTATTGTGACGTCACATATCATATTAGAATTAATGATAATTATGCCCATCTTACAACAACTTTTCCGACTCATATCTATAAATCTTATTTGGCTATAAGTATGACAAAACTCTCAAGTACAAGACACATAATTTTTTGTTTTATTTTATTTGCTAATGCATTGATTGTTTCAATTCAAAATACAATGAATCGTGTTCCATAACACCTTCATAATCCTATATTGTTTAGTTTACAAAAAATATCCAGAGAAGACCATGTTTTTAAACATGCAGCCCCTTGACGATTTCATATCCCATAATTTCACTTTGTAGTCCCTGGTGGAGCTAAAGCTCCTGTAGCCCCCATACGTGTGGGGTCCTGTGAGGGGTAGTGCACAGTCTGCATTGGGATCCTTGGCATGAATCCTGGGGGTCGCATCATAGGGGGAGGCCTCATGGGTAGCATTCCTGGGGGAGGAGGGGGTGGTCTCATACCTGAAACATAGTAAAATACTCTCAGTTAAAATCTATTCATGCCATTACCATGTAAGGAATTTAAAGGTGGTCTTCAAATGTGATGTTCACAATCAAAACCCTTCATATGGACAGAGTTGGATCCTTAATGAAAATCAATATTATCATTAAAAGGCGTCACTCTCTAAACCCTTTTTTGAAATCTTAAAATTATGGTCGTCAAAGAAAATGTCTAAAATACAGAGTAAATTCTGATCAGAACCAGTTACAGGTTGGACTTCTTTACCTGGAGGTCCTGGGGGTCCTCTCATGGGTGGCGGGGGTCCCCTGGGGTGTGGAGGGGGTGGTCTCATAGGTCGCATTCCTGGGGGTGGGGGTAACATCGGGGGAGGGGCATTCAAGTTGAAGAAATTGTTCTGCATCTCCTCTGGATGTGGAAGACCTGAAACATACATTACTATAAAATAATACACCACCAATGAAACGGTTCATCAACATTAAAATAGTACAGCAACAATGGACAGTACATCAGTGCAGTACAATACATAGCTGACAATACTTAACTTTCACAATATTTTTGTCATATTTTAATGGAACAGGCCTTTTCCCTTGTAGAATTCCTCATTTAATCCTGGGTAGTATGATAAACTGAATAACAAGCCTATTACTTACTGGAGGGTAATCCAGGTACTGGCTCAAGATGTGCCTGGTCTGACTCTCCTTCCCTCTTAGTCTGACCCTGAGCTTGAGAACGTCCCCACTTGATGTTTAACCTCCGACCTTTCATGATCAACTTGTTGAATGTTGCCTCTGCAGCAGCCTCAGCTGACGTCCTTGTTGTGTATTGAATGAATGCACACTGTTGCCTTGTTACCAAGGTTATTGAGCGGATTTCACCAAACTGATAGAAATTATCCCTGCAAGAGGTTTGTATAAATGATGAAAATAGATAAATGGAGTGAATTGTGTCAAAGTGTCAAGAATAGTGTCAAATAGTTCCACTAATATAAGTGAAAGCAGAGCTGGCTTCCTCTGCAAGTTAAACTAATTTGGAGTATTTATTTAGTTTATTACCTATTTTAATTTGCATAGTGGATCTTACTTCACCATTTGATAAGAATTTTGGATTTTCTGAGTTCAACTCGAGTTTCCAACTTGTGAAAAGAAAAACTATAATGTGATAAATAAGTACCTCAGATCTTTTTCTGTGACATCTTCCCCTAGATTACCGACATAGAGTGTACTTATAGTTCTGTCCTCGGGTGCATCTAACTGTGGCATACTAGTGTATCTCTTCAGTAATTTGTCTGCTACAGGATCGTTTGTGCCGTAAAACCTGTCTTTGATATTCTGGTCTGAGAGAGGATCGTCAGGGTCAGAGGGTTTGTCGTGTCTAAAGTTATAACATCAAGTGAATTCAATTTCCCAATTTGAGAATTTTGTGAACATTCATTATTTATGATTTTTCATTTCCATAGACGAAAGTCACATTTGAACCTGCTAGATGAAAATAACCATTTTAGCACCATTATAATTTTTATATCTACAACATAATTTATCTAAAATTACCACCTACCTGTATGGGCATTCCTCCCCTCTTTTACACTCCCCTTTCACCCAGAAAGAACATATATGTGGTCTATTTCTTTTGTAGTATGGCGTTGTCCTGGCTAATTTCAGCAACATATCACTGGTAGCTTTTGCTTTCCCAAGCTCCCCTGGAGCAACAGTACCATCTGTCTGAGCAATCTGAATAATAATAGAAAATATGATATTAAAAATTAAAATCTGATTGCTAGACCTGAACAGAGAAATGGTAAATCATTTTTACCACAAACATGACTGGCTAGTTTCATTTTGAAACCTGTGATGCTTCTTAAATCAATCGATCAACTAACCTCTCGCTCCATGTTCTGTGTGTAGTATTCTTTGTTGACATCAGACTTGGGCATCTCATCTGCAATCTTTAAAGCTGCATCCCTCACTTGTACAGGTAAACCTACAAAGGAAACAGTTAAACGCATGTTAATTACTTTGCAGCATTTTCATACATTAAAACCTATTGAAGTGGAACACTTTGGTACCTCTAAAACGTGTTCCAATTGGGAGGTGTTCCACTTATAGAGGTTCATTTAACATTAAGTCAATATCCCAGATGCGAGTAGAAATAATCTTGATTTACGTCATTTAAAATTCACAATTCAGTCAAACTGATATCATATTTGGAATCTACATGTAAAATTACATTTAGAAATGTGGTTTTGAAAAGAGTTTATCAACTTAAAAAATTTAATTTTCTTTGAAAATGTGACTTCTAGGTCGGGGAGATTCCCCATAGACCCCATGTTGTAAAACCCCAAAAAGTGAAATATCTTTTCTTGTGTTGGGCAGATAATATTTTCTTTTACTGGACATATTTTTATTTGTATAACTATCAGATACATAAAGGTAATATGAAAAATGAACCACTAAAACTAATGCATATTCAAGTTTAAGGGAATTTTGTAATACCCTGCCATGTTAATTCCCCCGAATCAGCCACCTGGTGGCGAAACTGTTACTTACTCGCACCTGAGTAATTGGTCTGGGGACTCAGAAAAGTGTTCCACTAACAGAGGTCTTCCACTTTTATAGGAGTTCCACTTACAGATTTCACTGTACTCCCAAACCCTGATTTTGAATTATACAACTGGGTTCAGTTTTCATTTGTAGATTCCTTAGCCAGTGTTTGGTAAATTTCAAATTTTTAACTGGCTTCAAAGACAGGTTCCTTCAATGATAGGAAATCACTGCTTGTTACGAGGTATATATATAAATATTATATATATATTAGATGGAACAAAGAAATCTCATAAATCATCTATATCAGTTTAAGAAACAAAAGCTATTATTAATGAGGATATTGAAAATTATTCAGAAATGTCCAGATTCGTTTGAATTGAAAGAGGACGTTTAGCTTTTCAAAATTACTGCCAGACAATCTTAAGTCAAAATCATATGATATTATCATGAAATACAGGGTGTTCCAAAAGTAACAGGACTGGTGCTGGCATTTTGTTGAATATGCACCAATCGTCTTCAAAATTTTACATAATGTACTTTTATGTATTGTAACTAAAACTGCAAAGTGTTGACAAAAATTATGAAACTGGAGTAGAGTTATGGTTGTTATGGTAACATGACATCACAATACCCGGGGCAACATTCCACTCAGAAAGTTACAGAGACTTGAAAGTCCCCGTCTAAAGTTTGAAAATATTTTTTTATCATTCATTTACTATTTGTCAGGACTTAAAAAGTGATTTTAGAGATTTTTGAACAAAAAAAAAATTTTGAAAAAAAAGTTGTGAGCATTTCATTTTTCAAATATTCAAATTTCCCGCCATTTTTCAAAAAAAGTTGAAATTTCTTAATCATCAAATATTTCTTAATGCATTTCAAAAAAGATTATCTTTTTAACACCAATGCAAAGATTGAACAAAGGACACACTATTTCAATAATAAAATGCCATATTTAATGGGCCACTACAATTTTTTAGCATATCAAAAATATTTTGAAACATTAGTGATGTCACTAAGGTACCAAAAACTTTTTGAAAAAAATTGAATTTTTTTTTTCGATGTCAAACTTTCCTAAATATGCTAGACTTTCATAAAAAACCAATGTTGATTGTCTTGTACCATTGGTTTCTATGAGAACTAAAATTTTGAAATGCATTTTTCTCAGAACCATTTTCATGCACTGATAAGTTCATTTCTCGCTTATTTATGAACCGATTTTCTTAATTTTTTCGGCAAAAAACATGGGAGGATGAATGCTATGCATTGGTATGAATTGTGGCTAATTAGAAGATATGAGTGACCTCTAAAAGTTAGTTTTAAATAAATTCACAAATTTCGGAACAAAAAGTCTATCAAAAACCACTTTTTGAAATTTAAAAAAAAAGTTTCACATATCACACTTTGATAACATTGGGTAAGACTACAATATAAGCCAAAGTGGTTTAAACTTTATATGGGGCCTTTAAGCATTTTGTACATCCCATATCAAAGTTAGAATCCAACAACTGGTGGGAATTACATTTGCTAAATACATCATTTTATATTCCTATGTATCTTTTACTTTGAAAAGTAGGGTCCTCTTTGGTCAGTCCAATAGTAGCACTCTGTATCCATGACTCAAACACATGAGTGAACCAATTTGATAACATGTCACGCAGGGTCGATTGGACAACTTGGAGAAGGTCATTCTCATTGTTAAAGGTCTTGCCGCGCTGATTAGCATTCCAACTCCATATAAAAGTAAAAACTAGATATTGCACGATCAGAAGAGTATGGTGCATGGTCTTAGACCTCAAGACCTAGCTCCGCTATAGCTGCAGTGGTCTTTAATGCTGACTTGCGGGCAGGCGCCTTATCAAGGTGGATGACTGGCTTCAAATTGGGTCTTTTCAAAAACTCAACAGTGAATTGTGCAAACTGTTATACAAAATGATATTTCAGAAAATTGAATAAATATAATTATTATGAAATCATACTTGAATCTGAGTTTTATAGCAACACCATAACTTCAAAGCAACTAATAAAACAAACAAGAAATGTTGTATTGTAATAGGTGAATTAGATACTTTCTTCAGTAATATAAAAATGTTAGATATTACATTTTCATGAAAAAGTTGCCCCGGGTATTGTGATGTCACGTTACTATAGTAACCATAACTTTACCCGCATTTTATCATTTTTTCTGAAACTTTACAATTTTAGTTGCACTACGTTAAAGTACAATTTGTGAAAATTTGAACACACTCTGTGCAGAATTGACAAAATGCCAGCACCAGTCCTGTTACTTTTGGAACACCCTGTAAAATCAGAACATGGAACGCAGTGAACGTGTGAGCAAAAACATTGTTACGATCTTTAAGAAAATAATTCTCAACTTGTTTCCTGTTGTTGTTAACTCTTTAATAAACATCCACTTACCATATTCTAGATCAAGCAAGCATGTCTGGCAAATATTCTTAACTTTACTACAAGTCTGACAGACTTCTGTTTTCTTAAACCTCATCCTGGCCCCTGGACACCAACGGAATATTGTGAAGGGTCTAGCACATATTTTACATTCTTTTCCATGCTTTTCTTTAGTCTGAAAGTCAAAATTACGTCGCTTTAGTTTAGGGTAAGCTAAACAAAGTTAAAATTCAAAACAGACAGTGTTGATATTCTAAAGAAACTCAAATTAAATAAGATACAAAGTGTCAACATTCAGGATACTAAGGAGCATAAGTAATTTGTTTATTTCATTATCCTGTGCAGAAGTATACTTACCATACGAATGTAGGGATTGTCTCCTAAACATGTCTGGCAGAGTATTGGGAAATCCTACAAATACAAATCAATAGGAGAACTGAACAGACATGAAATTGTGCAGGTTATTCAATGTTCTATTGATCAGATTAAATATTGATCAAGATATAAACCTATGAGAGACTAACTTGATATTTTAGTTTGTTTGAGTTAGTCCCATCTAAGATGAATATGTCTTCTTCGAAATTCACCAATATGGAGATGTTTTAAGCAATTCTTCATGGTTGTTTATTATCGGAACTTTATTCATTTGTGTGGCAAAATATTTGAAATCTACACTTAATAATCTATGTGCTTGTTTTTTTTACTAAGGGCAATCTTAGTCCATATCCAATAGATCAAATATTTTGAGAATTCAGTTTATTGATCATCATATCCCTCCTGTGGGGAAAAAAACTTTTGTTCACAAAACGATTAATTTTAGGAAATTAAAACAAACGACTCCGACAAAAAAGGCGATATTCGAAAACTGGACGAAATGTTGTTAATGTCTGACATTAGTAACTGGCTGTAAATTCTAAGTTAGCGATCCAGAATATGTGAACTAATATATTGATCACTTCATGTGTGTTTTGGAATTTTTGGTGAGGTAAGCTAATAAGACCAAAACTCGCAATTCAAACTGTGATGTGGAAAAATGGCAAACATTTGATTTGACCCGTTTACAGCGACATAACTCACATCCGGAGAGTAAAAAATGTGCAGGGATTTATCTTTGGACGAAGGCCACGATATAGTGGCCTTAGAAGAAGGTAAGTACTGACTGCAGCAGATTGCCTGATGTTTCAATATCAAACCAATTTGGGGTACCCTTTTGGATGAGACTAACTCCGGTTATTTTCATCCTGTTCAAAACCAGTACAGTGGGGATCATAAAGAATTGCAAAAGCTATGAAAATTACATGCTGTCGCACATGTAATAAATTCTTACCTCAGTGTATTCAGTGCTCTATTTTCTCTGTCTTAGTAAGTCCAAATATAGTGGAATTTGTGTCCCTAATGACAAATAAGAACTTCAAAAGTTGAATTGGATATTCACATGTTATGCTGACTCTTCAAATGTTGAGGTGATTTTGTCGCCCGATTGCGCCGGAACGGAGGATTGGCTCCCAGAATGCAACATGACATGTGCCAGCTTTCAAAATGCTGTTCCGCCATTTTGAAACCTGTCATGAGTAAATACGGTAAACTGATGTTGCATTCTGGGAGTCAACCGTCCTTGGATAACAAACATGGCGATTCATGAAAACATTCATTCGATTTGGTAGGGATTTATCCATTATTTGCATGTATGAAGCTTTGGATTCATTTATTGTGCTACTTTAGTGAACGGGAATTATTTTTCTACCGCTTGGGAGAGTTTGATACACAAAACTTGGAAATTAGCTCATTGTAACAACTTGTAAACGTTGAGTTTTATTTTTGTCCCCCACTGTACATCTGTAGCACATTGTCTCTAAATAGGGATCAAACTTTACAATGTGCATCAGTATTATGGCATTCGGTACAACGCCTTTCGGTACAATGTGCATCGGTATAATGGGTCTCAGTATTATGCGCGTCAGTATTGTGGGTACCGGCATAATGCGCGGACCCCTCTTATTAGACCTAGGCTTACTCCTTTTTAATTTTCTTTGCATTTTTCTCTTCATTTTGGCCGGAAGTGATGAAAAAGTGAAATTGTGTTAGTTTAGAAATTTGAAATATAATCAAACTTTCCTCAAATATTCTCTGTATCATTAAATGCTGATGTATTTCTAGAACATCGATTATACTTACCGCTTCTTCCCAATTTTGCCGATTATATGTATTTGCACTTTTCGAAGTGGCCATTTTTAAACTTCCCACAATGCGTTTCGGTTTCAAATTAAATATATTGAACTAGTTGAAGTTTATTAGTTCAGAAAGTTATTGCCACTAGTTCGGCTCAAAATTGTAAAAATTAAAAAGAGAATAGAACTCCTAGGGCACTGAAAGTCGTTTTTGCTTTGCCTATAGTTGATTTGCACTAGAAAATAAAACTTAAACTATGTACAATTTTGTTCTTACTGCAGTTTGATAATTTTCAAATCACGTGAATTCCCGCGAGATTTAATCTCTATAACAACCTGCCGCCATATTGATATAGTTTTTTAAAATTTGACAAATATTCAACATTTAGTCACTGATATGATTACACATGATGTCTTATAGATAGTATTGACTGTACAGGTATTAAGGTAAGTATTGACCTGTAAACCGCAAAACTTGACACGAAAGAAATTTAACGCTAAATATGAATAAAGTGCAATTTTGTCAAAAAAAGTTTATCAAAATGAAATTTTAATTTCATTTTCAAGATCAGTGAAATTAGCTATGCTAGATCCATTCTAGATCTGAGGGTAAGACCATAGATTTTGTAGAAGTTTCAGTAGTTTATAACCTTGCTACATGAATATCTGGAAATATGATGTCAGGCTAATAATGATGTGCAAATTTCAGTGACTGTGTTTCTTTTCAAGGACGATGTCTCGAGCGACAGTTTCCAAATCGCGAGCAGACAAAACTAAAGGGTCACAGAATGCTCCTACACCAGCTGTGGCACACGAAGTTGTGCCTGGAAAGTTCAATGACAATGATTGGTAAGTTTCAAGATGTTGCTACATGTTAACTTTTTCCTGAGTATGATTTGAAATATATCAAATTATGATCATGATATTAACTTGTGCTGTATATGTATATGCTTGCTCAAAGTACTCCATGTACATTAGCATACTAACAACCATATTCTGATGAATTTTGACATTATTTCAGGAATGTTATGGTAGACAGAGATGACGGTGAAGAAATCGCTTCAGATATACTTGGTGATTTGTGTGACAATGTCCTAGATGTGATCTATCAAAACTACATTCAACGCCAACTTCTGCCTTATACAATAGCCCAGGCCAAAGATGCAATATTACAAATAGTCGAGTGGCAGTTCTTGTCACGTGATGAAGGAGAAGAAGATACAGAAGGTGACCCTAGCTGGATGGAAGATGAGGAACCAAGTGCTGCTGTAACAGACTGTTGGGCTCAGGGCTCTGTACCACGCCAGATGGCACCACCAGTCTCAACAATAGAAGAAGAGGATACCTGTGTCACAACTGGGTATGTAAAAAATGTAGACTGCTTGCATGAAATCTAAACATGTTTTAATGAGAGTAGGATACAGCAACAGAATTCAAAAAAATTATTTATGCTTTCACAATTGAAATCAGCAATCATTATTACTTTGATTTTGAATAATTAATATTTTATTAATATCTTCTTCATTTTTGTGATACAGTGAGACATCGCAGAGTGACACAGGTGTTGAAGATGTAGAAGAAGATGACATCAAAGAAGACCTCAGGCTTATCAAAGAAGCTACTTTAGAACCAGTCATAGATAGCAAAGAAGAAACCACCAGTGAGGAACAAAAAGAAACAGATAAAGAAAATACAGATGTATCTGTAAGTTTGAGACATCCCATCATGATATGATCAACATATTTTCTTTAGATATCCTAGGTTCATTCATTTCAGTATGTCTAGATCTAACCATGCACTTATATCTATAGAGAATTTACTTAGATATTGAAGTCATCTTATGGTACTCCATCACTCAAGGACAGCCAAATTGTACATAAAATATATTTCAGGAAACAAAAGTAGCACCAAAAAAGAAAAACAAATTCCGTCCTTACAAAGGCAGAATCAACTCAGCATCTTACAAGTACATGCACCAGTCACTAGAAGACACAGAACGTATGTACAGGGAATATGAGACAGTTGTACCAACACCTGAAGAACCAAGTGAGAAACAGAAGACTATGCCTGCCTCATGCCAATCAATCGTCAAGGTATGGCACATTTATTTTTTCATTAAAACGATCGTAACATTTATTCAAAATGGTCACGGCACCTATACAGGAGCATGGGACAGCTTATATGTGTATGTAGCTCATATGTGTTTAACCTGACATTCATAATGAAAAATATACTATCCTAATTTAATGATGTTAACATCTTATGTAACAGTATGCTTCAGTAACTCTTCAGCACAAGCATATAAAACACAGTTTACCACATCGTTCTTGTTTTAGTGCAATAAACACCAACACTGCTTTTCTAATATGAACATAACCTTAACTCCTGATATTGTGTCTGCATTGTGACCTTAATATAATCTTATGAAGTGCATCATTATTTAACTGTAAATATATTTTTATTTAGAGTGTAATATCAGCATCAAAGGTATAACATCACTGTTTTCACTAGATCAGTTTAAAATAGATATTCCTAGCATGTCTTAGATTATAGATACAATAGACAAAGATCTCCTGTAGCCTTATTACCCTGCATGCAGAGTCAAGTTATAAGCTCGTTTTTAAGAAGCGAAGTTGAACGAATGCAAAGGGTATAGCCTTATCTGAGTTTGGTCATCTTCTACTTACATGAACACTAAAGTTGACTTGATCGAATGCATTGTTCATGACTTATTTCAACAGACTATTTCTTTTTTTTGGCTTGAAATTCAAATTTTTGATGTCTGCCATTTATACAAATAAAGTCGCTAATGTGCAGAATGGCCACCTTTGGAAATTTGAATTAAGTGAAAGCCAAAAATGAAATAGTCCCTAGCTGAATAGTAATTAGTTGTCATATTATACTCTTCATAGTCTTTCTTTCTTCAATTCTTTTCCTTACTCTATTTACTTTATTTTAAATTGTAGATATATCTTAATCCTCAGTCTCTCTGATTTTCTGTGTTATTTTATGCAGAAATATACATGTAAATATAAATGGTCTAAGGTGGGTCATTGGGTCATGTTATTTTGTAAATTATTCAGAGATAAAATGAAAGCAAAATGTTCAACTGATTTTATTATTGAAATACTTATAAACCTTAAATATATACAGTGAAACTAGTTAAGTGGAACACCTCTAAAAGTGGAACACCTCTGTTCTTGGAACATTTTTAAGAGTCTCAAGACCACCTTAATGTCAAGTGGACCTCTATAAGTGGACCACCTCCCAAGTGGAACAATTTTTAGAGGTACCAAAGATGTTTCACTTTAGAAAGGTTTTACTGTTCATATAAACTCGTTTATCTAATTTTATCCTGTGCATTTATAAGGTGCAAGCTGGTAGACCCCCTGGTACCAGGGATGTCCAGTATGATGAAGTTGGTAATGTGATAGGAGTGGTAAAGATCAACAGAAACAAGCTACCCTCACATAGAGTGAAGACTCGCTACCATGTAGTAGATCCAGCAGTCGAGGCTGCCCAGGCCAGACTTGAGGCCATGAGGACAGGAAAATTCCTTGATAAGCACCAAAAAGCTAAGAAAATTGCACCTGTGATTATAACAGCTCCCTCTGTGCCTGCGTCAGAGTTTTACACGTCAACGGTTGGTGCCCCTGTGAGCACCAGGATGACAGGCACTACTACCATGTCCAAATATGATGGTAAAAGGGGGGCTGTCACCCCTCTACCTCCACCATTGGTGAGTCCAGAATTCGAAATTACAATAAACCTTTTTCTTTAATTTAGGAAGCAGAACTAGAAGGTGTAAAATATTAGAATCAATGTTTTTTTTATAATTTTGATTTTATTTTAAACTACGTGTAAGTGACATATTTGATGAAATAAAGAAGTTATTGAATACATGTATATTTCAATTTAATGTGTCTTTAAACCTTAATATTGAAGGATAATTCTGAAATAAAGTCAAAACTGTTGGACTTTTTTGAAAAAAGGCATGACATGAATGACGAGAGCAAAATATTGTCATATCGGGACAATTTGTTTTTTTAAACTTTCAGCAAATTCTCATCATTTAGACTGCCATGTTGTGCTACAGCAACCACCAATTATTGTGACTGGCAATTGGCACCAGCATATGGTATTTGTAACAAACTGTTACTCTTTTGTAACCATTTGCGATAACTTACCCGGTGGTAAAATCCTGTCATTGTTATTGCCTTGTCTACCTGTTCTTCAATGTTTCAAATATCCAACATTGTTTTTTCCAGATTGAATCAATGGAGGTGCAGCCAGGAGTGGTTGTGAGAGAAGGGAATAGAATCAAAAAAGGTCCAAGAACGGTGAGAAGACAATTCCATGCTCTCTTATCATATATACTTTCCTGCTCATATTTCTGTAGTAATTGTCCATTTGTTCTTTCTTTTAACTTGTTTTAGGTAGTTCTAAGCTTTTATGAAAAAAGTTTTAAAAAATATAATATCATGCAGAACTACCTTAGTCCCATAATCTTTGTAAGTCAATTGTGCAAAATGTCTTAAGTTATCGAGTTATTCTAATCTGCCAATTAAAGTGATTTTCACTTAGGCTACTCATCTTATATTGTGCATTGGCAAAGTAATGCTTATACTTCATATGGTTTCTATATTCCAGTATCGTAAAGGAGTAAACATAATGTTGGACAATGCTTCAGTAATGCAGCCAGTTACAATGCAAGCTGGTATGCCATTAATCTCAGCTGCCCAGATCCTAGAGCATCAGACGCCCCTAGTGAGGCCCCTGGGGTCAGCTGGGGTCATACCACCCATTAAAATGACCCCTCATCCACCCTCTAGAGCTCAAGTGAACTAAATGAATGTGAGGATAACACCAAGCACCCAGTATTCAATCAAGAATCAGAAAATATGATTATCTAGGATTTTTACAAATGGCACAATGCAATCCATGTGTCAAATACCACATACACAAGATGTTCATCACCAAAGATTTATTCTCATAAACACAAATATACCACATTAAGGATCTTGTCATTTTCATTCACCAAACAGGGAAAGATCTGGAATTTAACAAGGGACTCAAATTAGGCAAAAATAGCTTAGGCCAACCATGAAAAAAAAGGGCCATAAATGATAACATCGCAGTTAATCTTGCATACCATCAAAGAAAAACTACAAAAGTATATGCCACCCTTAATGCAAAGCTTTGGTCTTCTCCCAGATCTACCAGTACCAATTGCCTTAATGTCTTGATATTATTAGTATTTTGAAATTGAGATGTCACAGTATGGCAATAATTGAAAATCATGTTTGAATCTTCCATCAAAGAATTAATTGAACGCACGAGAATCTTTAACTGACGTTCACTGCTGATATGAGCATATTGTATACCCGCAGTCAAAACTTTATCACAAGAATGGAAACTGATGCCAAAATTACGCAAAACTATTGCATAAATATTGACAGCTGCTTGACCAGTGAAAATATATTTAATATTTTTCCATTCTTTTCAAACACATTAAAATATAGTTTTTGTATAACAAGTATTTTGACTGAGATTGAACAATATAAATGTTTACACAGAATCCGTCCAAGAAGCATTCATGAGCATTTATTTTGTAACGCTTTTGTGAAAATATTTTGAGAATTGTAACATGCGATTGTAGCCTTTGCTCCATCAGTTTGTTACATCAATACAAAACAATCCGTCCATTTGCCAATATTATCTGTTATGTTGTACAATCGTAGATGATTAGAAAAACTGTAAATACTGTACATTATCTGAATCAGGAGTATTGTATATAAATAAATAATAATACAAATATAAATATTTGTTTCTTCAGTGTATCACATTAATGTCTTAGATAATATTCGCATTCCTTGCCAAAATGCATCGCTTAATAGTATATTTTTAAAATAGATAAAGCCTTGCTCGTAGTATTGAGCATTAAGGCAATAATTAAACAGCCTGTAACATTGCTGGATACATGGGTAAGTCATTGCCTCAGTGGTCAAGGCTTTATGATGAACTTGAGCATATTGAATGTTTAAAGGGTCAACAATGTAAAAGTTGTCAGCAGGATTCATAAATGAGAATTTTCAAACAATTTTTGGAACTATGTAAAATTGGCACATCATTCAGATATTTTACTGTTAAAACACATAAATATTGTGCCCATCTGTATTTCATGAGACAGCAAACAGGCCTCACCAGACTTCATTTTTTAAGAATAAGCAAACAAGACCATCAAGATTATGATTTTAGTCAATTTATTATTGATTAATGACTAGCAGTACATAAACATTGGATCAAGTAGTCAACCATGTGTACATGATTATAATATTCTTCCCAAAACCACCATATATCTCAATTCATTGTGTAAAAAGCCAAATATATACAAATATATCACTTGGTGAATTGATGTCTAAAATGTACACATTACAAACTGAAATTAAAATCACTATAGTACTAACATTTACATCTAAGCATCTAAAGCTCACATCTAGTTTGTGATTGTCAAAGCATACTATACTACTACTATACTATGCATTACTACGTTCAGCTAACATCATTTCATTTAAAATGAAATTTATACTGGTTCAGTCAAGCATGAAGTCTCGGATTCAATGGAGCATAGAGAGTAATGCTCATATCAAGAAAGCATATGTAATATTTGACCCAACAATTCAAAAGGTTAGGAATGTGGTTATAATGAAGTTTATTTGGGGGAGGGGTAAATGAACATTTCTATTGTGAAGAATTTAGATATTTTTGAAAATTCAAGTGAAAAGTAAATCAACATTTTCAAAATCTGTCAAATGGGAGAGGGGAGTTAAACCATACTGAAACGAACTTCCTTTTTCCTTAAGATTTGGACACCATCAATTACATGTATTTCTATCCAATGCAATCACTCTCTTTGAGACATATACTCAGTGTTCCCCCCAGAATTTTTTCCCATTTTAATTTCCACAATTCTAACCAAAGCTGGTAAAAATATGGTAACCTTTCGTGATTGTCATTGTTTTAAGTACAGGCAAATGTTTTCAAGGTGGGTACAGGTCGACTCACAAGTGAGTGCACTCGGTTCAATTCTGGGGAAATCACTCACAGTACTCCTTGAGTAACACTAATAGTAGGCATAGGTTCTAAGTACATTACGACACACTCATCATTTACATACAATACATGTACAAAATCAAAATATGGGCAAGCTCTAGGGAGGATATACAGTTTAAAATTATACATTCTTATACAGTATATACATCTAATGCATGGGCAAGCTTATTCTAAGCAACATTTTCAACAAAAAAAATCCAAGTTACATGTAAATAACCATTTAATGGCAATTTCAAGCAAAGAGGCAAGTACATGGACAACAATATTTTTAAAACTCTTATAAAGGACAATAAAATGATTGATTTCAGCATTAATACAAAACATACAATTTTTGTTAATTTTTGTCAGCTTATTACAATGATTATAAAGCTATGAATATATGCCTATAAAACAACATCTACAGACTGTAATTCTCATCAGTATAAGGCCTTTTGGCATCATGGCTAAAATCTGCATATTCTCTAGCAAAAACAGTGAAACTAGAAATGCAGTTTTGAACTACATGTGTATATTCTGATATTAGTTTATCTGACTATCTGAGCAATAGTGATATGCTGGTAGGGTATTGGAGGGACCAGGTTTCTGAAATAATCAAATTAGTCATGTTTATAACATTTACAATGCTGTGGCTAGGATTAACATACAAAGTATAATGTCCCACCAGGTGTAATGGGAAATTTGGAAATACTGTTCTTTTAGATTGTGCATTTGATTATAAGCCAGGAAAAAGTAAGAATTCCAGTCACAAGGTGCTTTACAAAAAATTCAAGGAAAAAAAGCTTTGTCAGAGGCTTGGTAATGCTGGAAAATATTTTAACAAAACATTGAGAAACAGTATAATGTACCCATTTCCTCTATATACTGTATCAATCCATCTGATAGCATCACCTTTGCTATGAAAAATATTTTTTATGCATGTACTTTCTCCTGGCCTTAAAATGTTCACATTTATTCCTGGCCTTAAAATGTTCACATTACTTCCTGGCCTGAAAATGTTCACATTACTTCCTAGCCTGAAAATGTTCAAATTACCTCTAATTAAACAATTACAAAATATCTAATAAAAACATTAAATTGTGATCACATTGGTGTACCCGTAAACAATACAAATAAATTAACAAGACATGCAGTGATAAATATCACACTTTGAAGAGCAAAATGGCTGCCAAATAATTTACCCAGCATGCCCAAAATATAACCAGATCTTGGCACAAGTCTGCTCTTGCATTTGTAAAAATTTTAAATTGAACAGGTAACTGGCTTTCCTGGAATTTTGATGACAAGATATTTCAAAGTGCAATAAAAATGAAGCCACACAAGGTGCTCTTACATCAAATCTGTTTTCATAAAAATTATTTCAATTTCTTTATATATCCACTTTACTTTTAGAAATCATTAAAGTAAAATATAAACCCTAAACAACCAATATGTTCAACACATTTCGTTTCCAGCATCTCATGACATAAAAATCTCTTTACAGGGTTACCCATTAAATTATTTTTTATTGGCACCCTGTATGAGGTTAACACTGAACTGTAGCTAAATCCATCTCACCAAAAGTTATCCATCAATATATCCATAATTCAATACATTGTATTCATATTTCAATACATTGTATCCATAATTCAATACATTGTATCCATAATTCCATAAATTGTATCCATAATTCAATAACTTGTATCCATATTTCAATAACTTGTATCCATAATTCAATAAATTGTATCCATAATTCAATACATTGTATCCATAATTCAATACATTGTATCCATAATTCAATACATTGTATCCATAATTCAATACATTCTATCCATATTTCAAAACCTTGTATCCATAATTCAATACATTGTATTCATAATTCAATACATTACATCTATAATTCAATATAGATGTGCATTGTACATGATGTTGCTGTCATGTTTGGGTCATAGTTTCCAAGAGAGCTGCATGTTTAATTAGACACTTGTATGTGTATAACGTAACGAAACAAAAGTAAATTTGTTAATATGAACCTGAAGATTTGTATACTGTATATTGCATTACTGTACACATGATTTAAGATAAACACCTCTACATTAAAGGCAGAATCAGATCTATAGGGGGTGACAAAATTACAAGCAACGTGCATAATTGACCTTCTAATCTATTCCTTACAATATCAAATACAATATCTCCCAAAAGATTCACAATATGTTATAAATTGGTGAAGTTATTAATGATTCAAAGTGCAAAAATGGGTGAAAAATGTTTAAATTCTCCCAAATAATAAGAATGGTAACCATTCTTATAGAAAAATAATACATTATTGTAAAAATCTTTCATTTTCCTTGAATAAAGTATGCACTTTTGTGATTTTTAGAAAATAGATATGACAAGGAATGACATGAGCCAAAAATAATCTAAAATTGAAAAAATTTTTTGTTTAGCCTGCTCGCTATCTCTGATTCTATCTTTAATGTTCCATAGCTATATATTAATTGTGGACTAGAACTTTAACGTCCCTTCTGGAGGTTTTTGATTCTCTCTCCTATTTTCTTCCTGTACAGTTCATACCTGGAATAGACAAAATACAATACTATAGTAAATATACAAATTAAATGAATGAGATTTGAGACCTAATACAGCAGTCAACAGATTTTTATTTAAATACAGCGATACCTGTCTAATCTGTACGTCACTGTGACCCAACAAGTGTTCAGATTAGTAAATGTTCACATTTCAAGGTTTTTCAAATACATTTGTCAATGGGAGATAACAAATTTGAGACTATTCAAATGTTAAGATTTCACTGTAGGTACAAAATTCTTATCACAATCCACGTACCAAATTTTCAGGATTAATCTCATTTCTAAATGAGTGCAAATTGGTTTCTGAAGGATATTTCTTCTAAAGTGAGCACAGGGCCAACCTGCTTTAAAGCACCACAAATATACCAAGATAGGTCAGATTTCTTCAAAATTTGCTCAATGTATGCCTTCTAATACCCAATTCTAAGACGCAACATGACATCTACTCTAGACAAATAAGGGAAACGTGGCCCAAATATGTATTTAAAAAATATAGACTGAAGAGCAGGGGTAATATTGTCGAATACAGGGCTATGCACAAACGTGTTCTGTACCCCGAACAACCGAAGGGAGTGAGGGGTTCGAAAGCTTTTGTGCCTAGCCCTAAGGGGTGTATTTGTTGATATTTCAACTGTTCTGAGGTCTTTATTAGGTTTCGAACATGAAAACCCACCAAAGCGTTTCAAATATTCATTTAATGGTCTGCCATTACTACAACCTGCGGTTATGATGTCATACATTTAATTACTCATATTACCAGGGGTATTGTTTGCGAATATAACCCGGGTGAGACATTGGCTTTGTTCAAAGTTTATAAAAGGTGTGAATATGGTCATATTCGAATTAGTGTTTAAAGGCAGAATCAGATCATTGGGGGTGACAAAATTACAAGCAATGTTTACAATTGACCTACCAATCTCTTCCTTACAATCTCAAATACAATATCTCCCAAAAGGTTCACGATATGTTATAAATTGGTGAAGTTATAATGGATTCAAAGTTCAAAATTGAGTGAAAAATGTTTAAATTCTCCCAAATAATAAGAATGGTAACCATTCTTATAGAAAAATAAAGCATTATTGTAAAAATCTTTAATTTTGCTGAAATAAACTATGATCTTAGTGGATTTTTAGAAAATAGGCATGTAAAGGAATGACATAAGCTAGAAATATTCTAAAATTGAAACAATTTTTTGTTGGGCTGCTCGATAGATCTGATTCTCTCTTTAATGTGCTACTTGAATTATTAAAGGACATTCAAAGCTACATGGTGATTTATCAAGTTTAATCATGGGCTTTTTGGTATCTTTACAACATTTTATTTCTCAGGTTGTTTTGAAAATAATTTAGTTTTTTCTGCTTTTTACAAATCTCTCTCTTTAATAGCAACCAATTTTCATATTTTTGAAAAGGCATCTATCATCTTTTAAATCAATGTTTGCGTCCTTTTCATACTTCTTCATTACTATTTTTATACTTCTTTAAAATACACAAATGCATTCTGTATTCATCTTATTCATTGGTATTTATACAAAATATGTGATGCATTAATTCATATTAATTCATGAGCCCCTGTACTAAATATATTGAGTGTCCCAAAAAAGTGAATCGCTTTATGAAGTGTTTTCTCAGCAGTTAATCACTCAAATTTATCGAAAATTAATATAAAGTGAACTAAAGCAAGTTGTACAAATATGAAAGAGATTGATTTAATATTCTGTGAGAATTGACAAATTCAAAAATGCATGTTAGAAAAATCTTCATGGTACGTGTTACTGTAAATAGACTTATGTTATGAACAAAAATGAAATACATCCAACATGCATTAAAGAACAGAATAATCATGTTATGGGAGGCGGTATTGATGGAAAGCATTTCTGCTTGGAAGAACAGCTTCTTTCAGACTGAAATAAGTGGCTTTTTCATTGATATTGGATTTTTTGACATGCATCTTTGATTTTATCAATTATCACATAATATGTAACCGATCTCTGTTATATTTGTACAATAGCTTATGATACCCCTAAGGCTACTGTATAGCAATTTTCAATAAAGAGTAATCAGTTGCTGAAAAAACGCTTGTCACTTTTTTGGGACAACCTATATATGTCAAGATAATATGACAAGTTTATTCAGGCCAGATGAAATACAGTGCAGTTAGTATATATGTACATTCAATTCTAGAATCAAAATTTCAAATGGCAACCAAGGACAGGCAAAATACCAAGGTTAGTGAATTACCGTGATTTGTATATTATTGGCAAACTGAGTTGTGATGAGTACTCACATTGACTAACTCATTTCATTGTTTTCACTGATTTACATGTACAGAAAAACCTGTCTTCAGTAAAACCTATAATTGTTCCCTTCCTGTGTGCATACTCTATTGAATACTGTATAATAAGTATAAGTATATAAGTCACCCTCTCTGTAGTGAACACATACCAACACTGAATGTTTTCTTCTTGGCAAAAAATGTTCAATTTACACAGGTTTTACAGTACAAACATGTACATTCTACATACAAAATGTTTCTTGATCAATTATCCATGACATTTTTCTAGTTTCATGAATTGCCACCATTCTGGAGACAGAAATTCATGACGTTGGCGTTTGCCCATGACTTCAACAAAGATGGTGTCTTTGACTATGAGGATCAAATGACTCTGGCTGACAGAATTGTACAGTATGGTATGTACAGATATTAGTTACCTACAGTATTTAATTCAAATTACTTCAATCTGATTGGTTCATTGACTGACTCATTCTACTTCGTGGCTCAGAGAGAATTGATAAAGATTCATTACTGCTGACCTATCTTTGTCAGAAAGCAAAGTTTTTAAAATATTTATATTATTGTTCATCCTACATGTTAAGGATGTCCATCTCTTAGCTTATAAATTGTTTAAAATATATGCTTTTAAGTTACTCTAGCTCTAAATACAATTTCTGGTCCTTTTTTGAAGGCAAACTACAAGGCGAGCCTGCTGACAGAGTTTATGCCGTGTTCAAATCATTTGCCACATCTATTCATGAAAATGTTGCTGCAACACAATCCATTCATGAAGCTGTGCTGGAAATATGGCGTTGCTATGACAACCCAGGGTACAAAGAATCATTCTGCGAGGCATATCGACAGATTTTCTATGCCTTGGATTTTGATAATGATGGCTTTATATCAAAGGAGGAGTTTGGTGTTTTCTGGCGTTCTATTGGCTTTGATATGACATACATGAGCCTTCAGTTTGACTACATGGACAAAGATGGAGATGGAAAGATATCACTGGATGATTACATAGATGCTGCTTTGGAGTATAACTTTAATATAGATGACAGCACAAGTGCCAATCGCCTAACATGTCAACAAACAATTGGGGATCATATTACCTTCAAATATTCTAGTTTCATTGCTGCTTGCTACTTACAAATGTTAATTTTAAATCTGTATCTTTGCATAAGAATACAGCACAAAATCTGCCATTGCAATGACAATATGTTGATTGATGTGTGTACATGTACAGTATATTTTTGTGCTTTGGCGCATACGACTAGAGTGACCATTAAAATTCTACTTGGCATTTTATTTCTATGTAAGCAAAATATTAAATGAGAATTATTGTTTGTATTTTACCTAGCATGAAACTGACAAAACAGCAAATATGAGTAAAAAAAATATGAATTTGTCACATTCAATATATTCATCAATGCCTCAAGTGATCAACTTCAAAAAGCACAATGTCAGACATCCCCAGTACATGTTATTGCTGACCACTGAGCCCAATCACAAAATGAGACCATAACAATATGTTGGTGGTGCCATAAAAATAGTGTTTTACATAAAAATATTACTTTACATACCTTTGTTTTATTTGGTTTAATTCCTGACTTTCCTCCTTTTCAATTTTTTCCAAGAATCCATTTAGAACTGGTTCTGGCAAACCAACATAAGAAGCTACCTGAAAAACATAGAAACAAACTCAATGTATAGCAGGAAAATATTATTATTTACACTGAGGGGTTTCACATAACATTGGGCAAATTTATGAACATGATGTCACACTTTTATGTATAGGCATAGGCAGTACAAGTGATAAACACTTATTAATACATTGCTCATTTACATATCACTTCAGACTCTGGTGTTTTTCTTGGAGGTTATGTCACTATGACGTGAAATATGCCTGAGCTCTCCCAATTAAGGCGGACTTTGGGAGGCTCTATAATTGGGCAAGAACGAATACCTTTATTTCCATAGCTACTTTGTATCATTGACGTCCCACGTCTGTGTGCGAGTAGAATTTGATCGATATGGAACATGTCATGACATTGTTATGCTTATTAAAGAATCTAATATCAAAATGAGGGGGCTATTCCATTGACTTCCATGCAAAAGCTTCACCAGGTATGTAATACAATACAACATACTGTAGTTTTGAGAAATGAATTGGTTTGCTCAACATAAAACACTCTCTTCGGTTGACTGAGACATGTTACACACTGATAATTAGTAGCCCGGACAGAATTGTTCAATGGTCACATATTTGTCAGATCACATATTTGAAAACTAGAGTAAAATTCTGACATACAAAAAAATATTTAATGAACATCTCTTAATTTATTGATGTTATAGGCGTTCATAGTATGACTGACGCAAATACATAATTCATCATTTTGCCTCATATTTGTTCAAAATGGTGGCATATTTTGTGAATTTGAATGTTCAGTTGAAAGTTAATATTTAAAGATTGTCATAGGACTATATGGCCATGCTGCCACCGTTACAATCCTGATGTAATGCAGCAACTGATCAGTCATTAAATACAAGTCAAATCCCTCCAAGGGTATATGAAATCAACTCTATTGAAATGTTCGGGGTTGTGTTCAATAGGATGTGAAAAGGTGGCGCCCCAATATGCGGGATGTGATGAGAGTAGGTCCTTAATCTTTTCAAGAACTCCAAAAAGCCATCTCAGAGGCCATTGATAAGCTGAAGAACAATTCACATGCATGCCAAGGATGGGTTAAGAGGCGTGTGACTGGGAAAAATATTACAAACTGTGGCAGTATGACCCTATAGTTGCACAGGTTCAATGAACTAGGGTTGCTAATCCACTACGGGTAACAATAAAATGGCCAAAAAACTTTAAGTGCTGTGACCTTACCAACCTTTTTAAGTGCTGATATACATACAAGTCAATTTACAACAAAATGTTATAAATGCAGTCATTACCTCATACCAAGGCAGCAGTCTACATGATTTCGTAGGCCTCTACGTAGGCCTATGACATTTCTTAAATATCAACTTTAATTTCAACTGAACATTCAAACCACAAAACATGCCGCCGTTTTTGAACAAATATGAGACAAAATGGTAAATTATGTATTTGCGTCACTCATACTATGAACGCCTATAATATCAATAAATTAAGAGATGTTCCTTAAATATTTTTTTTTGTTTGTCAGAATTTTACTTTAGTTTTCAAATATGTAATCAGATTTTGATAATACTGAAAATTAAAAAAGTTATTAAAGAAAAAGTGACCATTGAACAATTCTGTCCGGGCTACTATGTAACGAGAAAAAATATTCATGAATATCTATTCTGAAATCTTGGCAAAATCTCTCCATTATCCTGCATTCTCACAAAAAACTGAGTTTAAAGTAAGGTCATTTGTCACAAACAACAAGTAGTTAAATCTACTATAGTAGCTAGTTACCCTAGCTAGAATTAGCCAAGTCATTACTTGTCTCATTAGTAGGCCTAAGAATGTCAATAGCAGACATATGTCATTAGTGATGCCATTAGAATACCTACATCTGTATCTTATTAGTGATGTCATGAGAAAACCTTATACCTAAGTTATTACAGATTTCATTAGAAGACTTACCTCATTAGGAATATCATTAGCAGCTGCTCGGTCTAAAAGGAATATTTTTGCCTCATCCTCCACAGGTCCTAGCACGATCCTCTCAACCAGAGGGTGGTCATTGTCCTTCAGGACTTTAGTCTCTGAAATATTCATACATTGTATATATCTAGGATATATGATATTTCTATTTTTATTGCAGAATATATAGGCTAGAACATATTAATCATGTTTTTACTGATTGACTAATGAGATACTAACTCAAATTATTTCTGACTGTGAGTAAATTTTCAACTTGGGACAAATGCATTTCAGATTGAACTGGAAACACAATGATTTTCAATTTCTCAAATGGGTGCAGTACCCACTGCACTGTTATAACTGTACTGCACTTTTATCACTGTACTGCACTATTATCATGTTCACCTTCTTATTCAAGATAGAAGTACAACAAAGTTTTTTGAGCCATAAATTAGCAAATCTACACATTAACACCTATAACAACAGAATATGAAAATATCAGTAAATACCTCCACTTTTCTGGCAAACTGACATGACAAAGTTCTTTGGATCATTTTGAACTTTGAACCTGTCAAAGAGTAACTGTATGACTTCCATAGTCGTCATGCTGTTGCTAACTCTAACACACGTCACTGTGCCTTGGGGCGGCACGAATACACTTGTCTGAAAGAAAGTAGTTCATGAATAATCTTTGAATTGAAATATTCTTTTATTCTTGATTTTAATAGGTGGTAAGGTAGGCAAAATGATATGAGTGAATTCTTGATTTTAATTTCATTCCACTGGGCCCACCTTAAGGTCAGACTGCACTTTGGAATTTTTTGCAATTTTGAAAAGTAGACCACTGAATATTATAGTTATTCACATATTCCAATGCAACTTTTGTGCAAAAATGAAATGTATTGTATGGAATGAGTTTTGTTTATCTGAAAATAGCACATGGTCATGAAATTTCATCAAAGTACAGACTGACCTTGAACAACAATTAGTGAAAACATAGTGATCAAAGATTTTAATGTATAAGAGATGACTATGTTCATTAGTTACTGTGAATGTTATTGTAATGTAGCAAATAGCAGATGCTTAATTATCAAAATAAACACTTTACAAATATAAATAATACCAACACTCCTATGCGAATGATTTGAATGAATTTTTCAATTGATTTACAAACCTCTTGATTGTACAGATGTCCATTGATTGAGTAACGTTTGGTCCTGTCTGCCCTGCATGCCATTGTGTTGTAACGTCGAGGCTTATTACGGGAATGACGCATCACAACTAGTGTGTCATCAATTGTTCTAGTGATAGGTTCAGGGCTCTTGTTTCCCATCAATAATTGCTACATATGGAAAATATAAAGATGAAGATATTAAGATTAATATTTAAAGTGTTATATTAGTGTTTTTCACAATAACAACCTCATAATACACAAAATATTATGAAAGATTTGGCTTGTATTCGTAAATGCAACTAACGGCTATCGACTACAGGATAAGCCTAATATAGTGGAAGAGTGGCAGGTATCATTCATATTTAGATGGGTTAGTCATAAAATAGTAGGTTAATCCTGTAGCTGGTAGCTGGCATTTGCATTCGCAAATACAGGCTTAGTTTTGATTATTGATTCAATAATCACTGGGGGGTATCGTGATGCAACAACACCGTGTTGTTGCATCAAGATGGCCAGACTTCCGGTGATAGATTTTCGTACGATGTTTTGTTTTCCCAATTTACACCCATTTCTAGGACGAGTTGCTCAATAATCATACACATGCAGTTAGCGCATGATCTATATTTTAAAAAACTGTCATTGGTATACATGTACCATCATCAAGAAGCGATAAATTCGTGGTTTTAATTCCTCACTATTGATGCAACAACACCACTCTGTTTCTTATCGATGATGCAACAACACCAATGTGCTGATGCAAAACGCGTGAGTCAATGGTCCATGAACGAAACGTATTTTGTTTGGTTTCTTTGTCTATATCAAAGTTAAAAGGATATACAAGGAAAACTAAATAAAGTACAGAATCCCCGGGAGGCAATCTCATTAATATTGTATCTGAAAAATAAAGATTATACATTTTCTAAATTAAATGCCCTTGATTTACCGTATGGAAATTGCTTACAAATAACTAATATAATTTTGGAAAGACAACAGATATCAGTCATTTTGTGTTGTTAGTACCTCAATTGAAATACTCAATTCTGATTGGTTGATGAGGGGTCAAAAAAATGTATTGTTAGTTCCTCAACTGAAATACTCGATTCTGATTGGGTGATTAGCGGTCAAAATTATGTACTGTTGACCGCTACTAGGTACTCTTGATCGCTACTTCTAAAAAAAGTTTCATGACGTCACAAAAAAACATGGAAGACGGACATTTTGTAAACGTTGATGAAAATGACTTTTCTAGGCGACAAGTATAGCAAAAATACAAATAGAAACTTAAAATTAACATTAATTCACTAACGAGTACGCCGTGATGTGCCAAATACAGAGTTAAGCTACTTGTACTGTCTCCAGGTTTTCTAAAAAAAATATTGCTAACGTGGTTCGGAGAAAAGGTTGTGAAATGAAGCCATGCCGATTGATGATTGTCATCTATATGTGTATAATTAGTTTACTCGAACTTACAAAACAATTGTAGACCTCTCCATTCGATCAACCGTCAAAATCATATACCTCGACTGTAAACCTTGAAACTACTGTTGACCTCGACCTTCGGTCTCTGTCAACAGTAGTTTTTCGGTTTACAGTCTCGGTATACAATTTTGCCGGTTGACCTCTGGGGATGTCAACAATTGTAAACTGTTGACCACTACTAGGTACTGTTGACCCCTATTCTTGAAAAATTGTTTTTTTAATGTTGAAATTTTTTTAATTTTGAAAAAATAATTTGTGTAAAAAATTACAAGTATTCGACGGTTTGGGGATTTTTTGCTAAAATATGATACCTTTACTTATCAAATATGTTCTACGATATATTCAATTATATATTCGTCCAATTATTATATTATTTGGACTAACAGAACAATTGTTTACCTCTCTTTTCGGTCAATTGGCAAAAGTGTCCTCGACCTCTGGTCTTGATCAACAGTACTTTCAAGGTTTACAGTATCGGTATACAATTTTGCCAGTTGATCTTAAGAGAGGTCTACAATTGTATATTATATCCTTCAAATTATTATATTCTTCTAACAAACAATTGTTAACCTCTCTATTCGGTCAACTGGTCAAAGTGTATACCTCAACAGTAAACCCTGAGAGTACTGTTGACCTCGACCTCCGAACTTTCAAGGATTACAGTATCGGTATACAATTTTGCCAGTTGACCTCAAGAGAGGTCTACAATTGTATATTGTATATCCTTTGTTATCCCACCCAAAGTATGATGTCATATATCAAGTTGAAGAGTTGTATACGCTGAGTTGTATAGGATGAGTGTTGGTTTAATGATATTGGAGTTATACAATGCTATTATATAAAGGTTATTTACTGAGATGGATTCAATATTGGTTTTATTCCGAGAGACAATATGATATTTCCCGAGGGCCCGGGATATCTGGAATAACTGTACCCCTATCAATTTACCTTTTTAGGCCCTTAATCTTATCACTTTTGCTTACCTTTTTACTCAGTCGGAGAGAAGGAATCCAAAGAGAGCAATAATTCTACATGTGCAAGATTTCCATTAAACGTGTAACTAGACGGCCTCTCTAATAAAGTCAATTAGACGTTTTTACACGTTGGCCCTCCAAATTGGAGGAAATAAAGAATCATATCAAATTATATCATAGATGAAGCAATCATCCCATCAACATAAGCTCACAAATGTCACAGTTAAACTGTTTTAGTTATAATTTGATAAACAGTGGTAACGTACATCTACTAGTTTAGCTCATCATGTTTACCGAGAACGAAAGATGTTTGTCCACCATTTTGAATGATACTAACTGGAGTCAGGGTCATCAAGCTATGGAACAGTGGTTTATGAAAATAGATTGGGTCACTAAAGCTTGCCTTGTTAAAGGCGATTGAACTATGTTATAGAACAACGTCCAGTACATTATAATATTTAAAAGTATAAATTTATAAAATCCTCTCGAGATTTATGGTCTTCTGAAATTATACTATTAATTGGTGTTGTTGCATCATTGCTGAAATCTAGAGGAGTCAGGGCCGTCAGATGGGGGGGTGCGATGGGTGCGACCGCACCCCCCTTTGTCAACCCCCAAAATAAATTTGAAAAAATAATTTTGAAAAAAATAATTTTTTTTGAAAAATATTTTTTTTTGTAATTTTTTTTCATTGACTCATACACTTTGAAAGTACCCAGAAAGCACCAAATAGCATCTTAAAATTGTAAAATTTTCTGGGGGCATTGGCCACCCCTCACACCCCCCACAAAACAATGGAAAAGTTCTAAATTTATTTTAGTGTTTTGTCTCAGACACTTTCAAAGTGCCCAGACATCATCAAATAGCTCCTTGATATAGTAAGTGTTTCTGGGGGACTTGCTCCCCCTCTTGCATCTTGCACTTGCATAACCCCCCCCCCCCTCTGGCGCCCCCCCCCTTGACCCCCTCCCCCCCCAAAAAATTGTGATTTTCTCAAATTCTTTAATTGACTCATACACTTTGAAAGTGCCCAGAAAGCACCAAATAGCGTCGTAAACTTGTAAAATCTTCTTGGGGGAGTGGGCCACCCCTCACACCCCAAACAAAACAATGGAAAAGTTCTGAATTTGTTTTATGTATTGACACTTTTAAATTGCCCAGACATCATCAAATAGCTCCTTGATAAAGTTAATGATTCTGGAAGACTAACACTTACTCGCCCTCTGGCATCCCCACTCCACCTCCCCCTCTGGCAGCCCCCCCCCCTAACACCCCCTTTGAAAGTGCCCAGAAAGCACCAAAATAGCACCTTAAAATTTTCTTTGGAAATAGGCACTTTTAGGCACAGACACTTTTAAAGTGCCCAAACTTCATCGAATAGCACCTTGATATTGTAAATGTTGATATGGTGGACAAACACTTGCTCCCCTCTGGCACCCCAGCCCCACCTCCCCCTCTGGCACCCCCCCCCCCCCCCCCATCGTTGACAACCCCAAAATTTGATGTGTTTGTTTTTCAATGTTTTTATTGACTAATACACTTTAAAAGTGTCCAGAAGCACCAAATATCATCTTTAAATTGTAAAATTTTCTAGGACAGTTAGCCACACCTCAGATCCCCCACAAAACAAAAGAAAATATTCCTTGCTCCCCTACTGGCCCCCACCCCACTTCACCCTCTCATCCTCTTTGACACCCCCAAAATAATTTGAAAAAAAATTCACATTTTTCTTATTGACTCATAACGCACAGGCGTACCAGATGGTTGCAAATTCGCTCCAAATACAACCAAATTTCAAAATTTTCCTGGGGATGGACCCCAGACCCCCCTGAATGCTCGGTTTTTATTCACTCAACTCTTATTCCCGTGGTGGTGGCGTACTACTTGGAAACTTACACTTTGAAAGTGCCCAGAAAGCACCAAATAGCATCTCAAAACTGTAAAATTTTCTAGGGGGAGTGGACCACTCGTCACGACCCCCACAAAACAATTGGAACGTTTGGAAGTTGCATTTGTTAATTCCAAACCAATATAGAGAGTAACTGAGCCCCCCCCCCCCCATCTGACTTACGCGATTTGATTTACGCGGCAAAAAATTGACAATTTTATATTCTCTTTAGTAAGCTAAAAACCGCACCCCCCTTGGAGAAAAGTGTCTTACGGGCCTGGGAGTGTTGTTGCATCTTCGGTTTGGTGTTGTTGCATCAATAGTGAGGAACCAAAACCATGAACTTATTGCTTCTTGGTGATGGTACATGTATACTAATGACAGTTTCTTTAAATATAGATCGTGCGCTAACTGCACGTGTATGGTTATTGAGCAACTCGTCCTAGAAATGGGTTTAATTGGGGAAACAAAATATCGTACGAAAATCTATCACCGGAAGTCTGGCCATCTTGATGCAACAACACGGTGTTGTTGCATCACGATACTCCCCAGTGAATAATTGAATAAGATAGTATTCATATATACCTTCAATGCATCACCACTCAAGTCAAAACCATTTGATTCCCCATCTCCCAGAATACTCGCTCTCTTCTCAGCTTTGGATACAGGGATGTTATCTTTATCTTGTAGGTGTATTACACTCTTCAGTCCCCAGTGGACCCTTAGCAGCCCATCAAATACCATCCTACCATTCACCTCTTTACACTTCAGTTGTCCATTCTTGTTCATGTCACGGTTGTATATCTGGATCCTTCGATTGATCTCTGACCTATCACATATGATTCAATATGGGATTATATTTGATTGTCAAACATTGTCAGTTCTGGAGGTTTACTTCTTTCATTATGTTGTCTATAAGACTACTTTTAATCAGTTTTTAATGAGAAAACATGGAATAGAAGTTTTCAAGAATATTCAAATATTTAACAAAAACTACATGTCTCAAATTAGCAGCTAAGCAAAGAAATGAGTAAATAAACCAGATTCCAAGGTTAAATACTTTTACCCAAATGACCATAATCAAATGTTCAAGATTAACATCTTAGCTTTCGTACCTTTCAAGGGTTGATTCTGGACTGCGTTCCTTCATGTTGCCGAAGCTGGAATGTGCGATTGCGTTCTGGCCTTGACGCAGAAGAGTTGGCCCAAATAGTGCACTGTAACAGGGGAGGTGGCAGTAAGGAGAGCCTTTGTGCTGGAACATGGTGCAGAATACAATAGTAATGAAAGTACATGTATTATAATACTAATTTTAATCATACCTAAACAGGTGCGATATTGTCGTCACTTTTAGCTAGTATGATGATTGGTAAGATATTTCAAAAGAACAAAGGATATACATTGTTGTGTAGGTTAAACTAGGTTGCTTTAGAGGTTTAACCAAGTTGTTTTGAGGTTTAACCAAATTTCTTTTGTTGTTTCACCTTGGCAAGTTGTTTGGTAGGTTTAACCAAATTTGTTTTGTTGTTTCACCTTGGCAAGTTGTTTGGTAGGTTTAACCAAGTTGTTTTGCATTTTTAGCCAGATTTAACAAAATTGTTTTGAAGGATTGAACACAGATTTTTCCAAAAAGCCATGGTTTAATATACTATGGGGCACTGTTATAGCTAGGATTTCTTAAGGGAAGGGGGTACAGTGAGGCATAGCTCACATGATAAGTGTTGGTACAACAGGATTCCTCTAAATCAGGGAAGTGTCAGACTCTTTAAAGCCAATTTAGAAAACCATATACATATATACATGTATGTATAGTAACTGATGATAATTAGATTAAATACATAGAGCAAACATGTAATTTAAGATACAATGGCTATTTAGAGCCACGGGTTTAAATGTCTGATGATAAGTTAATGATAAGATATGGCCAAATTAATTAATTAGTCAGACTTTCTTGTTAAAGCCCCCCCCCCCCACTTGCACAAACATTATATATCATTGTAGTTAAGTACTTTGAATAAGTATAAATGTTAATACAGCACAATATAAATGCCAACCTAAATATAGGGATATCAGAACAAATATATGTGATAATGGTATAATAGTAATTTAATTATGATACAGTAAAACATGTCTAAGTGGAACACCTTTGGCACCTCTTAAATGTATTCTACTTGGGAGGTGTTCTACTTATAGAGGTTCATTTAACATTAAGTCAGTTGGTTTTTGGACTTAAATTATCTACTATGAAGTGCTCCACTTCTTAAGATGTTCCACTTTACAGGTTTCACTGTATGATATTTCATAAAACTGCAATTATATGGGTTATCAACCTATCACATATGAATGCGCTTCTCATTATTATTCATTCAACATAACTTTCATTAAATAAGCACTTCAAAATTGCAAATTCGCCCCATTCTGTGCTCCTTTAATAAGTGCCATTAAACTAGCTCAGCATTGGAAGTTATTTTAAAGGTTGTTCCACTTCAACTGAGAGCAAACTTCATGTACAATTATGTTATCCATCACATACAATATAATAATTAGATCTGGTCACAATTTATGTTTCTGGCAAGACTCCGTCCCTTTGCAATTAGTAACTCATACAAGCTGGCTGTATTAACTGGTTTATACATAGTCACGTTAGGTGTTCGGTTCGGAGTACACTATAATCTACATAAGCATCATGGGCTGGCCAAGGGCATCATGGGCTGGCCAAGGGCATCATGGACTGGCCAAGGGCATCATGGGGACTTTGTCTTTTAGTTATCAAAGTTTGTATTCGCGAATGCAACTAACGCCTGTCGGCTACCGGATTAACTCACACTGTACTATTTTACTGGAAACTTATTTAAATATGAATAGTACCTACCACTATTCCATTCATATCCAAATGAGTTGGTCATAAAATACTAGGTGAATCCGGTAGCCGACAGGCGTAAGTTGCATTCGCAAATACAAGTCTATGTATTTGTATATAGAATAGAGAAGGGAGGAGTGACTTACTCCTCATGATAAATATATCATATAAGTTTTGAACTTTAATTTTAGTTATAAACCATTTTGCCATTCAAATTCCCCAACTCCTTCAAATAATCATATCACTTCTATTTACTGTCTTTACTTCCTAGTTCTATTTACCTTCTTCAAACTTACCTGCTTGGTGATACGTGACAATCCTGGTTGTTTTGAATTTAATCAGATTTATATCCTGGTTAAAAAAACATTTTATATCCAAATATAAGTGCTCAGTAATCCGAGATTATATAAATATTGTGCAAAGTTATAGGTCGACCTTCACTTAGTTTTTCAACCAACTGTTTGTTGTTCTCACACTATCAGGCCTCTGCTATATTATCAGCTGCAGCAATATATTAAGTTTCTTTGAGACTAAAACTTTCAGAGTCTGGTTAACTTGAGCCTTCCAATATGGAGGTCTTCCATTGTGAGAACACAGTGAAGGTTTTCAATGTAAATAACCCAATGGGCCACGATAAACACAATATTGTATAAACCTTAGAAGACACTTCCTAGTGAATATGTTTTTTTGCTTTTTTATCTAACTGTCAGAATTCTATTACTGCTATCTATTTCCTCTAGGAATTGAACAATATCTAGAGGAAGTTATAATAGAATAACCCGAACAGATGTTGCCAGTGAAGGGTGGATGAAAAAAGCAAGCTGTTGAATTGACTAATTAGAATTTGAAATATTGAAGAATTTGGAAACTTCAAGGGATAGTTTAAAATAAATAAAAACCTCAAAAAATCATGAGAACATGAACTCAAAAAATGACTCTCTTGCAGAGTATGTGACAGCAATACATGGTAAGTACTAGGGTTGTGCATCGTTCATATTTGTAATTTACAGATTTAAAAGATTTATGTATTAATGAGACTCAAAAACCATTCTTAACTTCTAGCCTATATAATCACCAACTCATCTATCTGTCTCTGTCCATCTGTCCATCTGCCTGTCTAGTTGATTCTTAACACTTTTTGGATTTTTTCATCTTTTAATGAGTATGGTTATATTTTTACAATTTGTTTTAATAAAAATCAAATATTGAGCCTGTTCAACCTTATAATCACGCGGTAGTATCTCTTCGGGACGTATCGAAACCACTCCGTCCCGAAAAAACCGTTAATTTGAATTTAAAACCTACCCCAGTGTTTTGAAAATCAAGGATTGTGAGTCTCACACTTCACCGTTTTTCTTCAAACTTGTTCCGTACAAAGCTTCACAGAAATACCTTTCAGTCGATACATTGTTTTCGTGTACAAAGTACCTCGTTTTAGCGGCGTTTTGGTCCCCAGCTGTGAGATAAAGCAAATTTTCATAACTTTCAACTGTAAGTCAAGTTATCTCGCCAGTCTTTTACCCATTCTCGCCCATAATTTCAGAATGGACTCCCATTACAACCTTCCATCGCTACGTCTTGATTTTTGGGCATCAAACGCAGCAGTTTCTAAATCATCCACACATCTCTTCAAATTTGACCAATACGTCCCGTCATCTTCCACTACGCCCCGCCGAGTCTATCACTATACACGTAGAGTTGCATTCTAAAACAATTTGTCCATCGATGTGTCCGTTTGTAGGTTGCCATTGTCGATTCTAAATACTAATCGGATTGTGTTTTAAGATTTACCCATTCTTGTCCATTTTCAATATACACGTACCTATAATAGGGTGGTCCAAAATCTCCCTAAAATTTAGATTTCCCGATATTGCAATATAAAGATTTTAATTACTGAACAATTGAAAATATTTTTAAGAAACGTTTAAAGTGCCCTATCCTTGAAAAAATGTTAAAATGCGAAAGGATGGGTGATGTCAATTATATTATTTTCAGCATAACGTTAGAAACATGTATCATTTTATATGGTACACGTTTCATAATGTAATCCAATGGAATCATACAGAAGAAAGGTTGACACACAACAGTTAAAATCTTTATATTACATTATCAGACCAAGTCAGTAGATGTTGTTTATATACCAATTAGTGTTGTATGATGATGCATTCTTTATATGAATCTAGAAACGTTTTTGTGCCAATATTGCTCAATTTTGATAACATCTCCGTTATTTTGAAATTAAGCGTGGCAAAGTTTCCCGATAGATTTAGCTAAAAAAAAGTGGTGCCTGTAGGGTTATTGAAAATCATACATGATGAAGAAAAAATACATATTCCTGAAATACAACAGTTTAATTTTGAGTTATAAGCCATTTATGAAAACGGCATATTTGTCAAAATTACCAAAACTTCAAGTGAGACGCATGGCAAAATTTCCCAGGGGTCTAGAGTGGAAATATTTGTACCAAGAGTCAATTTGTAACTAGAATCAATCAGATGACAGATTTTTGGAAAATTTTTCAGATTTGGACAACCCTAACCTATAACTTTGTTGAACCTGAAGAAACGTATCAACTTTTTGTTAAATAAAGATAGCAAATTCAGCTGTCTACTGTCTACTGTCAATTTTATAAGTATTTCCCCGGCAGGTTATGTAGATAAAAATTCAAACATAAATAGGCTTTAACACGTAGTTCAATGGGGAGCTAAGGTTGCCAAACTTATGGAGGGGACAGTATTATGTAAAAGTATATTTTGTCACCAATTACAAGAAAACTTCTACTGCATTATTGAAACTATTATCCCGGTAAAGGACCTGTTTCAGATTCTATTACCGCCTCCCCATGAAAAAATATAAATTCATCTGATATTTCAAAATCAATGTACAGGTTTAATTATAACATTTATGTGTACACTAGAATCCTGTTGACCTATATTCAGCACTGTATTGATGGTTAGACCATTTATTGTTGCAAAACAAGATTCCAGATTTTATTGTGTTTCAAACCAGACACTTGGTTTCCTCACAAAATCAAATACAGGACAATTACATATAATTAAAGTTAAAAAGCAACATCTTCACAAACATTTAAATTATCAATTTCATGCAATCAGTTATAGTTATACTCCGTATGCATGCTAAACTTAAGACTGGTGTTAAGAATCGACGGCAAGGCAAACCTATGTAAAATTACACAACCACGCGGTAGTATCTCTTCGGGACGTATCGAAACCACTCCGTCCCAAAAAACCGTTAATTTGAATTTAAAACCTACCCCAGTGTTTGAAAATCAAGGATTGTGAGTCTCACACTTCACCGTTTTTCTTCAAACTTGTTCCGTACAAAGCTTCACAGAAATACCTTTCAGTCGATACATTGTTTTCGTGTACAAAGTACCTCGTTTTAGCGGCGTCTTGGTCCCCAGCTGCGAGATAAAGCAAATTTTCATAACTTTCAACTGTAAGTCAAGTTATCTCGCCAGTCTTTTACCCATTCTCGCCCATAATTTCAGAATGGACTCCCATTACAACCTTCCATCGCTACGTCTTGATTTTTGGGCATCAAACGCAGCAGTTTCTAAATCATCCACACATCTCTTCAAATTTGACCAATACGTCCCGTCATCTTCCACTACGCCCCGCCGAGTCTATCACTATACACGTAGAGTTGCATTCTAAAACAATTTGTCCATCGATGTGTCCGTTTGTAGGTTGCCATTGTCGATTCTAAATACCAATCGGATTGTGTTTTAAGATTCTTACCATTAACTCAGAGACATATAAAACGTCTCTGCTTCCTCATAATGGCGGTAAAATGAAGTATGCTATCTTCCCATTGAAGAGTTCAACTAATTTCGTCCAGTGCAATCAGTGAAAATTGAATCAGTGAAATGTACCAGTGTGAAAGAAATTATGGTCCTCTGGGGATTATGGTCCTAGTCTCTATTGATTTATATGGTGACCTGATTACAATTATTTTCCTTATTACTTATACACAATCAGGGCCAGAAAGGGCCGTTAGGAAAGGGGACCATAATCCCCAGGGGACCATAATTTCTTTCACACCGGCTTTGTTAGTACTTTGCCTTGGATGTCATACAGTACATTTACACTGTGGCATGATGATGAACTTCGAAAATATGTATAGTCATGACAAAATGTTCTTTGTGACATAATATTGTATAGTATCATTCTGATACGTATTTACATATTTATGTTTAGTGCATAAAATTCATAGCCAGATCAATAATTCGGAGAGAATACGCTGGGCGATAGAATATTAAAAACTATAAAAACATTCTTCATAGAATAAAGCAAATAGTGTTATTATCATTTAAGTAGTAACTGCATATGTTTAAAACCACTCTGTTTAAATACAGGTAAATAAATAAATATGATGCAATGAAAATTGAAGCTTTCTGTCGAGAGCAATAGTCATCACAATAGTATAGCGTTTTTTCTTTTACATGTTACTTTTTGTACATCATTGATTGATCCGCTCTAATCTGCCCTCGGCCGAAAATTTATAATTATTTATGTTGAACATTAGCAAAACAAGATTCCAGATTTTATTGTGTTTCAAACCAGACACTTGGTTTCCTCACAAAATCAAATACAGGACAATTACATATAATTAAAGTTAAAAAGCAACATCTTCACAAACATTTAAATTATCAATTTCATGCAATCAGTTATAGTTATACTCCGTATGTAAACTTAAGACTGGTGTTAAGAATCGACCAAGGCAAACCTATGTAAAATTACACAACGATGAATAAAATGTTTTAGAATACAACTCCACGTTTGTCGTCATAGACTCGGCGGGGCGTAGTGGAAGGTGACGGGACGTATTAGTCAAATTTTAAGAGATGTGTGGATGATTTAGAAACTGCTGCGTTTGCTGCCCAAAAATCAAAACGTAGCGATGGAAGGTTGTAATGGGAGTCCATTCTGAAATTATGGGCGAGAATGGGTAAAAGACTGGCGAGATAACTTGACTTACAGTTGAAAGTTATGAAAATTTGCTTTATCTCGCAGCTGGGGACCAAAACGCCGCTAAAACGAGGTACTTTGTACACGAAAACAATGTATCGACTGAAAGGTATTTCTGTGAAGCTTTGTACGGAACAAGTTTGAAGAAAAACGGTGAGGTGTGAGACTCACAATCCTTGATTTTCAAACACTGGGGTAGGTTTTAAATTCAAATTAACGGTTTTTTCGGGACGGAGTGGTTTCGATACGTCCCGAAGAGATACTACCGCGTGACAACGATGAACAAAATGTTTTAGAATACAACTCCACGTTTGTAGTCATAGACTCGGCGGGGCGTAGTGGAAGGTGACGGGACGTATTAGTCAAATTTTAAGAGATGTGTGACTTACTTGACTTACTTGACTTACAGTTGAAAGTTATGAAAATTTGCTTTATCTCGCAGCTGGGGACCAAAACGCCGCTAAAACGAGGTACTTTGTACACGAAAACAATGTATCGACTGAAAGGTATTTCTGTGAAGCTTTGTACGGAACAAGTTTGAAGAAAAACGGTGAAGTGTGAGACTCACAATCCTTGATTTTCAAACACTGGGGTAGGTTTTAAATTCAAATTAACGGTTTTTTCGGGACGGAGTGGTTTCGATACGTCCCGAAGAGATACTACCGCGTGATAATATTAATATGAGCTTTAGATTTTTCATCAATCAACTGTTTCATAGATGGAATTGCTGGTTCAATGTACAGTTTGGACTGTAGGCCTAATAGCACAATGTCTTTTGGCATCCTTACCTCAGCATGTTGTCCAGGATTGAGGACTTTACCACATTCTTCACATCTGAGACATTGCCTGTGCCAGTCCTTGCCTAAAGAAGTCTTTGCTTCAGCTGGAAGTGAGATATCAAATTATCAAATTCCTGTTTACCAGGTATTAGATAACAGGTCCATGGAATAACTACTGTACTCTCCGTAATTTCCATGTGCTACTTTATTTCTGATTTTGTGAAATACTGAAATATAACAGTCATGAAAAATTTCAATAGTTCTAATTTGTTCCCTGATAGTGACCTTCAGCCTTGACATGCATATTATATTATATATGTATGTTTAATGCACTATGGCTACAAGACGTGACATCCCTCATGGGCAAAGCCAGGGGATGCGATCACTCCACCCTACCCCCACAAAAGACAAGGCATTAACATGACAAAATGTCACCACCTCTTTGCTCCCCATATTATGAGTTCAATCTCAAGTCAGATTTGAATTTCTGAAAACTTCTAGATGATTTTGAAAAAATAAATTGGTGAATTTGAAGCAAGTTAAAAAGACCTTTTTTGAACATAAGAAGGTCATTGAAGGTGAAATCTCAAATCTATAGTCAAATTTGAACTTCTGAGAACTTGTAGATGATTTTGATAAAAAAAAATCAAAAAAATTGGTCAATTTGAAGCAAGATGAAAAAAGACCTTTTTGACCATGAGAAGGCCATTGAATGTCAAATCTATAGTCAGAGTTGAACTTCTGAGAACTTGTAGATGATTTTGAAAAAAGGTCAATTTGAAGCAAGTTGAAAAAAGACCTTTTTGACCTTGAGAAGGTCATTGAAGGTAAAAAAAGCCAGCTTTGAACTTTTGATAACTTGCAGATGATTTTGAAAAAAAAATTGGTCAATTTGAAGCAAGTTGAATTTTTTTACCTTTTTTTACCTTGACAAGGTCATTGAAGGTCAAATCTTTTTTGACCTTAAGAATGTCATTGAATGTCAAAACTATAGTCAGATTTCAACATTTGAGAACTTGTAGGTGATTTAAAAAAATTGGTCAATTTGAAGCAAGTTCAAAAACGACCTTTTTGACCTTGAGAAGGTCATTGAAGGTCAAATCAAATCAAAAGTCAGATTAGAACTTTTGATAACTTGTAGATGATTTTGAAAAAAAGATTGGTCAATTTGATGCAAGTTGAAAAAAGACCTTTTAGACCTTTTTTGACCTTGAAAATGTCATTGAAGGCCAAATCTTTAATATAAAGTCAGATTTGAACTTCTGAAATCTTGTAGAAGACTTTGAAAAAAATTGTCAGTCTAAACCATGGGGTACCATCGAATAATTTTGGCAACGTACCGGAGAACGACATTTTACTAAGAAATGGCAATAATTTAGCACAATATATTTTTTAACTAGAGTTCTACTTTGATTTGACAAAAGTAAGTATTCCATGCAATGGCTATTTCATTCATGAGTTTGTAGGAATTCAGTTGGAACCCAGTTCTGATCAAGTACGAAGTTATTGAAATCGGCGCAGTCTGACTTTACTCCGAAAGATGGTTTTTCGATTATAACTTTTTACAACATTTAAGTATAGACTTTTGAAAAAAGTACAGAATAGTCCTTATACTATTGAATAATTCTGTTATTTCTGATTCACACGACTCTGATTTGTTTAATTAAAAAAAAAGTTTTAAAAATATTACTTAGGAATGTAACCGGAGCTGGGAACGTAACCGGAGCAGATCAGTTGAATTATATAATTTAAAAAAATAAAATATATGATTTAAAGCATATATATTAATAAATACGCATTCAAACAATCCTGTATGTTTTTAAATTAGTATATGTGCTTTAAATCATATATTTTAATTTTCGAAAGTAAGTGTCGAAAGAAACATTGACTCGAGTCTGTGCTGAGATATACAAAAGTTAGGTCTTGTAAATATGTTTCTATTTTTCATAAACTGTTGCAATATGATGTATTTGAATGCTTATTTAATTCAAATTACTAAAGATAAAACACTTATTCTAGTGAGAAGTTCATATGGTTAAAATAACGAAATAATGAAATGTTAACATGTGTCTACTTAACAGTTTGTTCTATGTCATCCATCCTGCTAGGTTACATTGTGGAACGCAGCCAAAAACGACAATGAAGGCAACAACATATCGATATTGATCTTAGCAGAATTTTGGGAAATTTAGATCATCCATTTTGCAAGCTCACGTGACTGATCATTGTCGATCTATTGATTCATAAAGACCTGAAATGATGCATTCAAATAAGAACGCCTCCTAAATGGAAATACTACACATAAAGAAGTGAAAAACAACGAACTAAATTTGAAAGATCGCAACGTTCGCTACTTTGTTCAATTCCGGAAATCTCCAAGGGGCTGCAAATGGGAAATTTTTTAGATTTAGATTTTATAACTTCAGAATACTGCCTAATTGTCATGTTTGGCTGCGTTCCACAATGCAACCTAGCAGGAAACTGCTAAGTAGACACATGGTAGCATTTCATTATTTCATTATTTTAAGGACAGGGTACATGTTGGGAAATTTTCTGCATTCCTCAATTGAGTCACATGTTATTTTTCAAACAAGAATAACTCCTTCCCCACATTGTCTACATCTTCCAAGTTTGCACAAAGAGTGCACTTATGTGCCTAGAAAAGCTTTGTGAGAAGGTTTGTTTTGTAAAATGTATAAAAAATGAGAAAATTCAGTGAAAAAATTTCTGAAAATTTTCTGATTTTTTTCACTAAATTTTCTTGTTTTTTATACACTTTATCAAAACATTCTTCTCACAAGTCTTTTCTAGGCACATAAGTGCATTCTTTGTGCAAAACTGGAAGATATAGATAATGTGGGGAAGGAGTGATTCTTGTTTGAAAAATAACATGTGACTCAATTGAGGAATGCAGAAAATTTCCCATCATGCACCCTGACCATATGAACTTCTCACTAGAATAAGTGTTTTATCTCTAAATTGAATTTTGAATCGGACTGTATTTGGGAGTATTGATTGATCACAAAAATATTATAACTAATGAGCCAGATCCATGTCCCGTCCATGTCACACAAGTGCAGTTTGATTGCCCAGAATATATTGCTCTATTATTGGTCCTGGCTGGGTCAAAAAAACAAAAACATTTTTGGCAGAGAAACGTCACTCACCAAAGTAAACAGGCTTTCCACATCGAGCACATTTTTTGGTCATGACTAGAAATACAGAAAAAAAGTAGTCATGCGGACGCCTATCAGCACAATCTCATATCGCGTTGAGGAAACATTATTATTCTGCAATATATTTGAATATTTTGCCAAATTACTCAACCGGAAGTACTTTGAAAGTCTCACACCACAATTTATTTATTGTCAACGTTTGGACGTGACATCTATTTGAGGTAGGATAGGTTAGAGAATACCTGCCCAATACAGGGTGAGCCAATATAAGATATTAGATGGAAAAACTCCAAAATAAATCGTTGTTGCTTGAAACCTGTCCTGAATACTGGCTATGATGTTATTCTTACATTTGTCAAAATTTCTGAAACTGAAAAAAATCACTCACCTCGATATCGACAAAAGTTTCAGTTTTGAATTTGATCGACTGTGAGAACAAAATTCAAGCTGAGCTAAACGGTTTTCGTTAACTACGTCATCTAGTGAATGAATCGCTGACCTACCTATAGACTACCACCTATAAGTTTATCGAATAAAAATGACATTTTTGGATCCAAGATGGAAAGTAAAAAAATTGTAAACTCCGCTTGACATATTCCATGTCACTATATTTTCTTCTTGATGAGACACATCAGAACTTGGAATTCATATCCATTCAACAAAATCGCAGAAAAGTATGTAAATTAGGTGTTCAACATGTTCAATTGTGTTAATATTCTCGATATTATTCCTTCAAGGCCGTCCTTTACTGTAAACTGTAATATTTGGACATATTTTTACAAATTCAACAAATGACAAGATTTTGAATGCCTATATAAAAATGACATTGTTAAAAATGGTATTTCCAGACCAGAATAAAAGCACAACATAAAAAAGTAGATTGGTTGAGCCAGAACTCAAACTATTGTCTGATCCCGTGGGAAGCGAGCATTTTCCCTCTTGAACACCCAGGCTTATTAATACAAGAGGTGGTCAATGAATGCTATGCATTTAAACGGCTCTAATATACCAGTTATGTCATATTCCAAGGCAAAATTTTTTCAAGAAATCGAATGGCTGGCGAACACGAAATTGTTATCATGACACCTTCATTTTGAGTATTTGTACCAAATCTTTGCCCCATTTGATCATCACCGTATACATTCTCTCATTTTAGCTCAAAATATCACCAGGGACATCGGAACAACCCACGATTGCTTTTCATCGACAGGTGCAGGTTTAACCAAACCAAAATTCTTCATTCTACCAAGTTTGGGTTCTGTAAACCTGGTAAAATGGCCACAAAATCGTGACCATTCGGCATAGATACTAGTATTCCGTAATTCCGCTGCGTGGACGGAATTTGACAAAACTTCAATCTCCTACCTTTGCGGGGTATTTGAAGAGTGTCTGTTTATGCCCAACAATCAATCATTATTGAGTACAAGTACGATTTCACCGTGAAATTCAACATTCTATCACGTTTAAATTCACTAAAGCGAGTTCGCTAATGACGCGCAGTTCTTACCTAGAAAGGTAAATCCCTTGCTACGTCAATTTTCATCGTTTTAAAAGATTGCAGAATTTTGACTTTTTTTGAAAATTTGTGCAGAATTTCAATTTTCTCCTTGCAGAATTTGCTTTTTTTCTTGCAGAATTTTGATATTATTTTTTTCATGCAGAAAACTAGTATCTGTGATTAAGAATGGACTTATGAAACATAGTGGATTGAAAGAACATTGACCAATTGTGTCAAATATGAAAACCTTTTCAGTATGACCGAGTAACACTTTATTAGGTTACCTTTTTTTGCTCACCCAGTACCACATATTGTGATTGCATCAAACCAGTGTATCCTGCCCACATCCAGTCCCTTACACAGAACACTGTAATCCAATATTAAAACTAAGTGACATGTAATTTGAGATCATATGGATCAGAAAATATTGTAATGATCCATTTCCTTGACTGATAAGAAATTAGATGCTTCCACTTTATCACACCCGGTGATCGTGAAATTGGGACGGAGGGGGGGAGCAGGCAATTTCCGCTAGAAAATTCAACAAATCTGGTAAAATTATTTTTTCAAGACAGCGTTTACGATTGAATTGCAAATTGAATAAGCGCACGGTATGATAAAATATGTTAGGTGTTCTAGGATTATTTTTCAACCGATACTCTTTTAAGATATAAGATCTATTAAAAAAGGCGCAACGCAACCAACGTGCAAAAGTCAAAGTTTTTGCTATAAATCAAGCAACAATGGACTACACGACCTGTAATAAATACTTGTAAGTGATGTTATCATAACTAAATTAATGTCATTGCTGAATTTATAAAATAAGTTTCAATACGTAAAATAAAAAATAATCGAAAATAATTAAAATGGGACGGAGGGGGGGAGGGGACGGAGGGGGGGAGTAATAATTCTATAAAGTGAAACAACTTCACACGAATTCTTGTATTTGAAAAATGAACTCATTAACTTAGTAAGAAACTGGATGATATACCCCTGGAGACTGAAAAATGGGGACATTTGGAGTAAAAGGACTTAAAGTCGCGAAACATCTCTAATCATGTCTTATATACATATTGCTCCCCCCCTCCGTCCCCTCCCCCCCTCCGTCCCAAATTCATTATTTTCGATTATTTTTTATTTCACATATGGAAACTTATTTTATAAATTCAGCAATGACATTAATTTAGTTATGATAACATCACTTACAAGTATTTATTACAGGTCGTCCAGACCATTGTTGCTTGATTTATAGCAAAAACGTTGATTTGTGCCTGTTGATGGCCTTGCGCCTTTTTTAATAGATCTCATACCTTAGATGCGTATCGTTTCAGAAAAAATCCCAGAAAACCTAACATATTCTACCATACCGTGTGCCTATCCATTTAGCAATTCAATAGTAAACTTTTTCTTGAAAAAATAAATCTTCCAGATTTGTTGAATTTCCTAGCAGAAATTGCCTGCTCCCCCCCTCCGTCCCATATTCACGATCACCGGGTGTGTTTATTGTCTTATTCATTTTTCCCATTCTGAATGATAAATCAACATGAGCCAAAAATAAAACTCATTAACTTGGCCTTGGTCCACCTCAGTATTATTATTATTATTATTACAGTATTAGTTTAACTTGAGATTTTTTCTAGTCTGCGCTTGCATGTGTAAAAATTGTACTTTTTCAAAGTTCACGTTCAGTAACACAAAAGACATAAATCATTAGTTCAATATTATGTACAGTATATAAAATGTTTATTTACTTTGAGTTACAAATAGATCACTGTTTTTTACATTAAAATCAGATAATTAAAATCTATGTATGACATCTACTAAAATGTACCACACGGGTCTATTCTGGTAGAAGCATGAGGTGAAGAGATGTGTGCTTACTTACAATATACTATCTTCTCTTACACATAAATGAATGAATGGCTCAACGGCAAACTATAACTAATGTTAATAATGAAGAAGAAATAATCTACAATGTCTGATGAAAGATGAAAAACACAACAAATATATTGATTGAAAATTCCATGAGTTGAGTATCAATAAAATAATTCAATGTCTCATATGTGTGCGTCCTTCGAGACTTGGGGTCACAATCATGATAGCAATTTGGTCACTCCTAATTGACTTGTTTGGCCAGGAATGATTGGTGTGTATGATGAGGAAAACATGAGGTGTAACGAGATCATTATGGCCAAACAGATGTCGCTCATTCACAGTCTCGGATAAATGCACATGTACAAAGCCATTGGCTCGACTGTCTATGGATGTTATATTGTCTATGCTGCCTTGGAGCCCTTTTTGCCGATAAGTGACTTATGAATATGTGGGATTACACCTGGAAATAGAAAAGTTTACAATGAATGCATTGAGAATCACGCAGCAAAAAATTGATTGCGAGACAATAATAAAGATAACAAAACTTGCCCTTTGTGTAATTTATAATCGAAACCTATTTCAATTTTATTCTAATTTGGCCCATACAAAATGCTAATTTTTGGCAAATATCTTTAAGAGAAAAACAAGGTTTAGTGGTGATTCCAAGCACAACATTATATAGATGTCCGTCTCAATTCTGTTTTAATAGTCTACCAGTTCAGGTCCACTTCTGGCCCGGACACATTAAATATGAAGCAAACAAGTTATCATGGTCAAGACCAATCATCATGTGACTTACTTGTATGGGCTTTTTTATTTATTTGTTGATTACGATGCAAATATATTTAATGTGAATTACTTACCACCACCAGCTATAGTAGCTTTGATTAAGGAGTCCAATTCTTCATCACCACGGATGGCCAACTGTAAATGACGGGGAGTGATTCTCTTTACCTTCAGATCTTTACTGGCATTGCCTGCCAACTCAAGCACCTGCAACACAAACAACAGTAATAGGTTGATAAGGGGAAAACAGACGTATGATAGCTGCATTATAAGGCAATAAGGTAAAGGTACCAATGACCTGATGACACGCTTTATGTAAGCTACAGTACTAATCAAAGAAAAGATTCTGCCAATGAATGTACTAGGTTTTCTTATAAGGACCCTTTGTGTTCAATAGAAGTCGGGCTTGATCACAGGTATGTTTTCCTTCAAAAAATGCTTGTCGCATTATTTCAAACTCCAAAAGTTGTACCTTTGAAGTAAGCTAGTCAATTTTTCTTGTGGATAGAATCTAAAACTCAATCAAGTACTATGGACAACTCACTAAGAACTAAATAACTATTCATAAAACCTTGCATGTCTGAACCCTGAATATTCTTGTTGATCTGAAATTTCGTAATTTGTATTTTAAAGTTCTTATATGAAATACAAATAGGCCACTTCTTTAAAAAGAAAATTTGAGTTTACATTCAACAGTACAATAATGTTAGTTTACACTACACATTCATCAATTAACTTTCAAAAGCTTAAAATCAATTACAATGCTACTGAACAAACATTTGGCTCAATTGATGATTTGCGATCACCGAATGGATTCTGTCTTTTAGTGACGTCACAATTAGGTCACACAGCTTTAGATGCTTGATTTTGAGAGATTATCTTCTATATTTCGTGCTTTTTTGATTTATTTTTCACGAAAGCTTTCTATTTGACTAGATCAACATTCATGCTAAGCACATACCAAGTCTAAGGTCTTACTGACATGATTTAGATAGCGGTTTAGCCAAAAACGGGGGGCGCTTATAGGCATCGATGTTTAGTATGAATTTCACCCAAACTTCGCATATATATAGACATACTCATGATCTAGTCAAATAGGCATACCTGGTAAATATCCGACCCATGGTTTTTATATAAGAAACGACAATATTTTTAGCTCAAAACTGCCACGTGTCCGCCATTTCGTGATTCCATCATGTCTAATATCATTTCTATATGACGTCATACCAATAAGACGAAATACGTGACAACAGTATCCATAAACAAAATTCCTGAATTCTGATCGCAAAAGGTCAATTAAATCAAAAGGACTTTGAACATGGAATAAATAACTCAAGCCATGATATAACATTTGCCAATATGAGATAAATCTATGAAAATCATGCTTAATATTTACATAGGGCAATCATTATCTAATTTTCAAATTGAACTAGCTGCATACATTAATAAATAAAAATAAAAAACAACATAAGGGTTGCTTTCAGGCAGCAAAAATGCAAATACCAAGAACAGGTTTATTAACATGGCCAACATAATAATATTAGGCTAACAAATAACTGTGATAATCTGGATTCAAAAGTTTAAACAGTCAGTTTCACTTGTTGTTACTTTCAAATCTAGATTGCCAAATAATCTTATTTCAAGAAATCAGAACAATACAAACTTTTAATATAAGTAGCTTATTAATCTGATTCTGATTGCAAAACATATTGCCAACTCATGCAACCAATTCAAACAGTAGATTTCTAAATCACCAATTACTGTTAATTAATAGTAACAATATTAGGCTATTAACAACAGTGTTTGGTTTACATTTGCTTAACTTTGTAGGTAGGTAGCACAACAACAAAAACTCCCTCAACGTGACACTATTTAGAAAACTTAATTTGTATTCAAGTCTTCAATTTCCCCTCTGTACTCTGTATCAAAACCCTGGCAAAACCAGCCGAGGTCCATATTATAATGTTATTTTGCCAATTCTTGTTAAAAATCAACTTTAAATACTCAATATTAGATAATCATTTGGGAACTAAGTACATGGGCCCCCAATAGCATACTTTTCATAACCTAAACCAAAATTACTGCTTGTTTTTTATGAAATCCGAAGAATTGCATAAGACAAAGAGCCAAGTCCTTCTTGACATCTTGCATCAGAATTTCAAATTGAGCTGATAAAATAATTATAAAAGATTCCATGGTCACTATTATTTCATGTTTTACTACAGCAACTAGGCTTACGTCCACCCTTATGTCATGTCATCAGAGTGATTTCCATCCACAAAAGGTCAAAGTCAGTTCAAATTTTTCCCTCCATTTTTTGAACTTGTATGTTTACAAACAATGAATAATTTAGTACTCACTTCAGCGGTGAGGTATTCAAGGATGGCTGCACTGTATACTGCTGCTGTAGCTCCTACTCGCCCATGGCTTGTAGTTCTGTTCTTTAGATGTCTGTGGATACGACCAACAGGGAACTGAAAACAAAACAAATTGTCGAATGTAATGTTTACATTTTGGCGCCGTTCTACAACTTCCTGTTCTAACTTTTTGATGTTTTCGGACACATTTTGAAACGCAATCTTTACTCATTCAGTTGGTCTATAAAATAGTATCTATAATAGTGCGAAATGTGCATATTTTACCTGTAGACCAGCCCTAGCTGAACGTGAAACGGCCTTTGCCTTCGCCTTTCCAGAATCTTTTCCAGCTTTACCTCCAGCCTACAAAAATGTCAATAAAATTTGTACCAAATGAGCTGCCTCCATAAAAAACTGTTCAGCGTATAGCTAAAACATTTCTCTACAACATATCGTAGTTTTAAATAATGGATGTTATATATAAAAGGTAGATTTTTCACGATTTCTTACCATCTTTTCGCTTTGTGTTTTCTTCCAAAATAAACGGACGCTAACGCTAGGCGCCAAATTTAGGTCACCAATATATCGGTCATGTGACGATAAGTGGCCAATTAAAATGCAGTAGTTTTTAAAATTGGCCAATGAAAATCTCGCAACGGAAAACTCCGATCATTGACGAGCTTGTTTTACACCCTGCTAAAAGATGGCAGTTTGAACAGTTACCAAAACTGAGGTTGCAAAGTAAAAATTGAACGATTTACAATGTTTATTTTCTTATTTCATTGATTAATATGGCTGAAATATCCTAGGGGGCAATTCATATATTTATGCGGATAATAAAAGAATTCTTTAATGTGATCCATATCGCATAATTTCATTTTATGATTTACAAATATTTTCCATAATATACCAACTCCAAGTCCAGTCTAAAATGGCGAAGCATCATCCGGATTTGATTTTTTGTCGCAAACAAGCCGGTGTTGGTCAGTATATCTGTTATCCCCTTCTAATATAAGCATATTTTCTTTTCAAGAAATCTTATTTTAATACGTTGGCCAGTTTTTAGTGCCATATCTCTTTCAGTTTTACTACAATTTTGAACTTTGTACTTTTTTAATTTTGTTTGAAATTTCTTTGAATCAATTCAACATCGACGACCACGATTCATGGATTTCATGTTTTTCTGGAACTATGAACAAAATCAAAATAGTTGAAACGAAAGCACAATTATGTCAATAATCTGCAAAAGGCTAATAAGCCCATATAAAGCAGATATATAATTTAACAGATATAGAATTTTAATAGAATATAATTTAAAATCTTAACATTTAAAAATAGATCTATGGTTTACAACTCATTTTAAAATTGAAAGGAACCTTCCTGGTTGGCCCCTGTACCCCCTAGGAAGTCCCTTTATGTTGAAATACCCTGGGGAGACTGTCAGGCTACCGTTGACATCACCCCTCTTTACCAGTAGTGCAGGCTTGTTGCTGTGCACTGGGACCCTTTACATTAAAACATAGATCTATATTAAAAACACACCTATTTAATTGCAGTTATTGACATAGGCATAGTATGATGATTTAAAACTACTTAGACTGTCACAGTCTAAGATGTCACCAGGTAGAGTGTTCCATTTAGCTATTGTCCTAGGGAAATAGCTAAATTTGTATGCATCCGTTCTAGTTGATGGTTGTATGAACTTAGAAGGATGATACAACCTAGTGTTGGTAATGATCTGTTGGCGGAAGTATGGAGGCACGTCGATGGCTGCTAGGTTCTGCTTTCCTTTGTAGAAAAGGAAAACTCTAGCAGCCTCTCGACGCTCCTTCAGTGGCTCCCACTGTAGGTCTTGAAGAGCTTTGGTGACGCAGCCTGGTTCCCTCGAGTGACATTTGGTTACAAACCTGGCTGCTCTTCTCTGTACCTGTTCCAACATATCAATATCTTTTTGTCGGTATGGATCCCATGTCGAGCTGGCATACTCTAAATTAGGCCGGACTAGTGACTTATACGCCTGAGCCTTCACTTTTTCAGGGCATTGATGGAGGTTGCGCCTGAGAAATCCAAGCACCTTATTGGCTTTGGATACAATAGTTTGAATATGTGTAGTCCAGCGTAAGTTATTTGTGATGTCAATTCCTAGGTATGGGATGTGTGTTACCGACTTAAGGTTTTCCCCTAGCATGGTGTAATTGTGAATGATAGGGGATTTACCTTTGTAAACTATTGTACACTAAGTCCCGCTTAGATTCAGTGCAGCTTGAAGATTGTATCAGTAAAGCAATATATTTTATCCCAGGACTATAGTCCTGGACCGAGCCTTATCTTTTGCCTGTACGATTACAACTTAAGAGAATTATCTATGCCCCTTACACTTAAGATACCTACTTCAATAGATTCCTTGGTATTTTAGCATTCTTTTCGTGTAGTTGAATCACAGTGAGCACTATCACTCTTCAGATATTCAGATATTAGACTGAAAGTGCGGTTACTCTTTGACTTCCGGTTTGGACTCCCGTTTTTGTTTGGTCATAATCACTGAATTAGTGTATATTTTACCTTATTTTTTAACTTCAGTTGAGTCTCAATACTCTGAGCATTATTTTGATACTTAAAACATGGTCAGAATCGCTTGCAAAACGCAGATATCATGGGCTTTCAAGCCATGCAGATATTGAGCTTGAAGCTTGAAACTCTGCTCATGGACATGACCTCATATCTTTTTTAGATCATCGAGAAATCGATAAAAAAAAAATTCTGACAAGTTACAAAAATATGAAAGTTGAATAAACATAAAATATCACTCACTGCCCCATGTAAAAGTGGAGTAAAATCAAGAATGTCATCTCTTGTTTTTACAACATGCCACGCCACACATGGGGCAAAATGAAGCGAACTAAAGTGAAGTAAAGTAAGAACATGTGCCCTCTTTTGCCACGCATGTAAAAACATGGGTTTTTTCCTAAGGGCGAGCAAAGCCCCTGGCATGAGAAAAAACAATTTAGAATTTTCTTTTTTTCTAAGTTACCGGACTTCATTCTATTGTATTAGATATTAGATAGATGGTGCTGACTGCTGACTTTGAGTTGAATCCACAATTGTCTGGGTTTATCGGCAGAACGAAGAAAATCAGAGATATTATAAATGTTTAGTTTTCATGGAAGTTTTATCAAAGTGAACATGTTTTTAGGTTGAATTCTTAAAAATTGGCCGGTGATTATTAATATTATAAACACTGGAAAACCTATTATCAGACAAGTTTTTGTGATGATTTACTTACTGTCCATGACACTCAAAACTAATTTCTGTTTGTTTTATTTTCCAGCTATAGGCCGTTTATGTGAAAAATGTAAGTATAAACTCCTGCTATAAATAAAACATTTGAATGATATCCTGTCATCTGTCTACTTGAACACATAAAGCACATTTCATAAACAATCTTAAGGGGTTGTTCAAATACACATTCCAAATTTTTTTTAATTTGACCACTTTTCTGTTTTAATTCCTCATTCTGAAAACACTTTACCAGCTGAATAAGCAACAATACTTTATTGAAACCATGTACATTCTCAATATTTAATATGAGCAAGTCTGAAATTGAATCTGTAAGAATTTAAATGTTAAAAAGATTAAATTATTAATACCTATAGGAACAAAAAAAATTAAAAAAATGATTTGATGTATTTCAGTACATTATTTTCAATTTCTAGATATTTTTGAATAAATATTTCAAACTGAAACTGTCTACAATATTTCAGGTGATGGAAAGTGTGTGATATGTGACTCGTATGTACGGCCATGCACACTTGTAAGGATATGTGACGAGTGTAACTACGGGTCTTACCAGGGAAGATGTGTTATATGTGGGGGTCCTGGAGTCTCAGATGCTTACTATTGTAAAGAATGCACAATCACTGAAAAAGATGTAAGATATTTTCACCATATAAAATTTTGTTTGCATCTTAAAACAAAACATGTTAGCTTTTAACTCCCACTCAAAACATGCTAAGTATAAAGTTAAATTAAAATGGCCGCCAAATTAAGTAGAAGTATAGTATCGAAAATCACTGTCTCATGTCTCTAATGTGTCAAAGACCCAACAGCTCAATCACAACCCCAAATGGTGACACATTGTTATAGTCTTTTTTGTGGATGATTAACGGTGGTTGGTGTTCAAAGTTCGGTGGTTAGTGTTTGGAGTTCACCATCCGTAACAAATGGCAAGTGGTGACATTATGCATGTTAATGGATTTTATTCTTATGTTACCTTTTCATTTTGTCTCGTTAAGATTTGATCATATACATTATTTCAATTTAATACATAATTACAAAAATGAGTCTTAAGATTAATATCTCATTTTCACTGTTTCATTTTCTTCCAGAGAGATGGCTGTCCAAAGATTGTGAATCTCGGCAGTGCAAAGACTGATCTATTCTATGAGAGAAAGAAATATGGCTTTAAGAAACGATAGCACAAATCATGAGAACATTTAACAAAACATACATACAAATGCATTCTTGAGGATATTTTATCAAATGTTTGACAATAAGCATCTGCGAATTCATGATGTTTAAGATTCAATAGCACTCGGCTATTACCCTGTTCTGGATTATAGATTCTAAAGCCATCAATGGGCTTTCAAGTATTTGCTTTCATTTGAAAGCCCTATTAGCATGTCAGAGGAAGGATTACTGAAAGCATTGTACTAAGAAAATAATGATGTGTTCCATTGCCTAAAATGCCTATCTTAGGCTAAACCAGCTATATAAAGTGATAGTTTAAGTCATCAAAGGGTAAAGATGATTATTATATTATATAGTGTGGTTTCAATACAACAAACTGATATCATCAGAAAATCTGAATTGCACTGGATGGATTCCAAGCCTTTAATAGACATAATCGAGCCTGTAATTTCTCAAGATTAGTGACTGGGAGATCTGAGTTAATGTAGAGTTTGATGTATATTTAGTTCCACACTTTTATAATTGACTTTGAAAAGGAAACATGGCTTCAAGAAAATGACTGGACATAATGGATAAGAAAATGTGCATTTTTGAATTCATTCCTTGGGATGTGTAAGACAGTTCATATTTGTATCTCGAAATACATTTTATACAAAATATAAAATTTCTTTTGCTTATTTATTAAACTACTTCATTCCTAGAATGCACGGTATTCACACTTCAGTTGTAAGTTATGCTTGAATAATTACACAATGGAATGGTTGATAAAATAGGTATATAAGCTGGGTTTGTAACATATGACGGCCATTACCTGGCCATTACGTGATTCTGATTGGTTCATGTAGTACCCATGTGTTCAAAAATGACACTCCATTATTTCTTATTTCATTTTTTGAAAGTTTAGACATGAACCATTCTTTGTAAGTTAATATCAATGAGATCTGGAGGTTTGCCAAATTTTATGCAACATTAACACTTAACAGCCAATCTCTTTTACTATTCCAATTATAAGAGTAATCTTAAAAAATCGATGCAATGTGGCACGACTATTCATTAAATCGTCCCTTCAGTATTATAAGGTTCTAACTACCAAAATGGGTCAAATGCATGTGAAAGTGGATTCCCCCTAAACTCACCATGCTCTTTCCAAAGATTAAGGTTATAAAGCAACAGAAATAGGAGATTTCTAATGCAATAAGGTTCTATGTCCTTCATTTGAAAAAGATAGTTACTGCTATATGGTTCGATCTCTTGAGATAAAACTTTTTAACATTCAATGTCATGATTCAAATTGGAGATAAAACCTTTTTACATTTAACGACATAGTATATCCAGTGTGAGTCAGACAAAATACTACCCACCCACATAATGTTGCATAACTTTTTTATCTGTATAAATTCTGACTTGTCCTTTTGCATAGTAAAACTTTACTCCATGGAGCAGCTCCAGAGGAAGTTTTAGATTACTAGCTGAATTAGATGCACCTTTATGACCATTACAAGATGTTTGGTCTATTCCTTTGCAGGCTCGCCTGGATTTTACACTAAAATGGCACCCACCTTTTGTAACAGAATTTTGTAAAAATGTTATAATGACTTGTCATGTTCGATCTGGATAGATACAATGTTACCCTTCGCAATAGTGTAGCTTGCTTCTGTAAATATAGCTTCATCTAATTGACAAGCACTGTATTCCAGGGTAATAAAAGGTTCTATCTCCATCATTTAAACTCATTGTTGTGTTACAGACTCCAAAACTATTTTCTTTAAAAAGTAGCCTTAAACATTGACATTTCTTGCCATCCTGATCAGGAATGATTCATCTTGGCTATATGATGCATAAGCATTTATGTCAAAATTCTACTTTACTGTATCACAAAGATAGAGGACCTAAATGTTTGTTCTCTGTTTTCTCAAATATGGTACGAGTGCACATAGAACCTTTTAATAGTGAAGGGACGAAATGTGTTGTTTTCCAATTTGCACGAAATGTGGAGCATTGGGTGTTAACTTTAGGAAACAATGCCTGAAAGGAATGGTCATTATATAATTGCATTGGGTCTTGGGCTTAAATTATTTTCACACATTGACTGAATAAGCACGCAGCTTGTTATTCCCTATGATACTATCTATGGATTTTTACTCAACTATGAAATTGATCAGTTCATCTGTTTCATTAGTTCACTAGAAGCTGAAACAAAAAGGAAAAGTATCCTTGTATGCGGTGATTGTTATATAATGGAATGTAATTCCAAGAAATAACATGTTCTGATTGGCTGGAATTGGACACACCTTCCCTAGCTATGTGTGAATATCATATTAATTAGTGGAGTAATGATTAATGATGTAAAAATAGTGGTTCTGCTGGAGATTGTTCAACACATATGAAATGAGCTTTGATAAGATTAACGGAAGGTGTGATTCATGTTTATCTTGTCTCCAGAAAGTGGTCAAATACATAATGCTGTAGTCATCATTTTTGTTACTGGCATTTGGCAGCAACATTCAGCACCCAGAATTCAACATCTTAATAACAGGATGTGACATTTGTCATGTTTCTGCAGAGTTTTTCTAGTTATATCATTTTCAACTTCTCCTTGGAGATTGCACCTTCTCCATCTAGATCTCCCTTGTTTTGCTTTTTTGGTTGGCCAAATCTATCATCTACCTAGTCCTATCTTCATGAATGAATTACTTATATTTCAGATTAACAAATTTTTGCAGATGTCATATTTTTATTTTGTAGGCAGACTTTATTTAATTTTACATACATGGAATTTGTTTGACTGAAATATTTCAGCCAATATTTACAAGAGTAAGTGTAACACCAAACACATCATCCAGGATGCTAAAATGACATGTATAGTAACGTTTATTTATTTTGTTTGAAAAGGTGACATGGTTGACAAACTGGGTATCAATCTAGGCTTAATATTAATTATAGCTCATTCTTATGCATTGGATTTCATTTATTTTTAAAATTGATGCACTAAATGATGAACAACTAAAACCTTATGGCAGAATCAGATCTAAAGCAGTGACAAAATTGTAAGCAACATATATAGTTGACCTACCAATGTATTCCTTACAATTTCAAATGTAATATCTCCAAAAAGATTCACAATACTAACCTTGTATGTTATCAATTGGTGAAGTTGGATTCAAAGTGCAAAAATGGGGGGAAATCATTAAATTCTCCCAAATAATAAATGCGCTAACCATTAGAAATATGAATGCATAATTGTAAAAATCTTAATTTTCTCAAATAAAGTATAATACAATACACATGGGATTTTTAGAAAAAAGATGTGACAAGGAATGATATGAATCCAACATATTCTAAAATTGAAACAATTTTTGTTGAAATGACAACTGGCAATCAGCCCACTCGCTAGATCTGATACTACCTTTAAGTCTCATATTCTACTAGTCTAATTCACATTCACACCTCTTGAACTAACATGTAAAAATAACATTTAAGTACAAAAAATTATTTTGTAATTTTAGTATAATCAAAACCCTGAGAGTTTAAAATGTCACCACAAAGTGTAAATATTCATACATTGAACAATCAGACAATATAAGCCCAAAAATCATGCAAAATATTTACATATACCGTACAATTTACAGTAATCACAGAAATCTCTAAAAAACATGTAAAATGCCAGTTATGTATGTTCATAATTTGAATTACAAGCACATTGATTCCAAAGAATTATATGAAGTGTTATAATAGCTATTAAAATGGTAGAGATTAAAAGGTGGATTGGATCTAGTGGATTGGATTCATGTAAAAGGTTGATTGGATCGGGAATCTTCAAAATATGGAATTTCTTATAAGATTTTTCTGTTGATCTCCCTCTGAGCAATTTCCCTCTACAGTATTACATGTCCCTTTTGAGAAATCAGAACAAAGCAATGACAAATACATACTCCAATTAGTTCATGGATACTCTTAAGTATTTAACTACTTTCCCTTGTAAAACAACTTTTGTAAGACATCATGAACATAAATCTGTAGATAAAAGCTGTCATTCAATTTATGTGTGAATGTTCGCAAAACATTTCTGCTATGTTCAGTTTGGATTGAAAACAGATGATATGGATCTTGAAGTCTGCCTTATGATTTATGAAATGTCTAAGATCACCCTTGGAATGAATAAGATTGTGTATCAGAAAGTAGGAACCAGATCACCCTTCTAGCCCACCCAAGCAAAAAAATATAATATTACATCTATTATTTGACATTGTGGAAGTGAGGAGAGCACCAATCTTCTTAGAGGGAGATCAATAAAACTTTTTTAAGGAAAATCCATATTTTGAAGATTCCCAATCAAATGCACCTTTTACATGAATCCATCCACTCAATCCAATCCACCTTTTAATCTTTACCATTAAAATTGACTGTAACAAAGATACTGTCAAAGCAAACAATTCTATGGAATTCAAGTAAAAATTGCCTTAGTAACAGATTTAGTAAATTCTGTAATAAACTAGGCCTATAAAAGATAAATAAACTAGTGACTATCCCCTGGTACTAAAAATGTTTTAATCAGTATCAAAAATATTGAAATCTCTAAAAGTATCAAAATAGCTTTTATGATGTCACACTCCCTGTTATGATGTCACAATAGCTGTTATGATGTCACAATAAGAGAAATGTTTTTTGATCTAATTTCATAAGGTTCGTGACCTTTGGGCTGCTCATCATCACCAAGATCAAACGTAAAATGTTCATTGGTATGTGGACGACGTTTAATTGGCGATAATTCCTTGATTTTCTTTTTGACGACAGTCCTTACAGATAATTTGGTGTCATCTACTGGTGGTTTATTATATTGCTTTCTCAATGATATTCGACGTTTAACTGACAATCGTCGCCAGTTTCCAGTTCTTAGTTTTATACGCACAAACAATGTAGCTGCAGTAAAGCTTCGCTCATTGATCAAATCTCCAGTTTCTGTCATGAGATTTATGTAACGATACCCTGGAAGAGGACAAACATCAAACTGTACATTGGTATGACATATGAAGTACAAAATAGGTAACAATTGTACAGGGTGTCAAATAAATATGTTCTCCCTCTTGATTTAACATCCACATTATGTTGCATAATTTATTTGTCTGCATGATATCTGAATTGTTCTTAGGAACAATAAAACTAGGCTTCATGGAGCACCTCTACATGAAGTTTCAGATGACTACATGTAGCTCATCTAAATGCAGTTTTATGCACAAAAGTTCATACTTTTGAAATTATAAGGGGAATTTATTTGACATCCTCTACATACTACAATATGTAGCAATTATACATGGAATTGGTACTAATTTTACATACAATAAGGAGCAATTATATCAGTCAGGTACCAATTTCACATACAATAGGCAACACTTAATTGTATGTACAAGCTAGGAATTGTACAAACAAAGCAGCAGATGTATGAGTAGTATGTACAATATGTTTCAATTGTAAATACTTATGTACAATTAAACTTGATTGTACATACAGGGAAGTAGGAATTGTGCAATGTAGCATAGGGGAGGTACATAAAATATCTGGGAATCATACATACATACCGAGTGTCAAAAAATGTGTGTCTGTACTCTTAATAAAAGAACTTATTTACCAATCAAGACCGGTAAATAATTAAATAAAATGTTTAGCATATTATCCAGAATCTATTTTAAACATGGTAATTCATGACTAAAGCATATGTCACGAATTTGTGTAAATGTATTTTGTTACAACCATATTTTACAATTACACAGCCAATCGACACCTTATAGAAAAAATATACCAGATGGCACTAAAAAGGTATGCTTTCAGAGTGCCGATTGGGGTGTATCCTTTATAGGATAAGGAAAAATAAGCTTTATCCTTCTATGGATATTAAATATAAATATAATTGCAATTTCTTTTGCCTTTAGGTACTAAGTATAACAATTCAGCATATATATTGTATAGTATATTGGCACCATTTTGTACTATGCTTCATAGTATCTTATTAGCATCTTATTTCTGTCTTAGGAAAATAAAATTAACACATGGCATTTTCAAAATAAATCTACATCTAATATAATAGAATTACAATTTACAAGTATGTATATTCAGCACCTTTTAGACTAAGATATAATTAATATATTAATTTTTGTAACTAATTTAATAAAACACTGGTTGTTAATAAATATATATAAAATTAAAAATACCAAAATACCCAAATATATAAATACAAAAAATATATTACACATGTACTGTATATACATTCAAGGTTGGTCGGACAACTGTAGTTTGGTTAAATAACCATTCATTACTATTCATTTTGAGACAACTGATTCTTCTAAAATGGGGGGGGGGGCTCACAAGAGCTTCTAGCTAGATTAATGGGAAGAAGGAACCAATCATTGGGCAATTGTCGTTTCTCAACCGAAACAAACATGACATAAAATATCTTAACCTGGCCTGAATCAATTTGACCCACATCCGACCTACCTGAACTATAAAGGAATTATTATTGTCTATATTTATGTTATATCCAGTTTTCTCTATAATACAATGCATAACTTAACTATTATTTATTTGAACATGACTGGATTCACATCTTTTACTGGTATAAACTGTAAACAAAGTCAAAATTTCATCCGGGTATATTTGTCAACACTACCCCTGGTAATATGAGTAATGCATGACGTAATAATGGCGGGCCGTAGTAATGGCGGACCATTAAATGAATATTCAAAAAATCTTGGTGAGTTTTCATGTTCAATTGTAATATAGACTTAAGAGCAGGTGTAATATCGACAAATACACTAGGGCTAGGCACAAGGGCTTTTAAATCCCTCACTCCCTTCGGTCATTTGGGGTACAGCAAAAGTTTAGCTTAGCCCTGCGGGATGTACTCGTCAATATAACACCTGCTCTTCAGTCTATATTTCTTGAATAGTATCATCATAATTAAATAATAACAGATAACATAATATTCTATTCTATACTATACTACATCACATACTATTCTACAGGGTGACCCAAAAAAATGCAACCCTCCATTTCTCGAATATTTTTCTTAAATGGAGGTTAATTGCTCTGAAATTTGGCACACAAGGACTTCATTCAATGTGGGATCCTCTGGCAAAGTTTCAATAATCATTGTCTTATATTGATAGAGTTATGGTCGTTCCAAAATATGCTCCAAATGTCGTCCATTTCCAATGTTAGGTTTTCGGATGAGTCACATTCCCTTCTTTCTGAACATGTAGACTCAAGGAATAATGTGTTCTGGGATCACAAATTCCAGATAAAGTGCTTCACAGGCCCCTACATGTTGTTAAATGCACAGCTTGGGCTGCCAATTTCCAAACATGAAATCATCAGCCCCTTTTGGTTTGAGGTTGATAATGGCAACACTGTTACTGTTAACACACAGCGCAATATTGGCGTTCCCAGGCAGTTTTAGAGTGACACAGAGGCTTCAATAGACAAGAACAGTGGTTCTAGAAGGATGGAGCTACTCCTCACACTTCTAATGATAGCATAGCCTGGCTCACTAGTCATTTCTATGAGAAGATTATCTCTCCTAGGATGGATGACCCATGGTCATCCCACAGTCTTGATCTCAATGCCTCTGACTTCTATATACGGGGTTATTTAAAGGTTAATGTGTATGAAAATAACCGTACCGCAATTGCAGAACTCCAATAAGCAATGACTGCAAAAATTTGAGCCATACCCATGGGGAAGAATGCATACATGTTATGAACAGTTTTCCTTGAACATTGCAAGTTTGTTTTCAGCGAAATTGATGACATCTGGAGCATATTTTGAAACAACCATAACTCTATCAATATAAGGCTATGATTATTAAAACTTTGCCAAAGGATCCCACATAGAATGAAGTCCTTGTGTGCCAAATCTCAGAGCAATTTACCTCCATTTAAGAAAAATATTGACGAAATGGAGGGTTGCATTTTTTTGGGTCACCCTGTACAAAATTATTCTGCACTGAAGATGATCACTTCAAATATGACTGCCAGTATAATATATTGTGTATATTATGGTTATTATATACAATAACAATTATAACATAGATACAAGTAAAGCATGTCATCGTTATGCCCACAATGGCAGAGTGATAAGCACATATGCAGTGAGTGACATCATAATAGAACCTGAAAAAAATCTAAACTACATTGAAACCTGTATATCCAAACACCTCAAGTCCAACCGCTCAATGCGAACACTTTTTCTCTGTCCCATTGACTCACCTACTCATACTTAAAATGTAGACACTAAAACTGTGGTGTTTGGATTAGACTGGTTTTATAGAATTCAGATTTTCTCAGTTACATGAATTATAATGAATAATTGTCAACTAAATAATGAAAACCTAAGAGGTTGGGCTTATTTAATGTCAGAGTACTAAATTTGTGTACTGATTAACTGACCCAACCTCAAAAAAAATAAAGTCAAAATTCTTAACATGTACAACTAAATGATTTGTAATAACATATAATAAAAGTAAAGTACACTTAAAGTCCAATATTTTAGACTCCCAACCTTTGTTGCTACTTTAAGTGTTTATACTTCAAATAAATTGATGAAATAAAGCTCATAATAAAAAATACAACCGTCCATTTCCCTGTGACGATCAAAGTATTCAAACTCAACAGATTTGAACATGTCCTAACACTTTTGACATCTAAATCTAGACTACGTTGATATTTTAATTTCAACGAACAGTTTGCTGTTCATCATATAATCATTGTCTTCCCTAATTGCCACTGATCGTAGACCTGCAAGGTAAAGATAGGTGTCACTGCAAAAAGCAAGCAATATACATGACCTTGACCTTTATACTCACACATCATTATTAGAAATACAAGTGCAGAAATAAGCTTAATTTAAAGCACTACAGTTTTTGCCATATGAAGTTTTTACATACAGCATTTTGATACTATCGAATTCTGCGCAGTATTGAGGAATTTGGAGCAGACTCCCTCTACTAAATTTCGGGACACCTAGATAGAAATGTGGGCCCCATACTTTAAATCATATATTTGTTACAAATATTTTGTTTTTCCAATAAATCAATCAGTAAGAAAGCCACAGTATTTGGAACATGTTTTGCTTTCTAGTAATCTAGAGAAATTTTGAACTTAAAAGACAAGTACCCATGATGGAAATTTTTACTGATTATGGCAACATAAGATATTTAAAAAAATCTACAGTATAAAGAATCAAGGTCATATATGTGAAGGACAAAAATCAAGTATTTATCCAACTAAAAAATAGGCAGAACTATAGCTAACTAAATCCTTATCTAAAAACTACTCTATTGATTTGGAAATATCTATTCATACTACTACTACTATGTACATAAACAATTTAATAAAACAACTATATCTCAACTATTACATTCATTAGTGAAATTATATTGTTTAATTGTAAATTCATGCAAATTATTAATTTAACAACACAGAACATGCATTGGCAGATAGAACAAAAGAGCATTTCAAAGCCATGCGCAAATAAAATTGAAAGTATAGAAAGTGAAAAATGAATTTTTTCAGATGAACATTAAAGAAAATATCAGGCCTTCTTATAGATTCCATTCAAATTAAATGGACATAGGCCTGTTGCTCAAAATGTTATAGGTCCCTTTTCTCATTTATATTGCTGTTAAAGATTTTACTATGGCAATGATGAAAAAATACATTTTGATAATTTCAGCTAGTTATTCTATTTTCTTTGATGCTCATCTTCCATATTCCTATATTTCTCTACCTGTTAGAATTCATCTACGTGTTAGAGTGACGTTGTATGGATAGGTTTAATTGTCACGTGAACAAAGATAGTGCCCCAGATATCTTCATCATGTTTATCAAGCAAGTGCACATAGCGATAGCCTAGAAAATACCAGCTTTATATAAGGGATGGTGTCCACATGATAACAGTTGTGGAAAACTAAGTTACTTTAATTATGATTTAACCCCCCCCCCACATTCTTCTACCCCCCCCCCCTTCCCTATGAAGTAAAATGTTGATTTTTCATACACTTGAATTGCGACAGAAAATCAATATTTTTCTTTTACAAAATCTTCATTTAGCCCCTCCCCCACCCTAAGGGAATTTACTTTGTTCTAAAACTGTGCACAACTGGATATCATCCCTATTATCATATGAGGATCTTCTCAAGATAACATTATTGAAATCCTCACATGATACATTTGCAATAGATTATTAGCACATGTTGATGTATGAGCTGAGTTGCTTTTGCAGTTTGCAGCTATTCATGAAGGAACTTCAGTACTATTCTGCATATTACATAACTATGTCTTCACATTTTGATCAGTAGATACTGTTTTTTTATAGGAATCACTATGAAACAGAGTATGTCTATACCATGGGCTTTTTATATGGTATTATATGGTTTTAAGGTATTTTATTGCAATATATTACACATTAATATAATAAAACCTAATAAATGAATAGCTACAAGCAACAATTTCTTAGATATAAGCAAAGAATGTGTGATTATTGAATTAATTGATGAATGATTAATTAATGTTAATGACATGAGTAATATCTGAAGGCCAGGATTATTGATATAGCATGGGCTTTCAAGACCCTAAGTTGTTAATATGTTATGACTAATATGTCAGAGCATGACATTTAAAGAGTCAATAAAAGATATGCATGTATAAATATGTACGCTGAACTACATTTCTGTATACTTTAAGACATGAATTAAGCTGAACATGTTGGAAAAATAATGGATGAACAACAAAACAAACATGATTTTAAAATAGTTCCCGACTGCATTCCTTAGCTTCAGCATAATGGCTTGATAATATCATGGTCATTACATGTACCTCCTTTGATATTTGTGATATTATTCATGATGATATGAAAATGATAATGCGATATCACGAAAGTGATATCATGATGAACATATCAAACATCATCTACAAAAGGAACGATTAATACAAGCATAAATGTGTAACAATTTATAATAAACTCTGGATTAACATATATTTGTGGAAAGATGCCTCACTAACGGGCATTTCAAGTCTCCGAAAGCAAGACTGCTGACAAATCCAGTTGGAGCATATATGAAGTTCTTAAAACTACTTCATATGCTGACCACCTCTATTATAGCTCAGGACATATCGTCCTAGTGAATTTTAAAAACCTGGTCTTCCAAAAAAGTCCTGGTGAATTTTAATGAGCCAAAAACCTGGTCCTCCAAAAAATACAGACTTGAGAGAGGAATATTAAAATTGAATGAATGAATGGGCAGATCAGTATTGCTAACATACAGAGCCAGTAAAAGTGGAGCAAACAGTACATGTCAAATTCTCAAAGATGCACATGAATGGCAAAAGCACGTATAGCAATATCTGGCAACAAAGTTTGATAATATGAACTCTCTTGGTTCACTCCAAGTTTTTTAGGCAAAATTTCATCCATTTATGAATTCAATTATTCTGGTGTCTTTTTACGTCACAAGCTGCTCCATAAAACAAAACAAAGTTGTTAATACAAAAGCTGTTAGTACTAAAGCGCATCATCATGAATGAATGTTGAATTACAAATAGTACTATAATTTCCAATACCTTCAAACCACCTAGTACAGTAAAACCTGTCTTAGTGAACACCTCTCTCTAGTGAACACCTGTGTCTAGTGAACACCTCATCGCAGCACATACTCCACTGACTTCTCTATAACATCCCCTCTGTAGTGATCACCTTCCTACAGTGAACACATTTTTGTGGCTTTATAGATGTTCACTATACACAAGTTTTACTGTACATGATTCTATATTCAAAATGAGGTGAATAATATAGGCATTATCCCATAGTTACTGTGATATGCATATAATGAACTAAAAAAGTATTTTTGGAACCAGTGGAAAAATAGCATAGTTTTAGCAAGTTTTCACTAAACCACTGAATATGACATTTAAACCATGAGATATCAATGCCATATACTATGGTTAACATATTTTTGCTAGTTGATTAAACACACCCTTCAACTATGGAATAAAAACAACATACTATGATGAACTCATGATATGACTTTTATCCACTCATGGATATTGATACTGCACTCTCACACTGTGCTCACTTATGCAGAAACTATATCCATTCATGGATAAAAATCATATCATTCATAAATCATGCTCTATCTACCTGGTTGGATGCTGTTAAATGGTATACATGTCTGACCAATCAGATCATTCTTAGACATCACTTGGTTGTCCTTGACGAGGAAGCGGATGAGTGCAAGATCAGGACAATTTACATTGAAGTTGAACGATTCATTCCACATTGGGAGGAAGCCTAAAGTTAGATTTAAATGCAGTTTTTATTAAAAATTAATAGAAAATTTCACATTTGATCACTTCAAAATTCCCTGATATTCAGAAAAAATAATAATGAATTCAAAATCTGCAGTATTTTTAATACAGAAATATATCTAGATAGTTTCATTTAAACTTAAGACATGTACATTACCATTATTGTCTACGATGGCTGTCTTTGCATTCTGTTTGTCCATTGGTACACCCTCTATTTCAATCTTCACATATGGGTCAATGATTTCATTCTTTCCTGCACCTTTAGGTTTAGGTAGCATATAACCACTAATAACCTGAAAACACAAACTCACATTTAGATAAATCTGTGAGTAGCAAAGTACATAAAGCTAGCATCTAAAGTGTGAAGATATTACGTATTCTTGAAATTAATTATTTCCCATGTTCGGGTGAGAGGTAATGAAAATGTCTCTCCTTTTCATTGTCTCAATCCTGGTAGATCAAGAAAGAGGAATGAATCCAGATCAACCCAGAGGAACCAAATGGGAAGGATCAAACAAGATGGATCAACATAGGGATTCATTCCCGATCATACTTCTTCAGTGTATAATTCTTCAATAACCTTCCTCAATGACATTGCTTCTTAACATATACATTCCATCATTTCGTGGCCTGGTTAAACAAAGAAATAATTAATGTAAAATTTTATGGCCTTTAGTCAACCTAACCATAACTCTAGCTTTAAAGCTGTAATTAGAGCTAATTGCTATACTATATAATATCTGGAGGATATCTCCTTCACATTATATCTACCACTGCTTAAGATGAATGGAAAATATATGGTAAAGGTTTCTAAATTATTTGGAGTGGTTGTTTTAATATGGATAAGTGTATCACTATGGAGATCATATAAAAACAATTACATCAGTAAACAACAATTGATGGAACAATTAAAAAGAAAGACCTCATTCATTTCAAACAAAGACAGGAATAAGATACATCTAAACCAACAAATAAACAGTAATAACCAAGATATAAACAGCACACAGAAACAAGAAACATTCCAGTATGTTTGTGACAAAACTGGTACTTTTAATGGCTATGAAAAAACTAACCGTGTTGAAGATTTGGTTATTTATAGTGAAATGCCGAAATGTGGTAGTGGTACCTTAGTGGACATCTTCCAACAAACAGCCCGCCGGGCTACTAGGAAACATTTACCAACATACCACACAGGCTACACATACCCAGTACCCCATGAAGAGCTCTACCAATGGAACAAAAGGTTAAATTATGCAAATGGAATATTTGAGGAAACACCACCCTATTTATTTTTAGGCCACCTACGATTTTTAGATTTTAAAGAGGTAGGGCATAAACAGCCAGTCTTCATAGATCTTGTGAGGGACCCAATAAACAGAACAATTTCTGCATACCATTATGGAAGAAAACCACAATTCAATGAAAGAGCAAATATGACAAAAGCAGAAACTAAAATGTCTATGGATGAGTGTTTTGAACGTTTGCTGAATGAGACTGGTTGCGTTGGAGCAAGAGACCTGAATAAATGTTTGCATGGGAAGAAGTTGACAGCTTGTAAGTCCTCAGGAATCGTGGAGCGCATGACCACTTGGTTTTCTGGATATGGGTCGGAGGTGTCTGTCAACAAAGCAAAGTCTAATATAGACAAGTACTACCTCATAATAGGTAAACTGAATATGTATTGTTAAAGTTTACATTTGATCAAATACTGTCTGTCAAATGTTATAGATGAGGTCCGTGTAACTTTCTGGACATCCAGTTAACAACCATCTTAAACAATTCTATTTTTCGAAAAAAAAATCATATAATTAAACCACTCCTTTGCTATTTCTATGTTGTGTTTTTGAAGATGTCATGTTACACCCAATAAAGTCCATAATGTAACTACTGTACAACAAAAAGCCATCTTGCATTTCAGGAGTAACTGAATACTACACAGAGAGTCTAGTTGCATTTGGAACTCTCATACCCCCTGTCTTCAATATGAACCCAACCACACTGGTGGAGACTTACAAGACTATCAGTAACAGGAATGTAGGGAGGAATGTGAAACAGCCAAGTGCAAAGACTAAAGCAATCTTGAGGAATATTCTGTCAGAGGAATATGAACTCTATCAGTTTATACTACAGAGGTTCTTGAAACAAATGAAATGTATGGAAATACCTCTCAGATCTGGGAAATGACACTGTCTCACTATAAGTTTTAATTTTAAAATACATATATACTGTAAATGAAAATTTCGTTCTTTTTAACTTGAGTTTATAGAATATGGGAAAATAATACACCATGTAGTAGGTTAAGTCATCAATTAATCAAACTCTCCCAGGTAAACCACTGGATGATATCTGCCTTGCAAGTTGGATATCAAATTTATCTACTCTTGAATATCATTACGATATGCATTTTCATGTATAACCCTTAACTCCTTGTTCTTAATTAGCAACTTAAAAATATATTAAGCATGTTTTATCGTTTCTGAAATGCAAGTTTATTTGTGACATTGAACTTACTGTGATCTGTATTTTGCGTTTCCATTCATCAGGAAATGGACCATTAGGGTTGAAGGATATACCGGATGGAAGTTTAGCAGTGAGTAGAAAATCTGGTTTTAGGATGTAACCACATCCTCCATTGTCGCGGAACTTTCCCATGTTAATCTGCATCGAGTCATCCGGGGTCTGGTAGTTTAAGGCAACTGGAACAAATAAATTATCATTTCATTTTTAGCCACCAGGATCTCAATCAAATGGCCAAACATAAGATAATCTCTAAATAATTAGGTGGACCACAATGTTAAAAAACTGAAGTTGAATGATTCTTGCCTCATTCAAAAAGACAGAATGAGATGTTTCACCTGGACATATCAAAACAAACTTTTAATTTTCTTCAAAATTGAACAATTTGTCATCCAGGGTCTGGTAGTTTAAGGCAATTAACTGGAACAAAGAAATCATCATTTCATTTTTAGCCACCAGGATCTCAATCAAATAGGCAAACATAAGATAATCTCTAAATAATTAGGTGGACCACAATGTTAAAAAACTGAAGTTGAATGATTCTTGCCTCATTCAAAAAATCCAATAATATTTCACCTGGTCATATCAAATTTTCTTCAAAATTGAACAATTTCAACCCAATCTCAAATATGTCTTTATACTGTAGTGAAACCTTCTTACCTATAGAACACCCTGTGTTCCACATTGGCACAGGGTCATAGTTGCTGGAGTCTGTTCTGAGACCAGAGGGGTATATCCTGCTGATCTGGAATGTATTGTGTCTCACATAAGCTGAGGGTTCATTGTCCACCAGGTCAAATGCTTTGTTTTCTGAGAAACTGGACATCTGGGCGGGGGTATCTGAAAATAGATGAACAAACATTGATATTATTGCTTTCCTATCTATAACAAACTTAAAGAAACCTATTTTCTCCAAGTGTGTACTTAGATTATTTAAAGGCCCCATGTAAGGTTTTAACGATATATACTTTATCTTTTTGTTGACTTACCTAACATTATTAAACAAGGCATTAACATGACAAAATGTCACCACCTAGTTGCTCACAATATTGTGAATCTTTTTTGACCTTGAGAAGGTCATTAAAGGTCAACATCTCAAATCTATACTCAGATTTGAAGTTTCAAGAATGTGTATACAATTTTTTTTTAAAAATTGGTCAATTTGAAGCAAGTTGAAAGAATACTCTTTTGACCTTTTTTAGCCTTTTTTGACCTTGAGAAGGTCATTGAAGGTCAAATCTTAAATCTTAAGTCAGATTTGAACTTTAAAAGTAAAGTCAGTCTAAACAGTATTTGTTAAGTTATTGGAAGTTGTAAGAATTTGTTAGTTGCCGATCGCCATCCGCCAACCACCAATCGCTATCTGCCGTCACAAAAAATGGAGATCATAACAATATGTCACCACTTTTTGGTGGTGACATAATAAAAAATGAGACATGTGAAAGTTTTTTTTTTAATTTTGAATGACCTTTTGTTCCATTTGACTTTCGTAATTTTACTCTCTTTACTATACATATAATACTTCTAGATTTTCATCTTGTATTATACTCTTATTTGATTCATTCTCAATTTTACAGCACTGTTTCAAGTTAAACAAATGATTCTGCATTATGACTTAATAGCCCTCATACATACAGGTTCTAACATGAGAACCTTTGCAATATTTTCCATTCTTGATGATGAGCTTTGATAATTATTTAGTAGCAATTCCCACCAAAGAAAACATATTTGATCAAATCACTCATTTTATACATTTCTGATTGAAATAACTAGGCAGTGTCTCCTTTCGGCAAAAAACTACATTTTGTTACACATATAATGAAAGATGGCAGCATCTTTTAAGGGGGAAAGATGGCTGAATTTGAGTTAGTTAGACGAAAGTCTCGACCCCTGTGTTCAGGTATCGAACAAATATTAAGTGTTAATGCATTCCTATTTTTATTTTCATGTGAGTCTGATTACATATTTCTTTGTTACGTTAATTCAATAAAAAAGTTACTTCCACAAAAGGCTAAAACCTTTTATATACAAATACCCTGCTACTAGCTGATATCAGTCTGTGTTTTCATTAATCAGATTTCAGATTTTATAGACATGGTAACATCATTCAACAATATTAAACTGACATGTAAATTCTTTACTAAGAAACCCAAGTTATAAGACATGGTAATAAAATGTTATATACAGGGTGTTTCATACGTGTTACGTGCCAGTTGCCACCCTATCAATAAGATACAATGTATCAAAGTATGCAGGTACATGTATAGGGTATTTATAGGAATTTTATAAGCCTTTTGGACCCATTCTAGTGATCTGCTCACTTTGTCTGCTCCCCATTTTTAATGATAAAGGTGGTATATAAGCCACTGCTAGAATCCAGTCTATATATTTTTGTACATAACTGTACACAAATGTGAACTGACCTCTGCCATGATGACAATTGCTAGAAATACCAAAAATTTGTCCTTTAAATTACCCTCAAAATGACCAGAAATTGCCCTCTAAATGACTCATACCCACATACTTTGATTCATTGTATCTTTTTCCAAAGACAGATACATGTCTAGCATGCTTGCCAAATACATTAAAACTTCTTAAAGTGTCACCAATTCATTGTATGTTTGTCAATATAATGGATGGTTGCAGGTCATAAATTGCAAAAACATGTTGGTTGCAGCGAGGTCACAGGTTTTAAAATATGTTTTTATGATTTGAATGGTTCAGTAATATCAAACCTAAAACATTAGTTTCCACTAGGTCAAAGCAGGCACATACAAGGAGCATGGATTTAATAAAAAAAATTCTTGTGATGATAGTTTGGTTGAAGTTTACATATAGCAGCCGTATCCTTCTTGCACCATCTGATGTAGGCTATACAAGTCGAACAAGAAATATTTTACGAACTGGGCGCATGTTCTTACAGGCCGGCTATAAAGTGACAGTAATGTTTTCAGACAGAATGGAAAAACAACCTCTGTTTATAGAAGCAGAAGGTTTGGACTTTGATGGAGAGTTCATGGTTTTGCGCTATAAGATGCCAGTGTTTGATCTTACTTCAGTTGAATCAACAGCAAATCAAAAGTGGATTGATTCTATGATCTATCAACCATATGCTACACTTTTACAGATTGTAAGTCCAGTATGGGAAGAGAATTTGCGACATGCATTGGCAGATAAAGACATTTGGACCAAGATAGCATCATCAAAATTTGATTTAATCTTTGCAGATGAAGTAGTATTTTTCTCTAGAGTCGTTTCTTCATATTTTGACATACCACTTATTTTGTACAATAACTGGGGCCCCATGTCATGTGATGCCAACTTCATAACAAGATCTAGTTTGGCATATGTTCATTCTTTTGTTCCCCCAACATACAGCGATGAAATGACATTTACAGAACGGTTCATGAATGTTTTGGAATATTGGCATATCAAATGGATATGGCATGGCATCTATATCAAGTTTAACTCTATCTGCCAAGAACATGGATATGGTGATGCATGTGATAACATACAAGATGCATACAAAACTATATCCTTATACTTAATGACAAGAACGGATGCAGTCCATTATCCCGCCCCATATATGCCACATGTCATATCGACTGAAGGATTTTTCTTGGATTCCAAAATCAAACCTTTGGATTCAGCATATACTGACATTATACAAAAAGCGGGAAAGAATGGCATAATTGTTGTAAGTTTTGGATCCATGCTTCGTAGTTTAGATGACAAAATGAGTGAAGATTTTGCAAAGGCCTTTGCAGCAATGCCTCAGACAGTTATATGGAGCTATGAGGGTCCAACGCCTAAAGGACTTGGAAACAATACCATCGTGAATAAATGGATACCTCAAGAGAGTCTGATGGTGCACCCTTCTACAAAATTATTTGTGACCCATTGCGGAGTTTCTGCCACATTCCAAGCGCTTCACTATGCATTGCCAACTGTCGGAGTGCCATTCTTTTGGGACCAGCCATTTTATTGCCACAAGCTGACTCACAGATTGAAGTCTGGGAAAACAGTTTTGTTGACAGAAATGACAAGCGAAGGCCTGAAGAACGCTATGGAAGAGGTTATAAGTAACAGAGTCTATAAAGACAATGCAAATAAAGCTGCTGATATCTACCATAGTCAACCGATTGATCCAAAGAAAAAGCTGATGTACTGGGTTGAGTATGTGATTAGACATAAAGGGGCAAAGCATTTGAGATCTAAGGGCGAAAATGAACTTAATATTTTCCAGTACTTTCTGCTTGATATCATTGCATTGGTAATCTGCACTTTGGTGGTGTTTGGCTTGTTAACAGTGTTTGTTATCAAATATATTGTACGATGTGCCTTTCACTTTAGAGACAAAAGAAAAAGGGACTAGAATATTGTCATTTGTTATGCCTATCTAACAAGTATGTGCGAAATTAGTTCAAATGCGCCATTCTCTGTTTTAATAGACCCAAAGCAAATTTTTTTAAAAATCGATCAATCTAATTCTATACTCTGTTACTTTTGTGAAAAAATGTTTCAGAAAAAAATAATTCTTCATGGAAAATTAGTCCATGGTTTTATTCAAGTGGAGGCTATTCATTTCTTTATGTCTATTTGTCTAGTAGCCATTGGATAATCTTATAGACCCATATGTACCTTGATGCTAAACCTACAGCACTGTATTTAGAAGCTTCAAGTCCAATGTCATTAATTAAGTTGCCAAAATTTGTCACTTGCATGTGTTTCTCCATTTAGACTTTCTATTTGATCTGATGTAAATTTTGCTTTGGTTTCTAAAATAAGGTTCTTGACAGCTTCAGTCTGATTCTTATATGCTGTATAATGTTCAGGAAGATTGCTTTTCTTGAATTTAACATAGAGTTTTTTCTGAATCGCATGAGATATACTCTCATTGAACCAAGGTCTATCATTCGCTTTAATTCTTTTCATTTTGTGAGGGATATGCTTTTTAAAGATGGTAAGAATTGTATCAGTAAATTGATCATTTAAAGTGTTCATATCATGGTATTGAGTAAAAAAATTAGCCCAGTTTATTTTTTCAATTTCAAGGTTCAAGGCATCTTTATTTGCAGTATCATATTTCCAAATAAGTTTAAATTGATCTTCCTCTCTATTTAATAGTACATCGAGTTGAGTAAAAATTGAACAATGGTCTGATGAGCCTATAGGTTCGATTACAGTAGAAGAATTTATAAGACCTGGGACATACATTTGATATCAGTCTGTGTTTTCATTAATCAGATATTTCAGATTTTATAGTACATGGTAACATCATTAACAATATTAAACTGACATGAACATTCTTTACTAAGAAACCCAAGTTATAAGACATGGTAATAAAATGTTATATACAGGGTGTTTCATATGTATGCATCTGTACCCCCTCTAAACTCATACATGTTGCATTGCCACCCTATCAAAAAGATACAATGTATCAAAGTATACCCGGCAAAGTATGCAGGCACATGTATAGGGTATTTATAGGCATTTTATAAGCTTTTTGGACCAGTTCCAGTGATCTGTTCACTTTGTCTGCTCCCCATTTTAATGATAAAGGTGGTACCATGCTCCTTGGCCTCCTTATAAGCCACTGCTAGAATCCAGTCTATATTATACAAATAGTGACTGCCATTGAGGGCAATAGTGTAAATTATTTCCCCGAGGGAATATCCTCTACAATGTACTATTCCCGAAGCCGCAGGCTGAGGGAATAGTACATTGTAGAGGATATTCCCAAGGGGAAATCATTTACACTATTGCTCGAAATTAGGCAGTCACTATTTGTTTTATTATATACCCTATACTGACTCTTGTCCGGTTTCCTCTGCGAAGGCCAAAACGGCTTAGGAAGCCCCCTCCCCGGGTCCATTGTTAGCATTATAAGCTGTGACGTCATCAGATGCTCAACAGAAATTTTTGCCTCTGAGACTCTCACTTGACAAATTCAATCGCGTTTAACACGCGGAATAGATTATCATAACACTTGAAATTACACAGACGTATTGAGCTTAGGGAACTTTATACACGTTGCTTATATTGTATCGTTCACGCACGTCTGTCATGGTGAACGAAGTTGATTTGTGTTTGTGCTCATCCTCCATTTTTCTGTTTTTCGTCTGCACAGTGATGATGCGCAGACGTTTCCAAGGGTAATAGAACTTGCAATTGTGACGTCAGTGGGCAATAGTTCAAATGTATATTCCCGCTGACGTCACAATTGAGGGAATATAACTTTCCGAGGGAAATAGTAAATCTATTTCGGAACACGTGACTAGGTATTGACCAATCAGGATTAGTGTTACATATTGGGTATATAATAAATCTTTGTATTACATACCTAGCGAAGCATTTGTATGCAAGTCAATGGGAAAGTTAGCGAGCTATATCCACCGATATTGCCCGATTACCCCGATATAGCCCGCTTACCTCGTTTTGATATTAGATTTCTTTAATAACCATGATAATATCATGACGTCACATCATTGATACAAAGTAACCATGGGAACAAAGGCATGTTATACATCAGTTATGTCACTATGACGTGAAATATGCCTTCGTTCTTGCCCAAATATAGAGCCTCCCAAGGTCGGCCTATATTGGGAGAACTCAGGCATATTTCACGTCATAGTGACATAACCTCTAAGTACATAACTGTACACACATGTGAACTGACCTCTGTCATCATGACAATTGCTAGAAATCTGCAATACCAATACTAAATTTGTCCTTTAAATTACCCTCAAAATGACCAAAAATTGCCCTCTAAATGACTGATACCCACATATACTTGTATTAGTACTTTGATTCATTGTATCTTTTTCCAAACACAGATACATGTCTAGCATGCTTGGCATATACATTAAAACTTCTTAAAGTGTCACCAATTCATTGTACGGTATGTTTGTCAGTATGATGGTTGTGGGTCATAAATTGCAAATACATGTTGTTTGCAGGTCACAGATTTTAAAATATGTTTTTTATGATTTAAATGATTCAGTAATATCAAACCTATCCTATTAGTTTCCACTAGGTCAAAGCAGGCACATACAAAGAGCATGGATTTAATAAAAAAAATTCTTGTGATGATAGTTTGGTTGAAGTTTACATATTGCAGCCGTATCCTTCTTGCACCATATGATATAGGCTATACAAGTCGAACAAGAAATATTTTACGAATTGGGCGAATGTTCTTGCAGGCTGGCCATAAAGTGACAGTAATGTTTTCAGACAGAATGGAAAAACAACCTCTGTTTATAGAAGCAGAAGGTTCGGACTTTGATAGAGAGTTCATGGTTTTGCGCTATAAGATGCCAGTGTTTGATCCTACTTCAGTAGAATCAACAGCAAATCAAAAGTGGCTTGACTCTATGATCTATCAACCATATGCTACACTTTTACAGATTGTACGTCCAGTATGGGAAGAGAATTTGCGACATGCATTGGCAGATAAAGACATTTGGACCAAGATAGCATCATCAAAATTTGATTTAATCTTTGCAGATGAAGTAGCATTTTTCTCTAGAGTCGTTTCTTCATATTTTGACATACCACTTATTTTGTACAATAACTGGGGCCCCATGTCATGTGATGCCAACTTCATAACAAGATCTAGTTTGGCATATGTTCATTCTTTTGTTCCCCCAACATTCATTCATTCATTTCGTCCCCGTCAAGTGTGACGATGGGTGGCTCTTTGAGACCGTCTCTGTTGAAGCAGTTCTTCAGAGAATGCTTTTCCTTTGTGGATTTGGCTTCGGAAGAGTTCTCTGGCTTGTGAGGCTGTGTGCCAGTCATCCGCCATATGGAACCGGGCTAGGTCTTCCTTCACGGCGTCCTTCCATCGTTTCTTTGGCCTTCCTCTTTTCCTGGTACCATGATGTAGCTCACTGTACAGCATTTGCTTGGGGATCCTGGTATCATCCATCCGACTTACATGGCCAAGCCATCGAAGCCTAGTTGCCCTGATGTTAGTTTCGACAGTGAGAAGCTTTGCCTTTTCTAACATCTGTTTGGCTTGTTAACAGTGTTTGTTATCAAATATATTGTACGATGTGCCTTTCACTTTAAAGACAAAAGAAAAAGGGACTAGAATATTGTCATCTGTTATGCCTATCTAAGTATGTGCGAAATTAGTTCAAATGCACCATTCTCTGTTTTAATAAAGACCCAAAGCAAATTTTTTAAAAAATCGATTAAACTTATATTATACTCTGTTACTTTTGTGAAAAAAGGTTTCAGAAAAAAATAATTCTTAATGGAAAATTAGTCCATGGTTTTATTCAAGTGTAGGCTATTCATTTCTTTATGTCTATTTGTCTGGTAGCCATTGGATAATCTTATGGACCCATATGTACCTTGATTCTAAACCTAAAACTATATTTAGAAGCTTCAAGTCCAATGTCATAATACACGTAAACTTTGCCTTACAGCTGGTGCTTATTAATTTACATGATTTAGCTTGGTCCTCAGTTTAAACTAACCAACCAAACAGGCTAACAAGTTCTTTAGAATTCACCTCTTTTTATAAAATGTCAAAAATATGTAAGACCGAAAGCATATTCTCAATTTCAATATGTTGGAATCTTTTGAAAATCATTGTTCCGGAATGTCAAACACAACATTAATATGTCATAGAACTAATGGAATAAACTTATTGTAACTTTTAAAACAAATTGAAAACTGTACAAGTCAAGTAATCCAATTAGTCTAGAGGGCATAATGATCAGTATAGAGTGCCGGAACCATAATATGGGTATGATGTTAAACAAATAAAATAGGTTCCCTATCTCCAGGATGAGTTCACTAATCTTTACTTTAAATTCTATATACAAAAACATGTTCTAGTAGGCACGCTGCTTGACAAGGGCATCGTGATCATTAACAATATTAAACTGACATGAACATTCTTGACTGAGAAACCCAAGTTATAAGACATGGTAATAAAATGTTATATACAAGGTGTTTCATATGTATGCACCCGTACCCCCTCTAAACTCATACATGTAGCATTGCCACCCTATCAAAAAGATGCAATGTATCAAAGTATGCAGGTACATGTATAGGGTATTTATAGGAATTCTATAAGCCTTTTGGACCCATTCTAGTGATCTGTTCACTTTGTCTGCTCCCCATTTTTAATGATAAAGGTGGTATATAAGCCACTGCTAGAATCCAGTCTATATATTTTTGTACATAACTGTACACAAATGTGAACTGACCTCTGCCATGATGACAATTGCTAGAAATACCAAAAATTTGTCCTAAATTACCCTAAAAATTATCAGAAATTGCCCTCTAAATGACTCATACCCACATACTTTGATTCATTGTATCTTTTTCCAAAGACAGATACATGTCTAGCATGCTTGCCATATACATTAAAACTTCTGAAAGTGTCACCAATTTATTGTATGTTTGTCAATATAATGGTTGCGGGTCATAAATTGCAAATACATGTTGGTTGCAGCAAGGTCACGGGTTTTAAAATATGTTTTTATGATTTGAATGGTTCAGTAATATCAAACCTATCCCATTAGTTTCCACTAGGTCAAAGCAGGCACATACAAGGAGCATGGATTTAATAAAAAAAATTCTTGTGATGATAGTTTGGTTGAAGTTTACATATAGCAGCCGTATCCTTCTTGCACCATCTGATGTAGGCTATACAAGTCGAACAAGAAATATTTTACGAACTGGGCGCATGTTCTTACAGGCCAGCCATAAAGTGACAGTAATGTTTTCAGACAGAATGGAAAAACAACCTCTGTTTATAGAAGCAGAAGGTTTGGACTTTGATAGAGAGTTCATGGTTTTGCGCTATAAGATGCCAGTGTTTGATCTTACTTCAGTTGAATCATCAGCAAATCAAAAGTGGATTGATTCTATGATCTATCAACCATATGCTACACTTTTACAGATTGTAAGTCCAGTATGGGAAGAGAATTTGCGACATGCATTGGCAGATAAAGACATTTGGACCAAGATAGCATCATCAAAATTTGATTTAATCTTTGCAGATGAAGTAGTATTTTTCTCTAGAGTCGTTTCTTCATATTTTGACATACCACTTATTTTGTACAATAACTGGGGCCCCATGTCATGTGATGCCAACTTCATAACAAGATCTAGTTTGGCATATGTTCATTCTTTTGTTCCCCCAACATACAGCGATGAAATGACATTTACAGAACGGTTCATGAATGTTTTGGAATATTGGCATATCAAATGGATATGGCATGGCATCTATATCAAGTTTAACTCTATCTGCCAAGAACATGGATATGGTGATGCATGTGATAACATACAAGATGCATACAAAACTATATCCTTATACTTAATGACAAGAACGGATGCAGTCCATTATCCCGCCCCATATATGCCACATGTCATATCGACTGAAGGATTTTTCTTGGATTCCAAAATCAAACCTTTGGATTCAGCATATACTGACATTATACAGAAAGCGGGAAAGAATGGCATAATTGTTGTAAGTTTTGGATCCATGCTTCGTAGTTTAGATGACAAAATGAGAGAAGATTTTGCAAAAGCCTTTGCAGCAATGCCCCAGACAGTTATATGGAGCTATGAGGGTCCAGCCCCTAAAGGACTTGGAAACAATACCATCGTGAATAAATGGATACCTCAAGAGAGTCTGTTGGCGCATCCTTCTACAAAATTATTTGTGACCCATTGCGGAGTTTCTGCCACATTCCAAGCGCTTCACTATGCATTGCCAACTGTCGGAGTGCCATTCTTTTGGAACCAGCCATTTTACTGCCACAAGCTGACTCACAGATTGAAGTCTGGGAAAACAGTTTTGTTGACAGAAATGACAAGCGAAGGCCTGAAGAACGCTATGGAAGAGGTTATATTTTTTTTTTTTTTATTTATTTATTTATTAGGATAAAACGCTTTTACAACAGCGGCACTACTAAAATTTAGTGTGCATCCAAAGAGACTAAAATACATACATACAATAGGTTAAAATCATTAAAAATACATTTCCTTTAAAAATTCGTAAACACATTTCTCAAATTTATTTATTTGGTCCTGCCCCCATGTGCCTATGTAAAGTGAATCACCGATAATCCATTGTAGCTTATCATTAAGGCTCGCTGATAAGTATTCACCTACAAGGGCAACGTCACATGAAGAGATTAAATTGTTAATGAATAGGTTTCTTTTATCCTGGAGGACGGGGCAAAGGAACAGGCGATGGGACATAGAGTCATAAGAATTGGAGGGGCATAATTTACAAAAGCCATCACTTTTATTCCACCTTTTAAGGTCTGATTCTAATTTAAAGCAACCCGACCTGGCTAAGAATTTTTGTCTTGCTCCTTGGAAGTTGAATGGGTTTTTTAGGTACTCTTCTTGAAAGACATGTCTCTTAACATTTCTATAAAGGGATAGGGATGGCCGGTCGCAAATTGATGAAAACAATTCCTTAGTAGTAATTTCGTTGGAAATATTGAGAAAGGATGAGTACCATTCTTCAGAATTAACATTTAATTTATTATCGAGCCCATGGTGCACTAATATATTTGCTATGTTAGAAACATACTTCCAATTAGATTCTTTATTTATTGAATATGATTCCAAGAGGGCAGATAAAACCTTTGATACTAGGGTTTGTGAGTTTTTATTCTTTAGATAGCAGAAATAGTAAGTAACAGAGTCTATAAAGACAATGCAAATAAAGCTGCTGATATCTACCATAGTCAACCGATTGATCCAAAGAAAAAGGTTATGTATTGGGTTGAGTATGTGATTAGACATAAAGGGGCACAGCATTTGAGATCTAAGGGCGAAAATGAACTTTATATTTTCCAGTACTTTCTGCTTGATATCATTGCATTGGTAATCTGCACTTTGGTGGTATTTGGCTTGGTAACAGCATTTGTTATCAAATATATTGTACAATATGCCTTTCACTTTAAAGACAAAAGAAAAAGGGACTAGAATGTTGTCATTTGTTATGTAGATCTAACAAGTATGTGCGGAATTAGTTCAAATGCACCATTCTCTGTTTTAATAAAGACCCAAAGCAATTTTTTTTAAAAATCGATCAATCTAATATTACACTCTGTTACATTTGTGAAAAAATGTTTCAGAAAAAAAAAATTCTTCATGGAAAATTAGTCCATGATTTTATTCAAGTGTAGGCTATTCATTTCTTTACATGTATGTCTATTTGTCTGGTAGCCATTGGATAATCTTATGGACCCATATGTACCTTGATTCTAAACCTACAGTATTGTATTTAGAAGCTTCAAGTCCAATGTCATAATACACGTAAACTTTACCTTACAGCAAGTGCTTATTAATTTACATGATTTAGTTTGGTCCTCAGTTTAAACTTACCAACCAAACAGGCTAACAAGTTCTTTAGAATTCACCTCCTTTTAAAAAATGTCAAAAATATTTAAGACCGAAAGCATTTCTCAATTTCAATATGTTGGAATCTTTTAAAAATCATTGTTCCGCAATGTCAAACACAACTTTAATATGTCATAGAACTAATGGAATAAATGTATTGTAACTTTTATAACAAATTCAAAATTGTACAAGTCAAGCGATCCAATTAGTCTAGAGGGCATAACGATCAGAATAGAGAGCTGGAACCATAATATGGGTATGATGTTAAACAAATAAAAAAGGTTCCCTATCTCCAGGATGAGTTCGCTCATCTTTACTTTAAATTCTATATACAAAAACATATTTTACTGTTTTTTTATTTCATTAAATCAAAAAGTTTAAATTATAGATTGGAAAAACTGTTTACTATATTTGCTAATTCTTATTAAATGCCAAGATATTCAAGCATGCTTCAAACAACCCAGATTTGCCTTTTGCCTCCCTAAAATCTCCCTATAGTATCTAAATAACACACAAAACTGGAGGGATTGAGTGAAGGTCACACTATTCTAACTATTCAATTTAATTTTTCATCCGTGTCTTGGTTTAACTTTATAGCATTTTCACATATTTTGATGTCAATGTAATGAATGCTACGATGTCAGCTTTTTATAACATTTTTTATTTGTTTGACAAATATGTGAAGATGTTTTTAGCAACACTTTTTAACCCTACAAAATTGTAGTATTTTATGTAAACATTTTTAGTGCTTATAAAATATATATGTAGATTACAAATACTGATGCACCTAATAATAGTGTGCCGCTGTTAAAAAAGCGTATGTCAAAATAAATAAATAAAAATAAATAAATCTTCTCAATATGCTAAATTATAGCAATCTACTCGTAAGGTAGCAAAGAAGTTTTTATCATTTTACGGCTTCAGTTCTATAGATAATTATTACATTTGGTCTCAACAAGACCCTAAAAAGTATTTCTCTCAGAACAACATTTATGATTGAGTTAATTCTAGCTTTTTGTTCAGCTGATTTTCTCTTGATAACAAACTTAAATATTTTCTTCCTTTTTAAATAGAAAATTCAATGACAATTTGGAGAACTGTCTCACTACTGTTTACCTTTCAACCTTTGAATATGAAGAAAATCCACTATGGTCCACTATGAGCTACAGTATATGTAAGATGGACAGACAGAGAGATTTCCTGATCATTGAAGGCTGCCCTATATCCCTAATAAACAAAGTCAGAGCTTTCAGTAACGCGTCCTTATCATTACAGCATTAGGAGGACCCGGATTTTGATGAAGTGACTCCAAAAAACTTTAATGATCCGTCCCTGGGACGCAAAGTCCTGTGTTTTCATTAACAAAATTGATAGACTCGGAAAAGATCTTACCTTCAGTCTTTTATTTGGTTAAAATCCGCAATAAACGAAGGATATTCTATTTCTAAAAGAAATACAATATTTTCTTTCAAAGTTTATTTTCCGGAAGTTGATTTTCAATCGAAATAGTACAAGGCCTGTGATAGGACAATTACTAAGTAGTTGCTACAGTGCTGAGCCGTAATCGATACGAGTCCTATGACTGGCCGCGATTATTAATCGTGCATGCGTCTTAATAATTTTCACTAATCAACTTACTGGATTTGTTGTGCATCCGCATAAAATGTAGCTAATAAATGAAATCTCACTTTTCATCAATTTTTTTCGTTCGGTGTAAAAAAGTGACTTTGAATTTCCAGGAAACTTTTTCACGGGACGCACTTTTTTGAGGGGGGGACTCATTTTTTTAAAATCAATCCATCCCAGGGACGCACTCTTGAACAAACCTACTGAAAGCACTGAAAGTCCATTGGGATAACTGACCTGGATTGGCATGCATTTTACATGAAACAAAGAAAATGTTTTAATAAACTTACAGTTTTCTTTTGTGTGCTCAAATGATTTAAAATGAACGCTCTGGTGACAAATGACGAGATCTGAAAGCTCCCTTGCTATCTTAACTTTGTGGTTTTTGTTCCCAGCCTTCACTTTCTCTTGTTTGACTCTCTCATCTTCCATCTCTGCTGCCTCATCTTCTTCTGACATGTCATCATCTTCTGATGCTTGGGGTGGCAGCTTTTTGGCCTGGAGACAGTGTATGAGAAATCATAATACAATAGGGCCATGTACATATATATGGGGTAATGTACGTGAGTTAAATTGTCTCCCAGGGCCTTAGTTGAAATGAGCAGCTTTTTAGCATGAAGCCACACTCATAATATGGTTCATTAATGTATATGGTCATTTCTTTTAATTTCAGGTCAACCTTTCAAAATTGAATGAATAAAATTAATAGCCTTCAAGAAAAGGAAATGTCCAAATTTTCTCAAAATTATTCATGTACTTATCACCAATAACAACAAGGCAAAAAGTAAACAAGATAACACTAACAACAAAAATCACCTCTATAGTATAACACTATCTGTGTTTTGTATTAAGTCTGACATGTGATTTTCCTGGAATAAAGATGGCAATAAAAATTAATAAATACTGAAAAAAATCCAAAATGACTGCCATAATCCAAGATGGCCACTCAAAAATAATTGGAGAGAATAAAAAAGAAAATGTATCTTCTGATAAAAAATTGATTTCTATTCAATACACTTATAACCAGAATGTAAAACCAAATTTATTCAAAAAACTTATCTAATAAGAGAAAATAACTTGAATTTGTAGTGAAACAAACAACTTTGTGCGTAACATATTCAAAATCCATAAATTGGGGAATAAATATGGGACTTTCTTAAGAACTTTTGTGGCTTTTCTTATCATTATAAAGCCTACCTGTAATAAAGTGCTTTCCAATGATATATAGACTAATTACACCATATCACAAAACTGCACTTACAGGTAATCATATTGCTATCCCTTTTTTATTCCCCATACCGATAAAAAAATGTTCATGTATAAAACTGTGATCTCTCATTTTTTAGCTATAAGCAACATTAAAACAAATCCAAGCAAGAATTGATATAATCTAAGCAAGATTTGACAATACAAGCACAAAAGGTATCTGCTATAATTCAAGCAATGTTTCACGAAACTCAAGCTTGATTTTTACCAAAATGATAACTGGCTGTAAAAATTTGGTGCATGATATAAGTTTATGATCTATAGTGTTTTGGTGGAAGTGGAGAAAATTAGCTTTACCTTGTTTGATCTTATTTTACTTCCCTATTAAAGACATACACAATAACAATAGTTAGTGGGTGTGACATATTCCAGACATTGCTACAAATATACAGGTGAGAAAGAAAAAAGAGGAGGGGGCTCTTAGCACACAAGTTAATTGTCTATTAAGTGTTTTTAAGACTGGGTGGCTAGTCGTTTTCTTCCATTTACTTCAATATTCTTTTGTCAGGGCCTAACAATTAATACAACATAAGATGCGCTGGATCTGGTGTTACTGTTACAAGCGCAGATACCTTTACAAGGACAGGTAGAAAATTATTAATTTGAAAAAAAACTTCACAAAATGTCAGATGTTGATATACGCAACATATTATTAAGCAAATATTTCATTCTATGTTTGTTCATCTTTAGCAGGGCAAAGGTAATATAATTTCTTCAGGTGCAACATTGCGTGAAAAAATATTGAAATTTTGGCGAAATACAATATTGTTAAGCATTCTCTATGATCAAACTCAAAAATTGAGGGAGGTGTGAAATATGTTGTGTTTTATGATCACATGGTACAACACTGACCAATCAGAATACAGGGATTCTTGCCACGATGTAATGAATTCGAACATGCCATTACATATTTTATGCTGTGAGGATAGCTGTCAATAACTGAGTAAAATAGTGAGGACATTTTTGAATGAACCCATCAAAATTGCTAGGACATGAACTATTAGAGGCAAAAGTTATAATGAATACATTTACAACTACAATGTACCTTGATAAGAATCTTTCCTTTAAGAGCAAATGGAGAGGGCAGCTCAGCCGTGTCATCCTCTAGTGGAGTGCGGAAGAGTTTATCTAAACACAAGATATAACAATAAAACATTTAACATTAGCAGGCAATGATTTAACACACCATGTCATTTTTAAGCAATTCTTGGACTATGGTATAATTAGGGTACTTTATTACCTTTACATGATAAAGAATTTATTTTCAAAAATATGTTCAGCAATACAGATTGTATATCCATGTCTCATATAGTGTTACCCATATTGAAGTGTAACCAATATAGTGACACTTCATATAGCATAACTGACATCTGGATTTTGTTTCAATTTAGCACCCTTTTAATTTGGTGAATATGGTGGATTTCAGTAAACTCCCAAAATAATACAGATTGCTTAAATATGTGTTCTTTGTGTCTGATTTTACTCTGTTATGATACTGATTGCAAGAAAGCTTGCGACTAATCTACCAAATTAACTATGTACCGTACAAATATTGTAGAAAAAAACAAATTAAAATACAGATGTGTATGTTAATCTCAGTGTAACCAACAATGCATAACCTTCAGAGTATAACAAAGCATAACCTACATTACATGGTGTAAGTTAATACAAGTGTGTATGATGCACCCCATTTTTTAAAACATTTTCAAATAAAGGTCATCAGAACAGGTTTTTTAACTATTAAAATAACATTGTAACTGTATCATGCAACATTCCTAACCTCCAAATATCTCTATCATGTGTCTTGCCATGACCTTCTGTTGATCCACAGAGCAGTGGTTCTCTATGGAAAGGATCACTGGAAAACTAAAATGAGAAAATATTCAGTTTAACAATATATTTATAGAGCAATATAGTACATGTAGTAAGATCACAAATCTTAACAAAATTGTGGCCATATTGAATTGAGTGGCCATTTTGAAAATTGTTTTTGACCATGGTTCCTCACTGCCATAAGCTAACAGTGTCTGACAGTTATCTCTGACATACTGTGAACAGTATTTCCTTCATTTTTAGGTACATTAAGTAAATACTAATGTCATAGTCCAGTATTGAAAGGTTGTTTGCTAGACATAATAACATAAAGCCAATACACCACAATTTATCAAATAAAAAAGCAATACGCTCACAATGGGATCAAAGCTGGAAATCAAGAAATTAAGGAGAAGCCCACTTGACGCATTGACTGCTAGGTAACCACATATTTTCTGTCGGCCACTGCACATAAATCCAAGAACCTTACTTTTATATTTTATAGATACACAATTTAATCATTCCTGCTCACAATAAACTTTTCTTTGTCATGGAAAATTGTGTTTTATTTTATGATTTCCTCCCCTTCCTCACAATTATTTAAGGATTTTCTTCAGTAAACGTTACAGTGGATGTACCCTTTTAAAAGAGGTCAAACCCATATCCAGGACAAGCCAGGAATGCAACCAACAACAGAAATGTCTAAACTATCTCATCTGCAGTGGACTTAACATGTACATTGTAAAAATGGAGGGGAATGATTGGTGCATGTAAATAAAATATCCGTATCCAGGACAAGCCAGGAATGGAACCAACAACAGACATGTCTAAACTGTTTCATCTGCAGTGGACTTAACATATACATTGTAAAAATGGAGGGGAATGAATGGTGCATGTAAATAAAATATCCGTATCCAGGACAAGCCAGGAATGGAACCAACAACAGACATGTCTAAACTGTTTCATCTGCAGTGGACCTAACATGTACATTGCAAAAATGGAGGGGAATGATTGGTGCATGTAAATAAAATATCCGTATCCAGGACAAGCCAGGAATGGAACCAACAACAGACATGTCTAAACATTCTCATCTGAAGTGGACTTAACATGTACATTGTAAAAATGGAGGGGAATGATTGGTGCATGTAAATAAGATACTGTAGTGAGGGGACCTCATCAAGACATTTTCATGTTCAATGGTCTTAAATATGATCCTGTAAACATAGGGATACAAGCAAGTGAGCAACATAAGCTAACAATTTAAAGGGACGAGGTCAATATGGATGTAAAACCACAAACATATTTAATCATACAATGATTGAGGGAGGGTGTAAAACTCCTCATGTTTTCTTTAACCAATATCAATTTTTAGATGGGAGTGGTTCTTTCTTACTTTAAAAAAATAAATAAATGTGCAGTTATGTTTTTGGGAGGGATGAGTGTCAATTTATGTAAACCCTAAGGATTTGGATTATGAAAATGGCTCCTATTTGGTGAAGGAGGGATGTTGGACATTGTTTCATTATGTGTAATAAATCATAGTTAGGATATTGGGGGATTGTTTTCTCAGACCAGTTTTGCTCTTTGGGTGTTTTTCTGTGCTTTGCAATACGTTTTGGCATTTTACCTTTTAGCAAGTTAGCTTACATATTCACCTAGTCCCTTATTTCACAATATAAATATTACATAGACACAACTGTATAACTTACCAACTGTGTAGTATGAAAAACAAAGTCAAAAGATACATGATGATATAAAGGACAAGTAGTCATTTAATACAAGAAGTGAGTTAGTTTGTCTAATTTGTGGATGCATCATTTGAGTATGAACCACATGTATAAATGATCTACCTTGTGATCTATTTTACAACTATTTTTGATGTCAAGATTTTATTATTTATCATTTTCATTGGGTTATCATTTTTGGATTAACTCTTTAAAATATATATTATCTTGTTTGATTATAATAATTGTTCCTAAATAGTTTGAAAAAGAGCAATCACCCATTGTTTCTTTACATCATAGTTTGGGACAATTGGGTTTGTTTTCTATCTGGCTTTACTCTTTGATGTTTTCTTTTTTTGCTCTGTTTTGTTACACTTTCAGTATTTCCCTTTAGTTCTCATGAATTCCATTTCATTTCATAATCACATCTCCCCAATCAACTGGACAATTGAAAGTAAATGATCAATTGGTTTTTATTGTTTTTCTGATTATTATTAACTAGCATAATCAGAAAACGATATAAAATAATTCAAAATATATCATCAAGTGCTTCAGATCTGTAAACTAGCATAAGCTGAAAAAATTAAAATCCAAAATATATCCGAACACTGTACCAAATATGAACTTACTGTGAGGCTTTAAATGCGTATATATCTATTGCAGAGATGACATCTTTGAAGAGTATTTTTGATGTCAGTGTGTAACCATGATAGATAACTGGCTCATTATCTGGACCATCCCAACAATCCACTACAACACAATAATGTAACATCAATTGATATAGTAATAAAAATATTTCAATTGACTGTACTGAACTACTGATAAAATATTCATAAGAAATTGTTGATATTTTGTCTAAAATGATAAATGATTTATGATTAATAAATAACACATCAATTGATATAGTAACTAGACTTTGGAAATTGAACGAAGTTCAATTTCAGACTCCAGATTTAGACCATTTTTAGCCGAGTCATCCAGAATAAGCTGAGTCATCCCGAAAAGATGGATGAATAAAATAGGAAGGTAGGATAGGAGAAAATAGGAAGGAACAATAGGATAGAACAAGAAAGCAGTATAGAATAGAATAGAATAGAATAGGAAGAAAGGATATGATAGGATAGGATAGGAAGGAAAAGATACGAAGGAAGGATAGATAGGAAGGATAGGATAGGATCAGATAGGAAGGATGGATGAATTTTTCAATATTTTCTTCTCTACTCTTGACTTTCTATCAGGATACCATCAGATCGATTTTTCGAAATTTGATTTGAAGATTCGGATTCCTGACAAAATTCTACCCCTAATTGATAACACATACGTTAAATTTAGCGAAATTTTATTTTGGCCTACATTTTGGACACGGCATAACTTCGTAACCGGAAGTCGGATCGAAATTTGGTTTGCAGATTCGGATTTCTGAGAAAATTCTATTCTTAATTCATAACTCATACGTTAAATTTGGAGAACTTTTTATTTTGACCTACTTTTCGGACACCATATCTCAAAAGTGGGTCAAAATACTTTCTGACGGCAAAAAGCTAACGCTATTAGCACACTCTTGGTTACATGTATACACAATTTCGAGGAATATAATTAAAGTGTAGTGTCAGAATCGCAAAAATAAGGAAAACCTTTTGATTTGACCTAGATTTTGACCTAGGCATTTTGTTGTCAAAATTTTGAAGCTAGATGGCTTTTGAGGTCCCCTTCTTTTAAAGGCTTTCATTAAATTAAGCTGAACTCAGTCTACATTTCGAATTTTTCACTTCAAAGAAATCATTTTTTCCCATTGACTTAACATGGGCACCTAATTAAGCGATTTTTGAACTTTTAAAACGACATAACTTCCGAACCGGTAGTCGGATCGAAATTTGGTTTGCAGATTCGGATTCTTGAGAAAATTTTACCCTTAATTCATAACTCATATGTTAAATTTGGGGAACTTTTTATTTTGACCTACTTTTCAAACACCATATCTCAAAAGTGGGTCAAAATACTTGCTGACGGCAAAAGGCTAACACTGTTAGCACACTCTTGGCTACACATATACACAATTTCGAAGAATATAATTAAAGTGTAGTGTCAGAATCGCACAAATAAGGAAAAACTTTGAATTTGACCTAGATTTTGACCTAGACCCTGGACCGGATTTGGACCTAGACTTGACTTGAACCTGGACCAACACTAGACTTGGACCTGGACTGGACCTTGACTTGGACCTGGAAATGGACTGGACTGGCATTTTTTCAATTTTTTTACTTTTCTTGACTTTCTATAAGGGTACAATCAGATCGATTTTTCGCGAAATTTTAAAACGTCATAACTCCTGAACCGGAAGTCAGATTTCAATTCGGTTTTCAGATTCGGAATCCTGAGAAAATTTCCTAAAAGACCAATATCCTGGACATTGGATTCGGAGAACTTTTTTTTGGACCTCGTTTTCGGACACTGATATCTCGAAAACGGTTCGAGATATCAAAAATCTAAATCGTATAAAGTTTTTCTACTTTTTTATGAGGAACACAATGAAAAAAACCTGGATCAAAAATATTGAAGGACGACCGAGATAATGGGAAAAAGTGACAAAGTACTGGATTTGACCTAGTTCTTGACCTTTGACCTAGATAAAAATTTGACCCTATTTCCCACCAACTAGATACTATACCTAAATTGACCATATAATAGTCTTGAAAAGATACCTTATAGTTGTTGAGAAAACTTGATCAGTATAAGAATAATAAGAATAAGAATAAGAAAAGAGGCAAAAACAATAGACTCCAGATTTTCAATCTGGAGTCTAATAAAATATTTCAATGGCTTAAAACGTCGTATTAATGCGTCACATTGTCGATAGGTGGCGCATCCCCTATTATCGCCCAACTTCAGTCAATTTTACTTCCGGTTTATTTTTCTGCCTCAGAAACTTTTCGGAGTTTAAAGATCGAATTATGGAGGTTTGGAGTCTCAAAAAGGGATAAAAAGGCGGATTTGGTGGAAAGGTAATATTACTATTTATATTTATCAAGAAATCGATTGTGTTACGTGACATATGTTCGAAAAACTAGACTTATTTTGATTTGAAGAGAAAATATTTCAAATAAAATAACGCTTCACCGTTCAGCCTAAAACAGAATATTATCTCAATACCTCGTCTGATTTTGCTGTTAAGGGCGGCTTATACTTATTAATTGGTGTTGTCGTATGCTGCCCGGTAATTATGAGTTGGAATGTCAAGAGTCTTGACAATACATGCACTGGCGGATCCAGGGAGGGGGGGGGGCATGGGGTCCCGCTTCTTTTTGAACCTTCAAAAATGATATGTATGTTTACGTATTTTAAAACCTTAAAACAGCTTCATACTATCTTATTCAAGCTTTATCGTGTTTCAGATTCGAAGTGTAATGGCAAGATGGCCTCCAGGGAACTGTAGTGTAACATGCTGGACAGATATGAAAAGGATGCTAAATTCAATATCCCATGTGGGAAGCTGAATTGTTGTGGCAAATTCACGGGTTGTTAGAGAATTAAATAGACAAACCTTTCACAGAATACTTGATTAAGAATAAATTAGTAAGTTTTTCTTATGATTGATTTTGAATACTACCTGTAGTATTATATATGCACCAATGTGCACTGTCAGGCCAATGGCCTACTTTTGCCAAGGGAAGTGGGTCATTTTTTCAAAATCCTAAGGTAGTTCAAATTTGACAATTTTTGTCTACAGCCTACGGGCCTGACTGACTGTACGTGCGTTTATATGATTTTTTGTTTATTTTGCTCAAAGTAATCATATTTTAAATCTAAAGAAATCTAAACACATAATGAAATTCGAAGATTGGTCTGAAAACTTGTTTATCAACTTTTTAAAGTGTGAGGTAGATTTCCACAAGTCCATTTTATAAAATCCTCAAATGAAATATAAAACTATTTTATTTTATTGAACATTACAGGTAATGCATTTAATGTGCTTTTTTCCGATCACAAATAAAATCCAAAATATAATATAAAAATTGATTTATTAAATCTTTTAGGCCTAATTGTTTTAAGTTTAGGGGAACACTTTGTATGCCTTTCATGTTAACTGATCTGGGTTAGCCATCTGTAATATGTAAATATGCACTGCAACATTTGAATTATTATTGTAGTTTTCAATACTATATCTAGTACTGTGTTGTTAATTCAGGATTACTTATTACTCATTGCAGGTGACACAAGAAAAGAGAGTCTATCAAAAAGAGCATAATTGATCAGTTCAACCCAAAGGAATGGTATGATCAGCAGGAGTGGCGACTAAAAGCATGACAGTTTGGAATAATTATTCACATGAAAGACTAACATAATGCAATATATATATCACAGTAATTTTACTATAAAGCTTCCTTAAAGTTAAAAAATGGCAATAGAAAATTTTGATAATGAGTACAAGGAAAAAGAAAAAACTGGTATCTGTGAAAGGTATGCATATTTCGAATATAATTGTGAAGGTTTCCTAATGCATTCAGACGCCTGTTCCACCATATGATTCAATGCCAGGAGAAGTGTACCAAAAACATGGAAACTATTTTGAGCATCTACTAGTAATTTATATCAAATAATGTACTAGGACTATAAGACTGACCTTTATACAGGAAGCAGCTTAGAAAGATATTTATAAATTGACTTATTAACATTTATTGCGCTTTAAATCATCTGCCCCACCTGCCCAAAACATGAGTTACCATAGTAACCATATTTTTGGTCCAATAAGGGGAAAGTGCATGAAAGTTGTTCCATTAATTGCTGTATTCATTTGACATATTCTGTGAAAATTTCAAATAAAGAATCACAAAACTTGATTTTGCATTTTTAGAGGATTTTTTATCAGAACTTATTGATCGACCTTGTACTAGTATACATATATAAAACTTTACAATAGAAGGCATGTGAGATTCAAATATTTGTCAGCTGATGAGATATGTTTAACTCTTAAATGGATTTTGGACCCCAGAGCACATTCTTTGCAATACTTTTGTAATAATTTTAATAACTTAATCTACATGAAATTTCATCTAATCGTTGTTTAATCTATTTCCTTTCAGATAAATCAACCCAGATGTAAATCGCATGATAACTTTTCGTACAACCCTAGATCAAAGAACATCACTATCACCAAAACATATATTCAAATAATATATTGTTATATGTAAATGCTACAAAATGTTCAAAACACTTTAGATACCTGACTCTTTATAATTAAGTTTACTCATATTTTCTTGCATACAACATAAATAATCTATATATATTATGAAAGGTAGGTGAATTACCTATTAAAAACTGGTACCAGAATGAAAAAATTATCTGATTGCAGAGTTATTGTCAAACATGTGAAATAAATCCCTTAAAGGGTGTAAAAAACATAAATCCAATTAAGGGCTTAATATTTTCCAGGTGTACATGTGCATTGTACATGATGCATGTTATCCATTTCTAAAAACTTAAGTAGATCCCTTTGACAGATTTCTTTGAAACAAAATAGTTCTGTATTAAAATTAAAATTAAAAAATATCCTTGCTTAAACCCTCTAATTACTTTCAACTACTCAAATCAATTGACCTGATTTTAGCAAAAAATAAATCAATAAAAGACCATATTGTTTTTCCAAGTGGGAAAATGTCTAGTTAACTTTAAATAAATTATAACTCAGTGCATTTATTAGTATTGTTTTAAGACTGAGTATGTACCCCACCTCTGTGTACAGTTTTTCAAAGTCTAAATCACAAGGAAAGGTTACCCAGAGAGGGGGGGATACACAATCTTGAGATAAGAGTAAAAAAGACCCCTGGTGAAGTCCCCCATATCTTTATAAAAACTCTAAGGGATTTGCCTGAAGTGAAAATACACCAAGGACTGTGTGAGCCATGTGTCACGTAAGAAAAATACTAGTATGATGCCCATTTGAAGCGATGTCTTGCAAGTAGGCTAGAAATCAGCTGTTTCAATGCAAACAAAGCATAGGCATTATGTCCTTAAAAAAATCAGATGTGGTTCACATATTCAACATCTTAAAACATATGGTCTAGTATTAAACGGTGGGTTTGAGTCTTCATATTGATGGAGTAATCAAATAAATATAATAGTCATCATTTTAGACGGAGTAATCTTTCAGAATAAGCAACATATTTGTACAGAAAACAAAAAGTTATTTTTTATGGCCTTATATCCTGGCACTTGTACACATTCCTGAAGGGGGTCAACTCGGTGCATTCAATGACTTTCGGCAGCGTGAGGAACAACGATTTACAATTGCGTAAGTAGTCTAATTTATTTTTTCATTCTTTTGGACAAGATTATTCTGTAAATGTGATAATCAGAGGGTGAAATGCCTTTGAATCGAGCATTCAACTTACCCTTGGCGTCATCATTTTCGGCAGACTGAAATCGTTTGGAGATCCCCGGGCAGCCGGGTTGGAGCTGTGCAAACGTTATTTACAAACTGTTATTTAACGAAATCGCCTGCCTCTTTCAAGGGAAAATGTATGCTCCCTCCCTGTTGTCGCATTCGAGAATGCAACATTGCATTGGCAGTATTTTGAATTTTTATAGATTTCTATTCAAATTTCCCGCGAACTTTTTTGACTGAACTTGGGCGATAATAGAGGAATGACGTCATGCGCCATCTATTGACGATTTCAGCGTTTTACTCCATTGACTGTATTGATAAAATATTCTTAAGAAATTGTTGATATTTTTCCCTATATGATTAACAATATTACTCCTTATTGGTGACATAGCTTAGATGGAAGCCTCCTGACACTATTTAGTATTACCATAATACCACATCAACAGATATGTGAATAAATCGAAAAAATTGTTGAGAGAAAGATAAAATCTGGGATAGGTGGATCTGAATTTTAAAATTCTGGGGTACAAAATGACTGGTCTACTTACACTCCACACATCTGCATCCTTTCTGTAGGGCTCTAACATAGGCTTCCACAGAACTTGGGCCAACGATCTGGTCCTCTAGTAGGTATCTGTAGTGAAGAGAAAATAAAGATTAAAGGGACTAGAAAGGACAGAGACTATGTCGCAATTTTATAATTTGTATTTTGTTCTCATATCATTCCATGTTGTTGTGCCTATTTTTAGGATAATCTTTAGATTTATTTGTTCATTATTAGTTCCATTAATGGGAGTTCAAAATTGTCCTATATTCTGGTACATTTATTTGTGGTCCAGTCTATCAAAGCTCTAATGTAGACTCATATTTTCTAATCTTAGATTTCATGAAGGAAAGGTAGAATTCAAATTTCAAAATCAAAATATTTCAATTAATAGGCCTAAATGTTGAAACAGAATTCCCAAATGTTTTTTAAACTTATTTTATGAAAATGCAGAATGATCTTAACACTCTATGATGATAAAGTACAAAAGTACACCAAAGCCCAATGAAACATATGACTGCTGTGCTTACGTGTTATGTGATGAGTCTATGAAGTAATGGTTTAGGGGCTGTGTCATGTCTTGGTATACCACTGTGTGTTGTGAATTGAACAAAGCGTGCGTTTGAGAGTTTAGCATCGTCCTGAATCCTGTAATAAAAGTAATAAGTGAGTTAAATACAGTGTGCACTTGAGAGGTTAGCATCATCCTGAATCCTGTAATAAAAGTAATAAGTGAGTTAAATATAGTGTGCGTTTGAGAGTTTAGCATCATCCTGAATCCTGTAATAAAAGTAATAAGTGAGTTAAATACAATGTGCGTTTGAGAGGTTAGCATTTCCTGAATCCTATGATGTAGAAAGTGATAAGTGGGTTCAACACAGTGTGCGTTTGAGAGTTTAGCAATGTCCTGAATCCTGTAATAGAAAGTAATAAGTGAGTTAAATACAGTGTGCACTTGAGAGGTTAGCATCATCCTGAATCCTGTAATAAAAGTAATAAGTGAGTTAAATATAGTGTGCGTTTGAGAGTTTAGCATCGTCCTGAATCCTGTAATAAAAGTAATAAGTGAGTTAAATACAGTGTGCACTTGAGAGGTTAGCATCATCCTGAATCCTGTAATAAAAGTAATAAGTGAGTTAAATATAGTGTGCGTTTGAGAGTTTAGCATCATCCTGAATCCTGTAATAAAAGTAATAAGTGAGTTAAATACAGTGTGCGTTTGAGAGGTTAGCATTTCCTGAATCCTATAATGTAGAAAGTGATAAGTGAGTTCAACACAGTGTGCGTTTGAGAGTTTAGCAATATCCTGAATCCTGCAATAGAAAGTAATAAGTGAGTTTACCATAGCGTGTGTTTGAGAGTTCAACATTGTCCCGAATCCTGTTATAGAAAGTAAAAAATGGTACATGTGTTATGAAATAAACAAAATAAGTCAAGTCCATCATTTACATTAAAATCCATTTACTAGCTCAACCCTACATATTCTCTATATTCATTGGGCGGACAACTTCAGCATCAAAACCCTATTTTACCCTAGTTAAAACCCATTGTACTCACCATCAAGACTAAGCTTAGATTGTTCCTTAGCATCAGGACATGCTTCATATCGCTGTATGTAATCTTTGCACTCCTCTATAGTAATATCATCTCTCTGCAGAGAAAACAACACAAATGTAATACACATATGATACATGGTATGATGTACTGACTCAAACACAGACAGGGACTCTATAACTCCATGTGAGAAAATGTCAATTTTCTAACTATAAATACAACATTAAATAGAAATAAATTCATCATGGAAACTTTATCTCTCACATTTTGGTTTTAAAAATACATATATTTTTTTAAGTTTAAGTTTATTCGAATCTTAATATACAGGGTGGGCCAAAAAAAACAATACCCAACTTCAAATCAGGATAAAAATAGTTACATTCAATATGGTACATTGACTTACATACCATTTTAAAGGTTATACAATTTCAAACAATTTGGTATATAACACTATGTCATGAAATCAATAGTAAAGTTTTATTATACTTATTTGGGAGGCCGGGTCACTATTTAAGGTCTCCAGATTTAAGGGAGAAAATAGTAAATCTGCAGAATTATGTTAATTTTTATTTATAGAATATCATTCTTTTGTTAGGTGAATACATGCTTGGATACTGATATTTTCATCATTGTTTGACTAAATTTATTGTTTATGAATTTCAGTGTTGTTTAATAACATTTTACACTTTATTTATTTAAACAATTTTCACAATTGCTCAATATACCCCCACCCCCTCCCCTATGCATCAACAATAAGCTTCAAGTGGTAGCGCAATCTATCAATAACATTATTGAGAGATTTCTGTTGCAATTCATTTCAGCACTTTAGGATTCTGTTTCAGCACATCAAAGCTGTTTATTGGATGCTTTTGATTGTACCATTTCCTCGAGATGGCTCCATGTATCGTAATCAAACAAATTACATGTAGCATGTAGGTGGCCAAGCATCGAGATCAATCAAATTGACACCTTGTTTGCAAAGGAATGCCAATGTCTCTTGAGATCTATGGTACAGGGCAATGTCTTGTTGGAAAATAAAATCCTCGTCACATATACGTTTATTGTCTTTTAACAGACCCCCGTTGAGTACTTATTGATAATAAACAACACTAAAATTCATAAACAATAAGTTTAGTCACACAATATGCAAATATACAAGCATTTATTCACCTAACAAAATGATATTCTATAAATAAAAAAATTAACATTATTCCGCAGATTTACTATTTTCTCCCTAAAATCTGGATACCTTAAATACCGACCCGGCCTCCCAAATAAGCATAATAAAACTTTAATATTGATTTCATGACATAGTGTTATATACCAAATTGTTCGAAATTGGATAACCTTTAAAATGATATATAAATCAGTGTATCATATTGAACATAGCTATTTTCAGTCTGATTTAAAGTTGGGTATTGGTTTTTTTTGGCCCACCCTGTATTACAGTACATAATCAAATACAATTTGACGCAAAGCGTATATTGTAGATCAGGTTCAAAAGTTAATATTTGTAAATACAATTATTTCAATGGAGTGCAAGAGTGCAGGAATGCAGAAAATGTATTAATAATGCGTTACAGACCTCTTGTTCTACTTTGAAGAACTCATACATTTCCTCAGGATCAAGATAATCGTTGTCTATTGTATAGAGTTTAAACACTTGTTCCACCTCTGGTCTTTTTGTTATAATTTTATGAAAATTGACGAACTCTTCCATATCCAGTGTAGCCTCACCCTTCTCATTGGTATTATGTTTGTTTGTGTCTGCTTTCTGAAAATACAATCAGGAAATGATCAGACTGTGTATGCTTTGTATATTAGATACTCAATAGTCAGGCTTTAAGACATGCACATTGAATTCAATCATATTAAGAGACATTAACGATGGTGCTATACTAGTCTTGGGGGGGGGGGGTTATGAGACGACTTTATTACAAAATGGATGAACTTACATCGGAGGAAATTTTCATTTTTGTAATTTTCGCCATAAACATGGACTTTATGCCCCTGCCATGAATGAGGTCAATTTGTGTCCAAATATTTTACCCTTATGTTAATAGTAGCATCCTGTTACTGAATAGCGAATCAGTCCGACGAAAGTTTATCCATTTTGTTATAAAGACGTGACATCTTGATAACCAGGTGGGGACCAGTGATGTTACCTCACTTAGGTTGAAACAATTTACATATAAGGTAACAATCTTCAGTAATTTAAGCATAACTTACCATAAATACAGTTTTAGCCTCCTCAGTAGTGACATCTATATTGAGGTGTTTTAGCAGACGGACAATTTCTCCTAATTCTAGGGCACCACTTTGATCTTTATCAGCAAATTCAAACATTTTTCGCAGCCATCTTGGATAGTCAAGGAATTTTGTTTATGAATAGGAATTTATGAACAATGGCTAATACTATTAGGCCATTGTTGCATTGAATATTTGTGTTCAAATTTCTTGTTTTGTTTATTTGTGGCTCAGTAAGGCTGTGTGATTGCTCCTGTGTGAAGCGCCAATGAAATATACCACGTGTGCTAAAAATAATTTCACAGTAAGGATACAAATCTTGCTGTTTGTGCAGTGCCAGGTCCTTGTGCTTCCTGATGAGGTACCTAAGCCCATGTACCCAGTCATCTCTGCCCTGCTTAGAGTTCTCTACCAGGTCAAGGGACTTGTGCTGGGAACCTACTATGATAGAGAAACATTGGTCCTCCTGTAATTATAGAAAAACATTGGTCCTTTTCCAATGATATCAACATTGTTCCTCCTGCTATAAAAGAAACATTGGGTCTCCTGTATTAACCACAACAGGGGCTTGCTAGAAAGGAGATACATGTTAGAACACACGAAAGCTCTACCTGATCTTCCATATAGTAAAGGGGCTTAGATTGTAGTAATTACAGAACAAAATTATTGGTCCTTTTCCGATAACAGCAACAATAGCCCATCCTACTGCAATCATAGAAACAATGATCCTAAAATATTTTCTGATTCGTAAACATGAACTTGTATATGATTCTAAAATGCAATACGTTAATGAAAAAGCAGATTTCTCCAAAATTAAGTAAAAATTCCTTAGTGCATACACTGTCTAGTTCTAAATTAAGTGGAGTCAAATAGATGCATAGCATGGACCATAATGCAACTAGATCAGTGCCTAGATATTGGCTGTATACACAACTTTGATTCTCTCGTTTTAAGTGTCTCATAAACCTCTTTGTGTAATCTGAGCATAAATTAATAGAGAGATATTATTGTCTAATCCTGCCATTGTCTCAGTATCTATTTAACATTTAAAACCACCCAGATATTGATTTGCTTTGTTTTTGATTGTTCCAGAAATGTAGTAGCTGCAATAGTTCATGTAATCTAATGCTATTTCAACATTTCAAAAACCTTGCAATACTGATGGAAAATATATCCTGTTTGGTGTGATTTTTTCTCCAAATATGAAACAAAGTGACATTATTGTTTTGTATTTTGAAAGTTCCTCTATATATTATATTATATTATATTATATATTGTATACTTTAAAACATACCTTTAGACCAAGGTTCTCTGCAACTTTGCCCAAATTGTCTGTAGAGAAACCCTCCCTTACTTCTCGGATGTCTCCAATATAAACTAGAAAATATAAAAGTAATTAAATTATTAGATAACACATAAGACATATAACAGTTTATAACTGTAGATAAATGGACCATTGAAGGACTGACTGGTTTTATGTTCTATTCATGTGGTTTGCATGTCATTCCATTTTCTATGTATTACACAAAAATGCCATGATTACTCTTTGAGGGGTGTTTATTTATATAATTTATGATAACAACTATTATCATCACTTTACGAATGAAAAGTCATAAATGTTGTTGATTTATCCTGGTGATCAAGTTTTATATGAGCCACTTCAACAGAAGTCACTTCTAGCTACTGCATGGTGGCTATGTCTACCAGCTAAATGTAGTTGATTTATATAAGTGAGTTGTCAAAAGTGACCCCCCTGGAAATTTTCAAAAAGTGAACCCCCTTGTTGTCAAATCCTGGTACAGGCCTGTTGTGTGGTAAAGGTTGTATCAGAGTGGTGGTAGTTGGAGTGTTGTATCATATTACTCCAGAGTTAAATAGTCTTGGCAGACTCGAATTTTAAATGTGATATTATACAACTTCAAGACAAGTGTCCCCTCTTTAGCAGAGACCAAGGTCTGAAATTCATCATGATGATTTCTCCAAGATCCCTCCCCTCCAATAGACTTCACTCTTCCCCACCCCAGACTCACATGATGATCCTTATGTCTATCTATGAACGTAACTTGTCTTGGAATACAATACTTTCCATAAAATGTTCTTAGCGATACTTAAATCACAGATGTACAGTTCGCATACCTTTGCTCATGTCATCTCCCTTACGCAACAATCTCCGAAGCCAAACAATCTTTTTGGAATCATCATAACGGAGCGCGACATTATCTGAATCAATGCTGAAACGACGCTCATATTGGCGACTCTTCCTAACTTTAGTCAGCTTGGTGCCTTTTCTCATATGAGCCAATGATTCATCCACTGAAAGTAAACAGTACAAGATTTTTAGTCAAACGTGTGTTTTTAGTCTTGTTTTTTTAGTCTTCATTGAAGTATAGTATTTATAGCAAATGTGTTGAATGTGTTGTGTGTTAATTAAAAATAGGAGTAGTGCTGGCGAATCTCCATGTTTGAACTAGTCTCCCTCACTTACTAATCATTGAACTTCACAAAATGCAACAATTAATAAAACAAATAAAAGAAAAATTTAAATGATAATATCTGATGACTGAGAAAAACTTCAAATTAAAGCTGACTGATTACTAGCAACTGCTTATTCCAAAACCCCAAACATCAATTTGGAAAAGTAATATTCTTAAAGGATCCCATGAGTATCAGATTAGTTTTCTAATTGTCTTTCAAACAATGAAATTCATCATAAAATATACAATCCTCAGATGCAATCTTTTTTGATTTACAATAAAGCATGGAGATAAAAAAGACTATTGTAAAAAGCCTATGAAAAATATACAAAAACATAAGGTTGAGATAAACCTTGTAGATATTTGTGAATTCATGAGATCTTTCACATTGTATTTGTAGTGAATTATGTAGTACTGGTATTCATCTATGACAAACCAAGGAATAAATCACATATCCATCCCCATATGCTAATACAAAATTCTCATTATTTATCTTCTAATCTCTGACTCTAGCAACCAAAAGTTGATTATTAACTCAAAATAAATATATCTAATAAAAATATAAAGGCTTACTAGAAGTAATACATGTATTACTCGTGTAAAATACATTCAATCTGCCAACATTAATAAAATTTGAACATGTTAAAACAATATTTGACCTAGAAAGATATGATCGTCAAAATAAAAACAATGATTAATATCACACCACAAACGTTCGTCAACTAAAAATATTCAGTGCAGGTTTTTATAATTTTCAATGCACAATACTTTTACTGCAGATTCAAACATGACCATGCTTTATTTGAGTCTCACATCCAATCATATTACAGCATTAGCCATTCCCTAATTCTTGACAGAGGAACAACCATTTTTATGTAATCCGAACCCCGAATCTTCAATATTTCATGGACGTCTGTCCTCATTCTTTGAACAAGCTTTTTCTTCATTTGTATGTTTGAGTCGGAATTGATAATGATCACCCATGCAGATGGAGCCTGTGAGAAAAATCGGTGCAGCATGAATGAGCGGATGGTGCCGATTTAACAGACCCAATATTTCTCACAGGCTCCGTCTGCATAGGGTGATGATAGGCCATTCAATATGGTAAAATTCAGCATTCGTTGGACATAATGTCAGTACAAATGCACTGACCTTCGTTTGAACTTTGTACAACATTCTGTCGAATTTGTGCTGAATTTCACCATATTGGAAGTAATGCACAGTTAGGGGAGGCATCAAAAGATCAATGTCTGATAGGAAACTAAAAAAATCTAGTTGGGGGGGGGTCAAAGCCATTTCAGTTTGCTATCCGATGTTTTTAGTTTTTATGGTTCATTTATTGAAATCATATATATATAATACATTAACAGGGCCTAGGCGAAAGCATTATTGGCCCTGTGAGAATACAACATACAAATTATTACAGATGGCTTTTTGTTGAAACAACTGATTAAATGTTATAAATTGATAATTCAAATAATTTCCATTATTTTACAGAGAAAGTTAGTAAAAATCTTAAATACACAACCTTTGATTTTGTTATTCACTAAATTATCTCCAAACAAAAGTGTATTGGTCTTTTGTTCTAAAGTGCATCCAATTAAAAAGAAATGGTTCAGTTCTGGCATCACCCTAAGCTCCCCCCAAAGTTCTTCTCTTTCTTTAACTAACAGCGGGCAATTGAAGATAAGGTGTTTTGAAGTTTGTTCTCTGTAGCCACATAAGCATTTTGGACTGTCTACATCTCTAAAATTATGTAAGAAAAAATGGCCAGAGAAAATAAAATCACATCTAATACGATTTAAGAATATTTCACTCTTTCGTGATAGTTCTAACTGAGATGTAGGTAATGGTAAATTTTTATCTTTAAGATGAGTTTTGACACTTCTCTTAAAACTAGCAAAACTTTTACTTTCTTTTTGATCTGTTGGGAGCTTTTCCCATAAACGTATTGCTCTAGTAACTGGGGATTTGGAAAAGGAGCCAATTGGCTTTGGGGCAGTAAAATGTCTAATCCTTCTAAGGTTCACATTTTGTACCGGATTTCTATGCTGGTCAAAAATTCTTTGAAGGTATGAGGGGACAGTCTTGTTTTTAACCTGGTACATTAACTTTAAATATTTTTCATCTGTTCTAATAGACAGTTCATCTATCCGATGTCATGTTTTAAGAATTCTAAATAAGTTATAATGCCCCAATGAAAGTCCAAAGTCCACATCCAAGTTCAAGAAAACAAGCAAAAAGTCTGTGATCAACTTTCATGGTATTTAGTTTTAGGGGGAGGGGAGGGTCAAACTCAAAAATAGATTTATTTAGTTTCCTATTAGACAATGAACTTTTAAGTACACTCTGAGATGGATGACCTCGGGTACAAAAATACGCTGTACATGTACTTATTGTGACATCATATAGCAATTCACATATCCAAACAAACAAACATTTTAACTAACAAATACAGGAATAAGTCATTTTGGTACATTAACATACAACAGACAGATAAAACATACTATACGAGGCTTGACAAAATGTCACCATTCTGGTAAGTTATTGTAAATGTTACAAATGCTGAATACTGACTTCTGGTGGTGACTTAAAAACTGAGAAAGCTATACTTTAGCTGTTTCACCGTGATTCCTTTATAAACAAGAACATGAAACTACCCTATGTGTAATTTGTATTCATATTTATTAACACCCCCCCCCCTACCACCGAACCATTCTTGTATTCTCTGGGTGAATGGTACAATGCAATCATATCTTTAAAGCCTGCTATATCTACACAAAGGAGGTACTCAGCAATCTAGAGTCATTACTTTAGATTACTTTTAATCAAAGATTTATACTCTGAATGATCTTTGTAACATAAGAACCATTTTTGAGCATCACCTAGCGATTGTAAATAAGATAAGACAACAAACATGCTGATTAAGTTAAAATGACCCATAATGTTCAAACGACCTTCCTTCATGATTCATGAGCAGACAGTGATGCGTTAATCGAATTTCATAAAATTTGAAATATGCTACGAGATGCATGTACCATAATACAGTACACAGTGCAGTATTTCTTCATAACTAAATGTTACTAGGAAGTATTGTGGTGAAATGTCATCATCACGTAGGCTTATTAAGTTACTACCAGTTATTTTGTATCAAATAAAAGGATGAAGAGAAAGCCCAAACTGAAAGGTTTTGTCCCATTTTGCCTTAACTTGCCTTGTCTACTTCAAGATTCTGGCTTCAGAACTGAAAAATTAAATGATATAATAGTAACTTTTTAAAGTATGTAATAAACTCAAATTATCTTCATATTTCGCAAAATCATTTTCATAGCTGATCCCTTGTCAATGTATTTCCTAGCTGTGGCCCACATCTTGAAGAAGACTTGGATGGCTTTGGAATAAACAACTCAGTTTACCTTAATTTTTGCATTGTATTACACACTTGTACTTTGTCACTTTGTTGATAGCTGATCTTAACATTTCCTAGTTTAGACCCACCTTAGACCATTAAGGTAGGTACAGGGTTGGAACCATTTGCTCACAACACCAATATGCAATTTAAGTAAATATTCTATCCAGCGTACCTTAATTGGAAATTAGCTCCCAGTTGTTGTCTGAGGCTGCACTTGTGTTAAATGATATATTATAACATATGATGAATGATGTGACATGGAAAGTATTTTCAAAAATTCTTCCCCCCCCCTTCCCTTGTCGATTTGTAATTCTTCCCCTGTAATATCAAAAAGTGAAGATGTCTGATAAACTAAATCTCCTTAGTTAACATGCGAGTAAAATGCTGGACATAATTCCATGGGTAACTACCTCCATGGCCAACTATAATAATTATTTTAAAAAAAAATAATGTTACCTTTATCCAAAGTCTCGACATCCAGTTTGGTACCTGAGAGGGATTTCTTCAGGGTCATGTTGTTGTTTATGTTTACTCGCTGAGAACCGTGGCCAGCCATTTTGAGGAGTTATTAAATTGTTGTATGTTGTAATTCCCAGTAAATGTCACATTAACACATGTTCTATTGCAATGACTTTAAGTACAATATAAAAATGTTTGATAGCCTTTATTTCTAATACCTCTCTTTCTAAATGTAAACATTTATTCTACCAAGAACATACGACGACGTACGTGCTGTGCAAAGTATTACTACAAACACATCTAAGACTAAGTTGCAAACGCAAGAGCCTGTCCACAGTAATCATATCTCTTATTTACATTGGCAAGCAAAGTGTGTGTTCCCATATTCCCCTTACCGGCATTGGTAATCAATTAATAAGTAACTAATTAATTCTCCAAAAAGCTTAATGTGCAAACATTAGCTGCTTTGAAATATCACTTGATTTGTGTGTATTCAATCAACTTAATTGCTTCGATTACTTTTCAATCTGATTTTATATAAATTCAAAATAATTTATCCTTCACAATTTTATTGGAGAGTGCGTTGGCCAATCACTAATCAGGAGTGGACTTTAACCAAATAGTAGTCATGTTCTAAGAGGAGGAGTGAGATATGACAATACTCAACTTATTTACATTCTACAATAAAGTATCATCCTATGAATTGGACGATGGGTAAATAAACAAATATACAATGTGCATATTCTTTACATGTATTTATTGTTTACTTTGACCTGTGATTGGTCACATAAACTTGTGATTGATTTAGCAATTATTGTTCAACTTAACCAAAAAAGAGACAAAATTGCAAAGAACCTAGAAAACAATGTTTCTGACAAATCAATCAATTGACATGTGATTTGTCATATTAACTTGTGATTCATTTAAGTCGTATTGTTCAACTTAACCTATAAGAGACAAAATTGCAT